ATTGATTCTCGACTATAGTAAATATAGTTCTCTTTTAACTTTACTCAAACTAGCAGTTTGAGTAGATTAGCTTCCTCTGCACGTACGGGTGTACGCGAAAGTTGGTGGCACACAAGCAAAGGGTGCCCCGTTACACCTGGTTTCACTTCGTTATCCGTCCAACGACTACTTAGTGTCCATCCGACATGAACACGTTGGACGTAGAAGATGACAGCTTTTACGTCAAACGTGAAGGCTACTCCTATTTGAGGGACTCATAATGGGAGGTAGTCGGCCGCATGAGTGTGCTCATTGTCGAACTCGCCATTAGTGACATGTTAGAGTCTCTAATTAGATACCAGCAACAGGCTGCTATCAACAAGTTCCTATAAGAAGAACTTGCTGTCAAAAGATAGAAGATAGACTTGCTTCATCAGCAAGGCTCTCATCAGTAGATGGGCGGGCCGACGCACACGCGTTGACCCGAAATCTTGAAGATTGAGATCTCAAGGTACAAGGTAACCGATGGAGATTCCATTTTGAGATGGTTCGTCGAGTTAGATGACGCTATAAGGGCCCATCACATCGAGGGTGACGAGATGCAAGTCACCTTCGCCCTGTCAAATTTGACAGGACGAGCAAAGACTTGGGCCTCAGAGCTCAAGCTTCACGGCCTAAACGTGTTTGAGTCGTTGGAGACCTTGTATTATCGGCTCAAATAAGACGTTTGAGCCGCCAAGAGCCGAGTCCAGAGCACGCTCTGCACTATTGAGGATCAAACAAGGTAAGCGCGATGTTCACGCTTACGCACAATACCTACGCTACCTTGCGAGTAGCGCCACGGAAAACCCTGTTGGTGAGCACACGCTCATCAATGTGTTCATCCACGGCCTTGTAGATGTACCGGTGACGACCTACTATCTCGAGAGGACTTCCACAGCGTATGCGGAACAAGAAGACTTCATCATGAGACAGTCTCAGGTTAACTCGTCAAACTATCATCCGAATATACGACAGGAAACCGGAGGTCCCGAACCAATGGACCTCTGTTACATCGAGAGCGAGAACTCTCGCTCTCTGAGCCACAAGCGATCCGCAGGATGCCATCGCTGTCAGAAGATCGGGCACTAAGCTTATGAGGGTATTGTCCCAAGAACCGCAACACTTCCAAAGCCAGGACGTGATGACCACCGTTAGCCAAGGAAAGGTCCGAGGCTTGGGTCCGACCATTTCGATAAACCACGACAGCAAGTCGTACCGCAAAAAACGGATAGGGTCAGTAGGGGCGGGGCACCCTGCTGATTCAGCAACGTCAAGAGGATTTGCAGGACTCTTGACAAAGAATGCTCCCAACACACAGTCGCTGTGTGTTACTGCCCCTATTGATAATTGTCCCCGTCACTTTGAAGATCGAAGTGACAAGTGAATTTTCACTTCGCGCTTATTTGACTGTGGGGCGTTAAAAAAACATTTTTGACGCCAGTCGCTAGAGGATAGTGGACATAACTATGTTGAGCGATAGTATCCCCCTATGAGGATGACGGTGTACCTTGCAACAGGCGCATCCGTAACAGTGAACAAACATGTGGTGGGAATCTACTACATGCTAGAAGGAAAACAATACGATGATGACTTTATTGTATTAGATTTGGATGCCAAATTTGATGTCATCCTTGGTCTGCCATGGCTTAGGAAGTGTCAGCCATGGATCAGCTGGAAGCATCGATCCGTGAAGATGCCTGCCATTTGTTCATCAGATGGCCATCTGATGAACGTCTTGGAGCGTCCACAAGCGAGTGGATGCAGTACGAGTGCGATGGCCTCACTTGTGGTACGGTCGTTAGTAAGACTGCACAAGATCACAGTGTAGAAGGCCACTGCACTGTGGAACCAGCTTCTGGCACCTGTGTAGAGACATAGGCTGCGCCGAAGGTTCATCACTCGAAGAGATCGAAAGGGCTACAACACGGATGCACACTAAGAGGGGTGCATCCGAGAAAAGACATGAGTATTGTTCAGGGTGATCAACAAGTTGAGTGAGATCGACCAACAGAGAGTCGATCGTAGATCAATCCCGATCGACTATCAGAGAATCGATCGAAGAGGACGTGACTGTGTTAGTACACCTATAGTCAGTACACATAATGGAAGAAAGTTCCAGCGTTCTTGAGAGCTATAACTCCCGAAAGAGTTATATTGAGGGTGTGGATCCCCAACCACCTGCGGATGTGTGTACATAAAAAAGCACTGAGACATTGCATGTCTTGGTGAATGACGGGTCAAGCGTAGGCGCGTATACGCTTGATCTGGTTACACCTCCGAAGTCAGCTTCGGAGATTATCAAATTGCCAACGCTAGAATCTAAAAGATTCTTGAGAGATTGGCGAAGTGACAAGATCAAGCAGATTTGCGTGCTCGTCACAACGGACGAGTACGTCGACGATATTCGGTCGGCACAAGTGTTTGCTGAGAACGAACGGGTTATCATTAGCTCATCGATGGACGAGAGTTTCCTCGATGAGAAGACCCCGATTGAGCGATACACGTCTCAATCGTAGGAGTCTTTGAAAACAAAATCCTTTGCATAAGGATTTGGCTGAATTCAGGAATGTTTTCCTTCGTGCCATGCGAGCTGCCCAAGGAACCGGGTATCAGTTTGATCTCATGTCATGTAAAACTTGAAATGAATTCAAACAGAAACCCGGTTCGAAGTACTGTGTCATGAAGTATTGGCCACTGCCTCGAAAACAGGTCACAGCTATCGACAAATTTTTACCGATCGTCTAGCGGCTGGTCATGTGAGGGAATCATCATCCCCACACAGCTCTTCGACCTTCTGTGTACGAAAGGAAACAGAAGGGAGGCGGAGAGTGCACGCGCTCCACAAATTGAACGCTGCAACGGTACCGGCTCAAACGCCGATACCAAGGAAGGACGTCATCAGTGATGGTATGGCAAAAAAGCACCATCTTTTCGTCCATGGGTCTGATGGATAAATTCTATCAAATCCTCATGCGTGAACGGGACATCCCGTACACAGCAGTGAGCATCCTCAAGGGTATGCTCTGGAAGTGGCTAGTGATGCCACAGGGGCTAAGTAACGCCCATGCAACATTCAACAGATGTGTTACAAATCTGTTGAGACCGGTGCGAGATTTCGCACCGAGTTACTTTGGCGATGGCTTCGTCCGTAGCCGGGCTATAGGTGGAAATCAGATGTAGAGGCTCAAAGAACACACGTTATTTGTATTTTTGCTGCTAGAGAAATACCACTTCTTGGCTGCATCATGGGTAAAAATGGCGACCGCCCTGATCCGGAAAAGATCAAGGCGATTAGCGACTCGACTGTGCCACTTGACTTTAAAGGGACTCTGAAGGTTCCTTGGCTTAGCGGCGTACTGGCACAAGTACTCGCGCAACTACACCGAGATACCCGTGCATCTCTCTCGTCTGCTAAAGAAAAACGAGAGATGGTCATGGAGTGATGAGTGTCATCACTCCTTCGAAGGTATCAATAAAAGCTTGATACGATTACCTGTGTTGGCGATTGCGTATTAGGACAGACCATTCCACGTGGTCTGTGACGCCAGCGATTTTGCGATCGGCTGCGCGTTAATGAAGTACGATTCAGACGGCGTTGAGCGCGTCGTCTGTTATCAATCGCGTCAGCTGCAAGCATCTGAGCGTAATTACCCAGTGATGACAAGAAGTGCCTTGCAATGAAATATGCACTGGCTAAGTTTCGGGTATATCTCTTAGGAGATAGGCCCTTCATCGTTTATAACGACCATGTATCGCTATGCACGACCGTCAACAGTCCACTCCTCTCGCAACAAATGGCGAGGTAACTGTCTTTCTACGCGGATTACAACTTCTCCTTCGAGTACAAACCAGGACGACTTAATATCGTCGCTGATTCTCTTTCGCGTTGGCCCAATTTAGAGCCGACTGCTCATCCCAACAGTAGAGATGATCCTACTGTTGCAACACTATCAGTGAGTGTTCCGTCGTCGAATCTTACCGACGAAGTGCGAAAGGCATACATAGAAGATGAGTATTTTCTGCGATTGATGGATTACGTGTCAAATCCATACAGTCAAGCTTTGAAAAGCTTGACGTATCGATACCGCTCTTCGAAAGAACGGTATTCGGTTCGTAATGGAAATTTTGAGCTATACAGCAATCAACGGCAACACACCTGGTATCATCGTTCCCACTCAAGATGATTTGCGATTGTGCGTCATGTATGAGTGTCACGATGCCCCAACAAGTAACATCGCCGTAGAGAAAAGACTTACCTCACGGTAAGTCGTGACTTCTACTGGCCCCGCCAGTATGAGTTTGTGCGCAAATACATTCGCGCTTGCGAAGTTTGTCAACGGGTGAAGCCTAGTCGTTCATCACGCGCACCCTTGCAGCCTCTTCCAATTCCGGCAGAGTGTTGGCAGTCCGTATCGATGGTCTTCGTCTTTGTTTTTCCCATAGACGCTCAAAAGAAATACTGGTATTCTTGTGTTTGTTGATCGGTTCAGCAAGATAGTACATCTTGTTGCTGTAACGGAGTCAATCACAGAACAGGGCTGTGATCGTGTCTTCATCGATACTATCTTCCTACTTCACTAGTTACCCCGTTACATCGTGTCTGATAGGGACCCCAGATTTACAGCGGAGTTCTGGCAATTCGTGTTCCTTTCACCTGGAACACTTTTGACGATGTCAGATTCTGACCATCCAGAAACAGATGGTTGAATGGAACATGCCAACCGCGTCCTCGAAGAGATGCATCGGGGGTACGTGCACTCGTTTACGAGATGGAGTGAGGTCCTTGCCGATGGCGGGTACGCCATCAACAATTCGGTGCATGCGTCGACAACGCATACACCATCTTTCGTGAATGCCCTACGCCATCCAGGTTTACCCGCCTTCTTATAGTGTGACTCTAGTTTAAGGGGTGGTGGATTCGCTCGAACGAAAATTGAGCTGGTTCTTGCTCATCAACCGTCGACAATGGTGTCGACGTGATGGATGCCGATGTCGATGGGATCGATATCGATGATGACGATGATGACGATGCTGGTATATTCAGCATCGCCAACGACTGCTACTTTGAGGATGATGACGCCCTCACTGGTGAAGACGATGTTCTGTCGGCAGTGCACACGAAGCGCACTGCTGTTGACAAGGATGATTCAGCAGAGGACTTCTGCTGACTCGCAAAGCGGCTGTCCGCTTCGTTCAAGACTCTATTGCAGTGCAATAGACAAGCGGAAAAAAACGCAGACAAACATGGAAGAGCACATGTTCTTTCATTTGATGCAGGAGACGTAGTTTAACCGTCTACAGTAAACCCACCGAAACACGCAGTGTCAAATGTGGGCAATAGTAAATTACTGCCCAGGTAAATCGGTCCATTTCGTGTGTTGCGCCGAATGGGCAACGCATAAACGATTGAATAGCCCCGTAAGATGCGTACGCATCCTACGTTTTACGCTGGACTTCTCCACCCGTTCTATCCGTACAAGCCCGTATCGAGAGGCGAATAACACGTCCGTGTTCAAGGGCCGAGACCACCTTAGGGTGGTCCCATTTTAACGAGCTAGTCTGGTCGACTAGCTAAGCGACCAGCTCACGTAGTTGAGCGATGTCTCGACGAGCTGCAGCCAGCTCGTCACGAAGAGAACGAATGGAACGTTCGTTCTCAGGTTTTGCGAACGCAAACGCGGCACGATCATCCGACGATCATGCGCTAAGGTAATGTAATTTTTCTTTACAAGATCATGCAGATCATAATGCCGAGTCCGTTCATGAGCCATGTCATCTTGATACTGTTCCGCTACACGGTTAAGCTCCCGAACATCAAGCTTATCCGACCCTCGAGCCGGATCAGGTGTTCTCGCCACCACCACATCCTTTGGTGGATTCTGGTGGTGGTCAACGCTTTCTGGTGGAGCGTATTTTGAGCCACCGCGATGTAAATGGCGTCCGGACGAGTTGCCTCGTCCTCTGGCGTGGTTATCCACCGGCCTCGGACAGCTGAGAGCCTCGTTTCAGATGATTCTTGATGTTTCGGGTCTCGTCGAGCAATTTGACGAGATTCAACCTCTGCGTTCGAAGAAGGGCCATCGAAAAACGAACCCCCTCCCGAACGTGAGTACAGGGGTCGCAAGGTGTCAATCCCTTCGACCATCTCAGACGAGATGCACACCCTCCAGTAGGGATCATAAGAGAGGTAGACCTCCTTAGGGGCTCAATTAGCATTGTTCTGGCACCCTGGACATGGATCGCCCCATGAAAAACAGGGTAACGCTGCCTCTCTTGACAGTCGGTGCAACTTGTACCATACACAGACTGGGTTAACGCTTTTCAAATTAATGCGAGCTGCATCAAGTTCACCGGACCAGGCCTCACGGGCCAATGCACCCATGTTATGGATGAAGGCATTCCATCCCTTCCATGAAGCTTTACTGTCGCGGCCACGGTTGGCGTTGTACCACCGATGTTTGAAAAGCATTTCGGTGAAGAACTCTTCTTCCGTGCTGAAATTAGGAGAAAATACCCTCCTACAGTCAAAAAACGAGATTCGATCCCGTTCGGTGGTCATTCCGGCCACTCAATCTAACTCTTTGCACGATGGCATCAAAGGATGCTACTATTAAAGAGCATGGCGCAGGACATTGCGGTCCCTGGTCTCTTGAGTAGTGTCAGCATGAGCACTGATACCAGTAGCTGCTCGATCCCTCAAGTTGCTTCTCTCGTGGTAATGCATAAATTCGTCAACACCATCACCACACGTCCCAGTCTCCGATGGACTTGCGTGAGACGAGGATTCGTCCAACAAATCGCTCGGTTCCAAGATCTCAGAAATGATAGCCCCCTGTTCCCTAGATCCAGTCAGCCTGGCTCTGGCAGTGTCCACCCGGGTAATCCGAAGGCAGGAGGTGCCGCCTTCGAGTCGGATGATGCACTCGACTCGCCACAATATATGAGCCCCAGTTCAGGCTCATCCACATTGCGAGACGCAGCGGATGTATCTGTCGCACGTGATGACTCACAACGTGGACGAGTCGCAACAGGCACTGTGTGTTGCTCACTTGCAACAGAAGGCGAGAGATCACCTGCTGCGAGGCTTGAAAGTACTCTTTTCGGCTGCACGCATGCGTGCAACCGCCTTCCTAGCTGCTTTGGCAGCGCACCGCATGGACTTTAAACCATGTTATGAATTGGCAAATGAGTTGAAATTTGACCAGCAAGTGATTCCCTTTCGCAGAGTGATCTAACGGTGATCACCCTTTCCCCATTTAATTAATTCAATTAACGGGATGATTGATGGTTGAGGCGGTGGTGATGTAACGGGGTAGCCCGTTACATGATATTGACACCGAACGGTGTCAATAGGTAGAGTGTCCATCGCGACAATCTCCTGCCATTATTACCCGAGATGGATGATATTAGAGGAATTTTCCCCTTTTAGAATAACATTCATGCGCTGCTCAAAGATGGGTTAGTAAGACATATCAACTATAGATTGCCACCAATCTCTGCTAGACGCGCGCAATGAGTGGTGAGCAGGTTGTCGTCATACGACGATGTAGAATAGGATTTAAGATAAAAATTAAAGTTATATTGATAGCTTAACTATGTTACATACAGCTCTCTTTTACCTTCACTCAAACTAGCAGTTTGAGTGGACAAGCTTCCTCTGCACGTACGAGTGTACGTGAAGTTTCGTGGCACCCAAGCAAAGGGTGCACCGTTACATTAGTAAAGTTGCATCATCGGTAAACCAGTTCCAGACTGTTCTAGCAGAGCAGCAGACCGCGTCGACGTTCTGGCGCCCGGACATCTAGTTGAATATTATCATCAATGAATAATCGAAAGTCAAACATGGTCACCTGCGCGTCTCGCTGCTGATGGTCGAGAACGTCGTCGCCAAGATTTTGGACATGCTCAAGAAACTGGCTTAAAGAAACGACGATTGTAACGGGGCACCCTGAAGCTTGTACTGGTGACAGTACAAGCTACTTATTCTGATGACAGAATAAGGCGGTGCCTCGGAACTTCACGTACACTCGTACGTGCAGAGGAAGACGGTAAGAAGAAGCGAGTACTTGGTTAAAGTAAAAAGTAGAACTGTATTTGTAATAGTTAATGTCTGCAATGAACCACTGTTTATCCTCATCTAGCTATGTCTGAATACAAATGTGTATATCAATTATCTGCTCACCACTCATTGCGTGCGTCTGTCGTGGCGCGTCTTCGTTGGTTGATATAATGGCCTATATCAACCAATTAGGAACTACTCGTAAGTGCTACAGAATATTTGTCCTTATGACAATATTCTGAGAATATAACTCTTGTAGTTGTATTCTATTAACAATTTCTTATAAATTGTTATGTAACGATTCACCCCGTTACATCACCCCCCCCTTAACCATCAGTCACTTTAGTGACTGATTGACTAAATAGATACTCGTCCCAAATCATTTGGGACAGAATTCGCACTTGTTGGTCCGAGTCCACTTTCCAACCTCTCATCGCATGGTTAACAAGCCCATGCGATGCGCGAGCAAGGCCGCCGAGAGCGCGTCCGCACGTCTCTGTGCGGACGCCGAAGCAGAGACAACAGCAACTGATGTCCCATCGGTTGCTGAAGAGACCCAGCCTGTGTCACTTGGTGACGCAGGCGCTGGTCATGAAGACACTCGTGTCTTCACAGAGTACGAGCTCGGTGTCTCGTACTCTCCTGATACGGATGACGGTTCCGTATCGACGGCCATTGAATCTAAGCCGCCTGCCAAGCGTGGCATGAACGATGCTTTGCGTCGCAGCATCTTTAATTCATCTGATGATTCAGATGAACCATCGCCGAAGCGAAGGCGCTCGAGGTCGCGAGACTCGGGCGCTAACAGTGGTGTCGGTTCTCCTATTGATACCACTTCGCAACGAGGTGCCAGTACTTCTGTCGGCACGTCGCAGGAAGAGCGGGACCGCAATGTGTTGCGTCTCGTTCCAGAAAAGAAGGCATGGATGCCTCCTAAATCCGTCATGGATCACTTGTCGGCGACGACGAGTGATCGTTATCGAACACGATTGTTCGATTCGTCAAGGATTCATCACCTTGACCCCAGCGCGAAAGACTATCGCGCTGAACATGAGTTCTTCATCGATGCTTTCTTCAGACATCGATGGTACAGTGGGAATCACAAACGTGATGGTCCCTCACTGCTTCAAGCGTGGAACGCCTACATCCACAACCTCGAGGATGTAGGTCGTGACGCTTGGAACGACAAACTTATCAAAGCTCGTGATAAGTTTGAAAAGCGAACCCCGACAGGTGCACGCTACAATCTGCATCGTCTGTCAAGGGAGAAAGGATTACCTGCCTCTCTTGGGGAGACTCGTGCCCGTGTTGTGTGAACAACTCTGCACGAGCACCTAAGGAGGCTTACCTCCCTAATAGCCCGTGGTGGCGCGTACGTATCTCTATTGAGATGTACGAAGGGATTGACAACTTGAAATCCCTTTACGACCGTGCCGGGAAGACTTTCTCCGGCGGTCCTTCTGCGGCACAGGATGTGCCGCGTCGTACTGCTCAACCAGACCCAGTACGTCGATCATCAGTTGGGAGCGGGGCTCCCAGGAATCCCAGGATGGGGGATAGCCGCGCCACCGGACGAGATAACTCGTCCGACGTCCGTTCACGTCGCGGTGGTTCAACAGCTGCTCAACTAGATAGCGCTGGCGACCGCGAGAGTCCTCTAATGGAGGTGGAGGAGGAGGAAAGACGCTCTCCACACGATCATGTGAATCGGTGTGTTCCCGAGAGCTTCTTTGATCGCGTAACGCAAGGGTTACGCGACGATCTCGAACATGAGCGGAATAGGCGTATCCAAATGGCGGACACTGCCTCGAAGCATCGAGCTGAGTTTACCTTTGCTCAGCTTGAGAACGAGAGATCTCTGACATCTCTTCGTGACGAGCTAAGGGTAGCTCGTGGGATTGTTGATCGGTCTCGGGATGAGATAGCTGCTCTTCACACCCTTGTTGATGCCCACCATCGGGAGCACAAGGCTCTCTGCGAGATGCTTGAGCGCAAGGGCGTTCTTCATCGGAAGAAGCAGCGTACTGATGGTACGGCTTAAGCCGACCAACGTAAAACGTGGGATGCGTTCGCATCTTACGTGGTAACTCGATCGTGTATGCATTGCCTAGGCGGTGTAATACACGAAATGGGCCGATGTACTTGGGTAGTAGTAAACTACTACCCAAGTTAGTCACTACATGCTTTGGTAGATTAACCGTAGACAGTAGGACTAAGTCACCTTTATTAAATAAAAGAGTGTTTGCCCTTCCATTCTTGCCAGCGTTTTGCTTTTGCTTATCCACCGCTTCGGCGATGGAGTCTTGCACAAAACGGACAACCGTTTCACGAGCCAGTATGAAACTCATCTGATGACTCGTTAGCTTCAGTGCGCTGTGAGCGCACTGCAGCAACATCAACCTTTTCTTCAGTGAGGGCTTCCGCACTCTCACTGGAATCATCTTCTTCGATATCGATGTTATCGATATCGGCATCAAACGCAATGACCTCATCGTCAGAGAGTGATGAGCGTGAACCAAATCGGTTTTTGCTCGCGCGAGTCCCTCCCCCCCCTTAAACCAGAGTTACACTCTAGTAAGGTGGGTACACGCGGATGGCGCAAGCCATTCACGTAAAACGGTGTATGTGTCGTGGACGCATGCACCGAGTTGTTGATGGCAAACTCTACCATTGGCAAAAACTCACTCCAACTCTTAAAGGAGTGTACGTATCCTCGAAGTATCTCTTCAAGGACACGATTGGCTCGTTCCGTCTGACCATCTGACTCGGGATAATCAGTGTCGACATCTTCAAGCGCGTTCCGAGTGATTTGAACACGGAACGCCAGAAATCAGCAGTGAATCGTGGATCTCTGTCTGATACGAGTTCACGGGGCAACCCATGAAGTCGGAAGATGGTGTCAATAAAGACACAAGCACAGCCACTTGCCGTGATTGTCTCTGGTACAGCCACAAGGTGTACCATTTTGCTGAATCTGTCAACAAATACGAGAATAACCGTATTCCCGCGTGCGTCTTTGGGTAACCCGAAGACGAAATCCATTGAGATGGATTCCCAGCACTCAGCCAGAACCGGTAGAGGCTGTAAAGGTGCACGCAGTGAAGGACTTGACTTCACTCGTTGACAGACTTCGCATGCGCGAACATACTTCCGCACAAACTGATACTGGCGGGGCCAGTAAAAGTCTCGACTCACCGTGAGATATGTCTTCTCCCGGCCACGATGTCCTCCTATAGGAGCATCGTGATACTCGAACATGATCCGCAAACGCAGATCAGTATCATCTGGAATGACAACACGTGGTGTGTCACCAGAAACGGCTGTATAATACAGTAAACCGTTACGAGTAGTGTATCGATCTGCATCAGATCGATACGCAGACGACAATCGTTTCAACGATTCTCGAGATGGTTGGGAGAGATGTGTCAACAACTTCACAATCTCACCATCTTGGGCGTATGCCCGCCTCACATCATCATACAACGTTGTAGATGGGACTGAGGACGTCATAACCGCAACAGTGACTGTCTCACTGTTGGGTTTCGCGACTGTTTCAAAGTCGGGACGACGTGAGAGTGCATCAGCGACGACATTAAGTCGTCCTGGTTTGTACTCGACCGTAAAGTTGTATTCCGCAAAGAATGACAACCACCGCGCCATTCGTTGTGAAAGGTGCGGGCTGTTCACTGCCGTGCGTAATGACGCATGGTCAGTGTAAACAATGAAGGGTCTATCTCCTAAGAGATAGACTCTGAACTTCGCGAGTGCATACTTCATGGCAAGGAGTTCCTTGTCATGCACTGGATAGTTCCGCTCAGCTGGTTGCAGCTGACGCGACTGATAGCAGACGACGCGTTCAACGCCTTCAAGATCGTACTGCATTAATGCACAGCCGATTGCGAAATCGCTGGCATCACAGACCACGTGAAATGGCCTGTCCTGATCGGCTATTGCTAGGACTGGGGATTGTATCAAGCTCTGCTTGATACCCTCAAAGGAGCGCTGACATTCAGCGTTCCATAACCACCTCTCGTTCTTTTTCAACAAACGAGAGAGGTGCACAGTCATCTCGGCGTAATTGCGTGAATACTTATTCAAATACGCCGCTAGCCCAAGGAATTTTCGAAGACCTTTGACATCAACCGGCACAGGCCAGTCGGTGATCGCCTTGATCTTTTCGGGATCAGGACGTACACTGTTCTTACCAACGATGCACCCAAGAAGTGGTATTTCGCTTGCTGCAAATATACACTTCTTGAGGTTTGCATACAATTGATGCTTTCGCATGATTGTAAGAACCTGTCGGACGTGGTTTCTGGGAACCTCAACATTCGACTTTCCATCCATAGCCCGACTATGGATGAATACGTAATCGAAATAACTCGGCGCGAATTCTCGTACTGGTCTCAACAGATGTGATACACATCTGTTGAACGTGGCAGGGGCATTACTAAGCCCTTGTGGCATTACTAGCCATTCCCAGAGCATGCCGATAGGCGTGCTAACTGCGGTATAGGGTATATCCCGTTCTCACATAAGGATTTGATAGAAGCCATCCATCAAATCCATGGACGAAAAGATGGTGCTCTTTGACATACCATCAATGATTACGTCCTTCCTCGGTATCGGCATCTGAGCCGGTACCGTTGCAGCATTCAACTTGTTGAACGCATGCACTATCCGCCACCCTCCTGTTGCTTTTCGCACACAGAAGGTCGGAGAGCTATGTGGGGAAGTTGATTCCCTTACATGGCCCGCAGCTAAACGATCGGCAAAGAACTTGTCGATCGCAAGTACTTGTTCACGAGGCAGTGGCCACTGCTTCATGACACAGTACTTCGAGCCTGGTTTAAGCTCGACCTCGTGTCGAATACCTTTATCCTTCGGTAATTCGCACGGAACAGTTTCAGGGAATACATCCTTGAATTCAACCAAATCTTCATAGAGAGGATTTTTCTTGAGCGATTCCCACGATTGGGAGTCATATCGCTCAATTCGTGTCTTTTCATCTAGGACACTCTCGTCCATAGATGAACTACTGAGAACTCTCTCGTTCTCAGTAAACACTGTTGCTGACCTTATGTCGGTTACACACTCGTCGTCAGCGACGAATATGCAGATCTGCTTGACTTTGCCACTACGCAGATCACGCAAGAACCTTTTATGTTCGAGCGTTGGCAACTGAGTGATCTCCGAAGTTAACTTCGGAGGCGCAATCAGATCAAGTGTATAAGCGCCTACACTTGATCCGTTATTGACTATGACATTCAATGTCTCTGTCATTTCCTGGGGACTTATTCCCTCAGGCCTCGAAGGACTTATTCCTTCGGCTTCCCGGGGACTTATTCCCGCGGGTTTCGGGGAACTTATTTCCGCCGTATTTGTAATCTTGGGACTTATTCCCTTTACTTCCTCTAGCTGGGGTTGCGCAACCACAGCGAGATCCTCTACGAAAGACTCTCCAGTCGATCTAGGATTATCGTTTCGCTTAACCTGAGCGATCGATTGTTTCTCTTCTAGATGTTCCCCGCTAGGGATACATCTTTGTCCCAGTCCACCCGACTTATTCGAGTGGTGGACCTTCGGCGCAGCCTGTGTTTCCTCACAGCCGCCGGAACTTTGCTCCGAAGTGTAACCGTTTGGTACACTAAGGTTTTGTGCAGTCGTACTAACGACCGTACCACAAGTGAGGCCATCGCACTCACTCGTAGTACATCCACACGCTTGTGGACGCTCCAAAACGTTCATCAGGTGGCCATCTGATGAACAAGCGGCAGGCATCGTTACTGTTCGATGTTGCCAGTTTACCCGTGGTTCGTACCTTCTGAGCCACGGTATTCCAAGGATGACATCAAATTTGTCATCCAAATCCAATACGATAAAGTCATCATCATATTGGGTATCTTCTAGCGCATAGTGGATCTTCACTATACGCTTCATGACGGTTACGGATGCGCCTGTCGCAAGACGTACCGTCATCCTCGTAGGAGGTGTGTCACATTCACTGAATTTAAAGTGACCATCTTCTAGCGATTGGCGTCGCACAAAATTGTTGGACGCCCCACAATCGACTAGAGCTCGAAGGGACAACTTATTCGTCACTTCGAGTTTCAAGGTAATGAGTGAGATCCCATTACCTAGAGCAGCAACGCACAACGTTTGTGTGTTGGGAGCAACCTTCATCAAGAGGCCTACAAATTCTCTTGACGTTGCTGGATCAGTAGGGTGCTCCGCACCTACTGATCCTGTCCGTTTTTTGACGGTCCATCCCGTTGTTGCGTCTTTGCACCAACTGCGGACCCTCGTCCCTGCCCCTTTCTCATGGGTGGACGGTCACTACGCCCAGTGTCGCGAGACACTGGAAGATGGGCACTACACTCATAAGCGTAGTGTCCTGTCTTTTGACATCTGTTGCGTCTCTGCAACTTCTTGTAGCATGTAGAGCGAGCCTTCTCGCTCTCTACATAACAGAGTTCCATTGGCTCTGGACCTCCGTTGTCATATCGTCTCGGTTGACGATATGATGTCGAGCTGGCGCGAGCCTGTCTCAGACTGAAGTCTTCCTGTTCCGCAATGGAAATGGCTTGTTCTAGTGAATCTAGTTCAAGTCGGAACAGATGAGTCTTGACGGGACCATCCGCAAGACCCTGTATGAACACCGAAACCAACGTGTGTTCATCCACCGGATTGGAACTTATACAACTCGTGAGATGTCGTATATGTTGAGCGTAAGCGTGCACATCACGCTTACCCTGTTTGAGCTTCAAGAGTTCGGTTCGAGCTCTGAACTCAGCTCTAGGCGGTTCAAACGTTTGTCTGAGCCGCGACTTGAAGACTTCCAACGACCCAAACGCATATGGGTCGTGCAACTTGAGCCCCAGTGCCCAAGTCTTGGCACGTCCTGCCAGATTTGACTGGGCAAATGCAACTTGCATATCCCCGTCGTCGATGCGACGCGCCCTTATGGCGTCATCCAGTTCGACGAACCATCTCAAGAGGGAGTCCTCTTCGACTCCCCTATACTTGGAGATGTCAATCTTCAAGGTTTCGGGTCGACGCGAGTGCATCGACCCACCAGCAGCAGCCTGCTGCTGTCTCAACAGTTCAAACTGTTGAGCACCCTGTTCTCTCAACAACTCTGCTTGTTGAGAACCTTGTTGGTGAAGCAAGGCTACTTTCTCGCGTTCAGCGTCAAGTTCATTTTGAATGAACTTGGCGATAGTAGCATGTTGGGCATCTCTATTGAGAGCCTCTAGCATGACGCTAACAGCATGGATGCCCATGGTCGAACCCATTCGTTCAACCGCATCCCATTCGACATCGCTCAAATGGGAGTAGCCGTCACGCGTAGCGTGGAAGCTTTGGTCATATTCATCATCCAACATATTCATGTTGGATGTGAACGCGGTCCTTGGACGGACTACGAAGTGCTACCAGGTGTAACGGGGCACCCTGAAGCTTGTACTGGTGACAGTACAAGCTACTTGTTCTGATGACAGAATAAGGCGGTGCCTCGGAACTTCACGTACACTCGTACGTGCAGAGGAAGACGGTGAGAAGAAGCGAGTACTTGGTTAAAGTAAAAAGTAGAACTGTATTTATAATAGTTAATGTCTGCAATAAATCACTATTTATCTTCATCTAACTATGTCTAAATACAAATGTGTAAATCAACTATCTGCTCACCACTCATTGCGTGCGTCTGTCGTGGCGCGTCTTCGTTGGTTGATATAATGGCCTATATCAACCAATTAGGAACTACTCGTAAGTGCTGCAGAATATTCGTCCTTATGACAATATTCTGAGAATATAACTCTTGTAGTTATATTCTATTAACAATTTCTTATAAATTGTTATGTAACGATTCACCCCGTTACAACGATGGCGACATAGTAGTAAGTTCGGCTAGAGAAAGCTGTTCTTGATAATCCCACTGACGATAGGCTATGTCTGTTGGCTTCCTTGTAGTTGCAGGGACCAGCGGCCGGCCTGATCGTACGTGAGTCACAGGATTACCGAGAAAATAAACACAACAAAACATGATTTCGGAAGATCGCGGGCTGTCGATTTAAATAAAAACCATTTAAACCCGATCGAAAACACTTGGTGCTAACTCTGGTATCATTTATTCTGACTTTGCTCAATTTGTCAGCGGTCTTTTCTATTTGCCAAGCATCTAACGCTCCATCTGCTGGCACAATTTTGAGCTTGTCGCGCCCTCGCATTAACCTACAACTTTACTTTGTTGTCGAGTATCGCACGGTTCTACGCTTAACACACTCAATATACGCGGAAAAGCCGCCGAGTTTTTCGATGATCCTTCGTCGCACAATATCACAAACAGCCTCTTTTTTCGCGGAGATCGATCTTCACGCGTCCTGCATATTGTCAAAAGTAATGGCGGCACAATAAGCGGATTCCATTGGCTCATTTCCCAGCCTCTTCGCACTCCCCAAAGTCCGTTCCGTACTTACTTCGTCTGAAGTAACTCCATGACGCCAGCGACGTCACGCGTCCCCCTTCAGCTTCAACGACCCCAACCTATCCAATGCCATTTTCCAATTCGCCCCTTCGGACGCACTCGGTCGGTCGTTGCCGTGATTCGTCGTCGCCAAAGTCCAGCCACGAACATGGCCGCCCAGGTGGACCACTCGAACCCCGTCACGCTCTCGCGCTTCATCTTGGGCGAAAAGGAGATCCAGGGCAACGCCGACCTCAGCGTGCTCTTCACGTCCATTGAACTCGCGTGCAAAGTCATTGCCAGCGCCGTGCGCCGCGCGGGTCTCACGGGACTCTACGGCCTCGACGGCTCGGAGAACGCCACGGGCGACCAAGTGAAGAAACTCGACGTGCTGTCGAACGACATTTTCATCAACTCGCTCAAGTTCTCGACCAAGATCGAGGTGATGGTCTCGGAGGAAGAAGAGGAGCCGATCCTTGTTGAACATGCGACGCAAGGCACGAAGTACTGCATCGCCTTTGACCCGCTCGATGGGTCTTCGAACATTGACTGCAACGTGTCTACGGGCACGATCTTTGCTATCTACCACCGGGACGCCTCGTCCGAGGGAGGGTATGTACCGTCTGTTGATCTCTTAATGGAGGAGGAACAGGGATGTCTTATCATCGAATTCGTTGGTAGTTGCAGCGAGTTTTGACGTGGGGCTTTTTCTTTTTGTCTTTTTTTGTGACATGTGTGGAGTAGCTACAAGGATATTCTGCAGCCCGGTAGCAAGCTGGTGTCTGCGGGATACTGCATGTATGGAAGCTCGACACAGTTGGTGCTGACGTGGGGCAAGGGCGTGCATTGCTTTACGCTGGACCCTACGATTGGCGCCTTTATGCTGTCGCAGACCAACATTCGCATCCCGGACGAACCCAAGACCATTTACTCCTGTAACGAAGGGAACTATGCCCACTGGGACCGCGCGACCAAGGCGTTTGTGGACGGGTGCAAGACTAAGACGAATCCGTATGCAGCCCGTTATGTTGGCAGTATGGTGTCGGATATCCACCGCACTATTCTGTATGGCGGCATTTATCTTTACCCGGGAAGCGAGAAGAGCAAAGACGGCAAACTGCGTCTATTGTACGAGTGCAACCCCATGTCCTTCATCATGGAACAGGCAGGAGGTATGGCGACCACCGGTACGGAGAGAATTCTCGATCTGATCCCTTCGCACATCCATCAGCGTTCGCCGATCTTTCTGGGGTGCAAGCGTGACGTCCAGCGGGTCATCGACCTGTACAAGGAGCATAGCGAAGCTTGAACGAAGGATGTGGAGTCTCTGCGAGTTGCAAGGTGCACATTGGCTCTCCGAAAACGTAACATGATACGAAGTAGGCCTGATCTGCATCTTTCTACTGTCGTGAAAAATGCAGCAAGCAGTTGAATCCAGCAGAATTCTGCTGAAAACGGCCTAAAGTTGAATGATTGTACAGCTCGCCGTTTTCGTTGTATAACTTTCCACTATGGTTGAGCATCGACGATCAGTCCAAATACCGCACGTCCAATGATGCTGCTCCTCTCTTGACCTGCTTGGCATCACTTGCGATGACTTTTGCTCGCGAGTACTTCTTTTTGTAGGCGACCTACACTGAGTGAATCCTAGATTTTTGTCCCTGTTTGAAGTGCTCACAATCGAGTCTTACTCGTCAACATGCAAATCCAGCTTAGCGTCGCAAATTTACTCCAGCCTTCGACTCTGGTTCCTTTTACATCATCACTCCTTTCGGTGCAGTCGTTGCTTTTTCAGTTTCTCATATAAATTGGACTACGTCAAAACCAATTCATTGAGTTATCATAACCTTCGACCTCAGGACGCCATCGATCATACTCGAGCCAGTTCACGATCTACCGAAGTAAAAATGCGACCCTCGCCTCATGAAAGAGATACAGATCAAGGCAAAAGGGCGTTTATTTGCACTGTTGATCATCCTCTTGTGGTGTCACAGCTTAATGAGATTTGCACAACATGATGAGGTGATATCGTTTGGTATGAGAAAGGTCCTCGCGAGATGCAAATTAGCGACGGGTTAGTACACACATTGATGTCTTAATCAAGAGCAGAAAAAGAGAGTCAACGGGAGATCATGATCGGTGCGTGAAAACCACGGTACTGAAATCGCGATAGCAACGCTCTCGAACAAACTAGAGATGAATTAAACTCGTTCAAATCAGATGTTGCGCTTGCTTCTCGTCATACGACCGGGTGATTATTAAAGCTCAGACGTACTAGTGTTGGCGTCTTCCTCTTGCTTGACGTAGCTGCATTTAGCGTGGCCCAGCTCGTAGACCCCGCCTTTAAGCATCCATGAGAAGGCGATGTCCATCGTAAACTATCGTCATTTGCGTGTCTTCAAGTCATTCTTTGAATATGTATCGCTCGTACCAAATCCTTTCTTGACATGAACGTAGCGTGAACATCACTTTACAGTTGACAGCAATGTCGTGCATTTTCAGCAACTTGAGACGTTAATGATCTACGTGACTAGAGTTATATGGCAAGTACTGACTCCTTCAGTGGTGACCAGGAATCCTTGAATCCATAATGTTTCACGCTCCAGGAACCCGCACCATCAGCGCCGTACAAATAGTGCAGCAACATCCAACGGAAAAGCCACTCACACCTCACGGCTAACTCCATGAATGTGCACAGTTATTCGCTCACTATCTGTAGTACGTGTATTGGCACATAAGACGTACGCGCCACGAAGCAGAGTCCTCTTTTGGCCTGGCACAAGAGCCGCTTTTTGCGGTGGTCAGGTCTGTTGTCAGTTCTACCTACAATTCAAGCCGCCACCCCACTCGGACGAATAGTGCACATTTTACTTGACCATGTCACTCATGAGCATCACACCATTAATGAGAGCAACATTATCAACGACGAGTAGCGGCGATACCAGAACTGAGGCAAGAGATCGCAGATGGTGCCTGTCAAAAAGACAGACTGTGGATACACAATGTCTGTACGCGGACCCAACGCTTATCCCGGAGGAATCATGGACTCAACAGATAGGCACACAATGTGTATCTTGACTACATCAATGAAACGATAGCGACGACGTCAATAGTCGTTAAACCTGCTCCCATAGCTGACATGCTCACTCTCTGCTATCGAGATAGACTTTACCTCTGCGTAAGTGAGTGTCATATGCGACCTAAGAACCGCACATTTGCTGTAATCATGCGACGCCCTTCGTATGAATATAAACCCGACTTGTGCATCACCCCCACCATAATCGACACATGCGATGCCTACACATTTGAAAAGGGTTGCAGCGTTCAATTCATCTCTAGGAAATTACATTGGGTTGTGAAGTATCCCGTCAACGCTCAGACAATTAAGCGAAGCTGTGGTGATATGGTGTACGCATGTACCTCTTGAGATGGTCCTGTGAAGCGAATCAATCGATTGACAATATGCTGTAATTTTGACATGATGCCTTGGTCAAGCAGGCCGGAGTTGCGCTAGTTAGGCGTCGTTCGGTTCTTGATCTCGATGTTGGAAGCGAGGTCCTATGAAATTTGTCTCCGACTAAAGGTGGCTAAACCGGCATACTTGGGACAACATCTCCTTCATTGAGGTTGAAATGAACCTGAGCCGATCACTATGCATTGGATTTGGAAGGCTGCTGTGGGAAGACCGCAGTCCAGCTGCACAGTCGTTTGGCGGACATTTCTCTATTACAGTCAGTGGTTTGGATATGACAACGAAACAGCAAGAAATAATGAAGCGTCACTTGACATAGCTCAATGGGTAACTACTGAGTGTCAGATGATGAGGCAGAGTATAATGAAAGCACAAAGATGTTCTATTTTGACGCTGTATATTCTCCTGTCACGTACTGGGATGGCATGGCCGAAAAGGGTAAGAGGTAGGCCATACTTTTACATTTAGCGGTCAATTCCTGGGACGGAGACCGGCTTGGAAAGTTTCCAGGGGGCTTTCTAAGTGTCACCTTTGCATGGTGACAAAAAAAACAGAGCCGAACGCAACAGCTACTTGCTCAAGAAGCGTCGAGAAGACCAAACATCTGGCTAATGCACAGAAAGCTTCGTCATTTCCCTCTGATCTATCAAACAGGTTACAAGCATCATCATTTTATGATGCCACTTCGAGCAGGATTGTTTTTTCTGCCGCTGACGATGTGGATAGCCCGGGCTCTCGAGGCCCTATCGGTGGAAGGACGATCCAGACAGGTCTTCGTTAGATATCAAGTGAGCAATAAGCGGGAGATCGCCGATAATTACCCGTTCAAATGGCTCGTGTGGTCAGTGCCTTACGAGTTGAACATGCCGTGTTGACACGATACCTCGATCTGCTTATGGTCGCTTCACAGCGCTACCAATGATACGTATAGAATGATCTCAGATATTTCGGAAAGCACCGCTTGAAAGGCTTTGCTGTGGCATTATCGCTCACGTCGCCAGCTGTAAGATCGCAAACGTACGTGACCCCTGGACACGTCATTCAGTGAGAAGATGTTCACCGTCCAATCCACCATGTAATGGCGTATTGATGCATCGCTGCTACGTCAAAATATAGGAGCTAGAAGAGGGCTTTTGTAAGCAACAGTCGCAGAACTTTGCTTGCTCTAGTGTTCATGCAACTACGAATTATCGCATCAAGCGTCACAAGCCACTGAGCGATGTGTCTTCCCGTCTGTCATGATGCGCTTCGCAGCTGATAGGGCAAGCACCTCTACATATGGCGCCTCAACTTTGTCGACTCTCTCCGGTAGATCCTTAGGCTCATAATAAGCAGTGACAATAGTTTTCAGCGTGACTTATTGGTCAAGCATCGGCTTGGAAACAGTCGATGAGCTTTGCGCGTGGTCGACTCCATGTCACGTTGCAGGTAGGTACCCCGCACATGTACATTCTACAATCCTAAAGGCGTTGTCGGGAGATCGAATTGCAAGTTCAAAGCCATCGCAGTAGTGGCCAAGTGGGACAGCTCACGTCTAGTGTGTGGGGAAGAAAAAAAATCGTTCGCGGCGAGCTACCTCAACTAGAACCCTCGACATCAATAGCCACAACGTGATCTTTGGAAAGATCTCGGATCGAATTTAGATCATTCTCCTCATCGTATTATCAAAGCGCATATCCAGGCACATCGTGACCCCACCGTCCCGTCTTGTTTCACCCCTGATTGTTGTCTCAGTCGCGTCGTGATCTACGAAGCCGACGGAGAGCTGATCCGGTGTAAGTATTCGTTCTTGGAATGCAGGCTGAAGTAGAGCGCTTAAAGAGCTGTGTACAGCAAGGCATCACTATGTTGGAGACCTGGACACGCACAAGAACCTACACATTCGACTCGTGCTATTTACAGCTTGGGACTTGCAGGCAGCCAACCTTCAAGCCCCATTTTGCACATCGCAGCATGTCGTCTTTCTTGTTGAACGGATTTGACGCTTGTGTTCGATTTGTGTGCCTACAACCAACTCGAACACAAGCGATAAACAACAGACATGTCCACTGCCCTCACTCACTCCGAATATGCTTCATGCTGCAGTATACAAGTCGGGATGGCTTGAATGGCCAGGATTATGCCACATTGTAAGCAACGCATAGAGCCATCGTGGTATCTTCTGGTCGGTGATGCAATCCCAATCAAGTCTCGTGACCGGCTCAAAAAGCAAAGCCGTACCGTGATCTACTTCAAAACCTGCCGTTTTCCCTACCACGAGTACGCACGTATCTGAGTAAGCTCCATTGTGAGATACAGAGCATTAAACAATTCGCTTCCACGAGCTCCATCTCTGCATCACCATCTTCTGTCGATTGAGGTCTTAACATGCGTGTGTCGCATCTCTCATATCTCTCGGTCATGGCGATGATGTTCATTGGCTCGTGGTGATGCCCCTGTACTGGTATCCGTGCAGACATTGACGTCTAGCCAGACTTCACCCAAGAAGCTGGTTCATGGAGATGCCATCGACCGAAAGGAACAAAATCTGCGAGCCGGTCTACGTGCAGGCAAGGAGGGCGAAGAGTTCGACGACAGCAGCAGTGTAAGCAGCAGTGAAGTCAGTTTGTGGTCGAGCAATAAAAATAGCCGGAAGGAGGGATCGTTTCTTAGGCTTACAAGTTGGCCTAACACTAAAGTTGCAGCGCGTCACGGGTCATGGTGAACACCTTAGCCTGACGGCCATGTCTGGTACTAGGAGTGCTCTGCAGTTACAATAATCACCAGAAGCGATTGTGTTCGTTGTTAAGAAGTTGATTCGTAGCTGTCAGGTAACTGGGATATTAAATCGATGTGGCTTTACTGACTCTGTTAGTGATGCAATCTTGTGTGCGTCACGGCGCAGGGTCATCATGGATGGATGGTAAGGAGCTTCTATGGTAGTCCATAGGCAGACATGTTTTCGAAAGCATAGCGATGCATTACGTGGTTGCCCTGAGTGAATATGACGCCGATACGTCGATGCCGCTTGAATGAGGATGCATAACAAGACGATGCTATCCTGCTCTACTACAAAAACTTGGTGCCAACAAAAAACGAGCGAGTCCTCTGTACAATCACGCGATGCCTTTGCAACAGGAAAGTAAGCTGTCTTTCTTTCGAGTACGTTTATAAGCCTGATAGAACAACGTAGACTGACCACGTTGATACAATCCTCATTCCAAAAGGCAAAAAGGATAGATCAACAAAGCTGCTTTGCTCCCTACTAAATGTTCAGCCGATACCATTTCCCTAAACTCGAGCGTATCCCGATTTTTATTTCAGAGAAAGAAAATCAGCGCTTACTATGATAATCCGATTCCACACAACCTTAATTTTATCTTTCTGACAATCTTTGTTATTTTAGAGATGTCGACGATAGCGCGTTGGATGATCGAGGAGGGCGACGACGACGACGACGGCGATAGCGAATGGGGGCCTGACTACGAGAACGACTCTATTTCGGTCGAAGACGAAGCGAACGAGGACGGGACGCCCATCCTCTCCGCGGAACAGCGCGCCCAGCTGGACAAGGTTTTCAAGGGAGAAGTCTATACTGCCAAAGCTTTTCGTCGGTCAACATTCGAGGCAAAACAGCGGGAAGGCCTTGAATTTGAGCGCATTGCGCATCAATTGCGTGGCTATATTGAAGATAAACAAACGAGCCAGACCTCGTTGAAGCGGAGACAGTTGATGTTTCGCACTTTGTGCGATCGAGAAGTCGTGGGCATGTCGTCCAATGTACAACTGGTTAAGCTTCAGGAGACTTTTATGCCTTTTCAGGAGCACAAGCACTGTCGCGTTGTCGACTCAGTGCGTGACCGACTCTACTGTGGCGGGTTTAATAGTACCGGGTCGAGGTTCTTGACCGCTGGACAACGCGGGGCGATCATGCTCTATGATACTATTGACTGGACCCGGGCAGCTTCTTTGCCGGTGCGTGACGTCAGATGGACCGTCACGGACGCGAAGTTTACGCCGGACGACAAGAGTGTTTTGTACTCGACGATTAATAGCAACGTCCGCATGGTGAGCAACAAGTTTGATGAAGATGGGAAGGAGGACGTGTACCCGTTAGTACGTTCGGTGAGAGGAAGAGATGAGAGTCAGTTGATGCGCATGAATCGGTCTGGACGTTTTGGCGTGTGGTGCATTGACATTAATGCATCAGGCACGGAATTTGTGGCGGGCACGTCGCAGAGCAGTGTCGTGTTGATGGATATGGAGACCCGTGTGCCAATGTGCCACGTTGTAGGACATCACGATGACGTGAATGCCATTGCGTTCGTGGACGGACCTTTGCATACAAACGTTTTCGTAAGCGGGTCCGATGATATGTTGATCAAATTGTGGGACCGCCGAGTGCTGTCGGAGTCGTACCCCAAGCCCCAGAGTGTTTTTACAGGCCATACGGACGGCATCACACACATTTCGTCGAGGGATGATGGCTACTACTTCATTTCAAACTCGAAGGACCAGACCACTAAGCTTTGGGATATTCGAAAGTGCTCGTCGTCGAATCAATTAGATGAAGCGGCAGCGTTTCGTAAACCGTTTTCGTGGGATTACCGCTTTCAGGCGTACCCGGGACGCAACATGATGCCAATCGAGCATCCAAATGACAAGTCTGTGATGACGTATCGTGGCCACATGGTTGTTGAGACGCTCATCCGTTGCTACTTCTCGCCATTACACTCTACCGCCCAAAAGTACGTCTACACTGGCTCTGCCGATGGCCGTGTATACGCCTACGACAGCATTTCCGGCGACCTGGTTGAAATCTTTGCGATGAAGCCTAACGGACTCACTCGTGACGTCCGCTGGCACCCGTTCGAGCCGACGATCGTGTCTCCCGACTTCTACGGCAAGTTGTGCGTCTGGCAGCGTCAGGACGATGAAGAAGACAAATGCTTACCGGTCGCCGAGCATTGAACTGTCAGGCATTGATGACCAGATATGCCGCACGGCGTGCGAATGAGTGTCGAGGAAGACAAGATATTGTGCTTTGGGGTGATCGGTGATCGGCATGTATGTCAAGCAATTGAGACTACTGCGTTGACCTCAACATGAGTGTAACAAAATGCACCCGATGCAATAACCGGGTTGGATGCAAATACCACCGCTCTGGGGCACGAAAATACATACGATCGGTGTTGTGTAAGGGCCAACTATCCCGTTGTATACGTTGCGAAGAACAAGAAAAGTGGAAGATAGTTGTACAAAGAGAAAATTGATTCAGACAACGGCATCTGTACCCTTGTCTCCATATAGCTTCATGACCGATAGTGCAGTCGTATCCTTCCAAAGTGATATTGCTGCTCTAGCGCCACCTTCTGCCTCGGTGGGAGCGGTATGAGTGCTTTTCAATCTTCTAATGCCGCTCTTCACGCAGTTCACACATTGATAAAAACAAAAGTGACGCGAACTCACGTTTCGCTTCGCTTCTCTTGTTGCTTGAATTAGGAACAACGCAAGTGTGAGCATCTAGATGATGCCACGACACGTCTTGTTCCTGAAAGACTGTAAAGGCAACTGAAACTACGCCATAGATTCATTGCGAGCATCACGCGTGTTTAAATAGCTCCGACGATCCTTGTTTGATTTCATGATCAAAGTAGTCGACTAGTCTACGACTGCTTGTCGCCATAACGTCCACCAAGTTGGTCATCTTTCGACCAAATGTCATAATTGAAGCGTCTCTCGACCTTACTGATACCCCAAAGTGGTCCCAGCAGCACCCTCGTTATCATTACAGTCAACATTTTGAACCTGCACGGACCCTAGCCCGAAAGCTTGACCGGAATCGAGAATGTAGTTTCTGAACGCAGAAATAAAGCATGCGTTCCACACCTGGACTAGAGAGCAGTAAAGCAGCGAGCACCGCTTCCACGTTGACCTGCACTGTGCGATGCCATGTGAGCTTCCCACTCGAGTAATCCACACTACCGTCACCATGCTTGCAACAAGTCATCGAAAACCTCTGCTGCATCGGCAGCTATCGCTTCTTATATCAAGCAACAACGTGATCCGATGCGGCTTTCCCCTCGTTCTTCAACTTTGACGTTGCCATGACCCCGTTGTAGCCGCCGGTTGTCCAGCAGTTCCATAAACCTCTCACCCGCTCCGTCGTCCAACCATCGCCGTAGAAGGCTCCGTCTCCAAACTGGTACTTTATATATTCGATCTAGACCCTGACTGTCACCCTAGTTGGAACCGAAATGAGCCTCAGCTGAATCTTTGCGGCAAAACACCCACAACCAATCAACGTCTGTCTCGATGTTGACATGCAAAACGTCATGGCTACAGAAAAGTAGTCGATCGTGTGATTGGCTGAAATGCACCCGCTACTTCACAACTTTAACTACAACAGCAGCAGCAGCAGATGAAGCGCGGGCGAGTGACGACTCGTGGCTCGACGCGTCGTGCCTTACGACGGAAGAACATCGTGCTGGATGAAGAGGACGAAGAGGAAGAAGAAGAGGAAGAAGAAGAAGAAGAGGAGGAGGAGGAGGAGACGCCGGTGCCAAAGCTGACGCGAGCGCAGGCCAAGAAACAGGAGGAAGAGGCCAAGAAGAAAAAGGAGAAGGAGAAAGAGGAGATGGAAGAAGACGAGGAGGAAGAAGACGAGGAGGAGGAGGAGGAAGAGGAGGAAGAGGAGTGTGTGGGCAGACGCAGGATGGTTCGTGGACGCCAAAGGAAGGAGTCGGGGGTGAGAGGGTTGAAAGATCCTCCTAGAAAAAAACAGAAACGAAAGATTGTAGACTCGGAAGAAGAGGGGGAAGAAGGAGCGGAGGTGGAGGAGGAGGAGGAGGAGGAGGAGAAGGGAGAGCAGCAGGATAGGGACGAGGTTGAAGATGAAGAAGGAGAAGAAGAAGCAAAAAGAGATAGTGAAGAAGGAGAGGAAGAAGAGGACGATGAAGAAGGGGAAGAGGAGAAAGAAGAGGAGGAGGAAGAAGAAGAAGAGGAGGCGGAGGAAGAATTGGGTGACGACGACGACGATGATGATGACACGGACGAAAAGATGGAGAGGATGACTTTTCGGAAACGAAGTGTGCTGGCGCGGGTGGGGGAGAAAAAGTCGATGATGATTCGAAAGACGAGAGCAAAGACTGCTTCATTCGCGATAAGTAACAGAAAAGTGTCTGCGATGAAACCGCGGATAACGAAAGAGCGGCAGGCGCGCAAAAAGACGAAACAAAGTTCTGAGACTGAAGAGCAAGAGGAGCAAGACGCTCGAGGCCAGGAAAAAAGCACTGGAAGGACGAAAGTCAGAGAAGATGACGATTCGTTGAGTGAGATGTCGTCTGCCGCTGCGACGCCGTCATCGTCTCCAGCAAAGCGTAACAGCTTGTCGATTGATACGCTAATGAACGACGCTAACGAGGACGACGACCATGGTGAACGATCGGATGTCAAGGTAACGACAGCATCTGCATCTGCATCGGACGCTGGAACGGATGGAGACGGAATTTCAGGTCAATACTTCCGTGGGGCACTTTGTGAAGCCACAACGGAGTCTAAGATGATGGAGGTACGATTGTGAACGTATGCTAGGCGGTGTTCTACCCTTAAGTCCAGTCTAACTTTGACATTACTAGGTTCTGATGGAAGCGTGTAGTCGACTGCTACGAGAAGGAAAGTCTCCGAGTCGACTGTTATCCATCGGCTTGCTCAGTGCTGTAAAGGAGGACCCCAAGGTAGGTCTTTCAACTTTTGCTTACGGGTTGTAAGACGCATACCTTTGACGGTGATGGTCGTACTATAGCGGTTCGAACAACCCGCGATACTTAAATATCTGCTGCGGTTACTTCGATCGAAGCACTACATCGGAAAAAAAGATTTGATAGATCTTGGAAACAAGGCTAGCACGACCACATCACTGGGGTCTGGGCATCTTCCTGGGTCAGCGGAATATCATCAAATATCGCTCCCTGTGTTGGTGACGAATCTTCTGTTCCAGATCATGAAGGTACGCACATGTGGTGTGCTTACATTGATGTTTCTTTTGCGTCGCTTATGAATGTATTGACGCTTTCTCCAGGACAAGGATGAGTGGCCAGTCGATAGCGTCAAAGTGTTTCTGGATGATTCGCTTTATTCACGAGTCTGGGTGGACCATGAGCTCAGCCAGCTTTTTGTTCAAAATGTGAAGACCGTGCTAGACACAGATGGCAGCGATCAGGAATTTACTCAGTCTCAGGTTCGACAACGTTTCCGGTGCGCAAGTGTGGCGCAAGAGATGAGAAGCCTCATTACCAATCACATCAAATCGCGTCTTGTAGAGCTGAACAAGGAACGGTCCAGTAATTCGAGTGGATCCGCCGTGACGGGTAGCAACCATGCCGTCCGGAATATGATCCTAACACTCGCTGACTTTGCCACGATTCCCCAAGTGCGACTACTTGGTGCTGAGAATTTGGAAGTGTGGCTGCAGAACCCGTCCGTTAAAGGTCCAGCGAAAGAGTTGCTGAACAAGATTGTTTCGCTCTGCAAATCGACAAGCTCTCAAGACATTGCTATGGTGGACCTGCTTTTGAAGCTAAAACTAAAGCCAACCATGTTTCAGCTGAAAGTTGAAGTCATCACGCATCTCGTATGCAATAACCCTGTTTACTTGAAGCGTGCTCTTTCGATGTTCATTGCCCGAGAGCGCTTTAGCAACACATCACGAGACGTGGATAACATCAAAGTGCTTCAGCACATATTTCGTGCGTCGCGCTCGGCATCTGCTTCTTCAATTCTGGGTGACCCGGATGACTCGTTTTACCGTCGCCCGATAGAGCACCGAGGAATTCTTGCCAGTCAGGAGCTTGCACACGTATTTCGAGAAATGGCGAGCGTTTCTGACGTCACTCCAGTGCTCAAGACGATTGTACGCAAGATTCTTAAGCAGCTAACATTTGAACAGGTTGACATAAAGGCGTTGTGCGTTGGAATTCTCAATAATGATCGTCACTGGGATGCGTTGGCGGGTGATGCGCGAATCTTGGACTACATGGGACTTGTCACCGGTGTCGTATGGCTGATACTGCTTATGCGTGGAGCAGCTGTGAAGAGTCTTCAAATTCAGCAGTCCAGTGCAATCAACCGTCAGGGCACTGGATCGGCCACTCTCGGTTCGTCAGGTCTCAAGCACGGTGGTGCTCAAGCTGCGCCTCGTCGTGCTGCTAACCCACCACTTTTGGTCTCTAGGGCAAACAGACTTGGTCCCCAAAAGGCTAAGCCGTCATTGAGTAAGTCCTCGCTATCCTTAAATCACGCCACTGTTAGCGGGAGTGTGAACACATCAGTTAGTCAAGGCCCTACCGGAAACAGCGGCAGCAGCATTGGTGGCGGCGCACCACCCGAAGGACCGAAAACCGTGAAAATGTCTGTATGGGCTAAGGAGGAACTACAACAAGCACTTGCTTTTGTGCAGCGAGAGGCAATTGTTTGTTGCCGTGACGTCTTCAAGCACTTCGGGCTTAGCGGTGACGCGCCTTTCGAGAAGATGCTTTACGAGAGCATTGTAAAAAAACTGCTTTTTCTTGAAATGCCACCAGACGTGCAAGCAACAGAGCACGATCGGACTTGTTTCCAAGCAACGCAGGAGGATATTCCTGTTCACCCCGACTCGTTGGAACTGCTAACGAGCCTATTTGTATCGTGCAAGGCCATCGACAGTATGGAAGCTCTTCGGACGCTGGAAACAATCGTTTTCCGCGGCGCCGAGGCCCACATGAACCGTGAAGCTTTGTGGCGCCACCACGAGAATGATTTGGGTGCATATGCTCAGAATGGTGGTGTGCTTGGCATAAAATTGAACGATGGTCACTTTGTCCCGCACTTGCTTCAACTGGCAATGGTACGTCTTAGCTTATATTTCCCACCGCCTGCTTTCGCGTTGTAATTCGATCATTGACTTCTGGGCGCTGACGTATTCCTTACAGTGGCAAGGAGTCGACGACAAGCAGGAGCAAAAGTTCTGCCACTCAAGTCGCTTTTGGATTTGCTGCTCTATTTTACTGGTACGGCTGCCCTTGGCATCTATTTCTATGGATGTGTCACGACTAAACTGGCACTGACGCCCTCGTTGTACATTTTACAGATTGTTGGATGCTTTAACCCCGACACTGTGGGTGCGTCTTTATGGGAAGATTTCCCGACTTTACGAGCGATGATGCAGATGATCATTACTGGGCGATATGAGTTCCCCGCCATAAAGTCTCCCGATCCTCTGCTACTCGGGGAACACGGCAATGCGTTTCCAGACCTGATCCAAGGCAATTTGCAGCTACGAGACTATGAACAGCAATTTCTGCAGCTGAATCAAGCCGATCCATCAGTGATAGAGGATCCCGTTATGCTGTTCGATGCCCGCGGAATGGCACGTCAACCGCCACCGGCAATTTTGGATCACTTGCGTACTCTGAATCTCAAGTTCAAGCTTGGTATACGTCTCCGGCAGAGCCGTAAGAAAGATTTTCTCATGGAGATGGTTGCTGGAAACGGTGAAAAACAGGCAGCTCTAAACACCAACCCGACCGACACTTCAACTGACAGTGCGTCGTGGATCGCAGACGTTGTGTGCGAGGACTTCGATACTGTACAATACCTTCCGCATGGATGCTTGTGTCAGCTTCTTCTTCTTGCATTGCGGTTCAACAACTCCCGTGGAAGCTTGCAAGGACATATTCTACCAAATTTGCCTGCGTTGACTAAGATAATTCCACGCTTACTGGAAAAGCTGCGCGAATATCTTGCCGACGAAAATGGTAGCTCGGGGGTGGCATTCGATATCATTCTGTACTATCTGGAATGCTTGAATTCGCCCGAGTTGGCTACGCGACGAGTCGCTGGTCATATTTTGTACTTGTTGACTGCGCCTCGCACCGTTGATGAATTATTGAAAGAGACGTATAGGGTCAATACTACTTCTAGTGGAGAAAGTAGCTTGAGCTTTTCGTGGCTTCAAGATTTGGCAAAGCTATCATGCTATGGTAATATTCGTAATCAAATCTCTCGCTCTCTGGAAACCCTACTGGAGCTGGAGGCATCAATTCCGTCACTTGGCAATTGCATGAAAGCATTACATGATTTCTCGAAGAATTGGAGCGATGTAACAATTCGTGCTGGTGCGTTGGAACACGGCCAAATGGATGACGATGCCAACCATCCCCAAAAAAGCGCTATCGAGCATTCGATGCTTCTAGCAGGTGCGTATGGGCGACTTCTTGCTGGGCGTGATCTGATTGCGACGCTGCTGCTCAAAGACCACGATATATACGTCATCGCTGTGGAGGTAATATGGCGTGCAATCGAATCGCAGCTAGAAATAGCCCCGCAGCTAAAGGCAACCTCAGGTATCAGCTTTTCAGACTGCAAGGTATTCTACGTAACCGACGGAGCAAACACCATTCGTGAGATCAAGCTTCCCCTCGCAATTATTCATGGTGCCATTCAAGTGCTCTGCTCACCACATGCACACAGCAATCTACCTACACACGAAAGCAACCGAACTGCCACCTGCTTAGCGAGGTTGACCCAGAGCTTATTTCCAAAAGCGACGGCGAATGCAGCTATCTTGTCTAGCACTGGTCTTGTTGCTACGAAGGACCCACGGTTGTATCCGGACCACTTGCTAATCAAACTCGCAGCCGCAACCTCGTCAACAGCGTCACACCTTTGTGCTGCTGCTATACGTGCAATGTCAAACGAAGCGTTATGGAGTCTTCTCGAGCAGTCAGCCCTCGCTAGCCGGTGCCTTGAGATGGCGTTGTGCATCATTCTCGAGACAGCACAGAAGTCCGAGAGCAAAGCTGTTGCCAGCCTGCTCGCGGTGACCAAAGAGTCAAATGTTTCGGCTGCAGCGGGTGTTGTACTGATGCAAATTAGTGTCTATGATGCGATGGATTCGCTCACACCGGCCGTTGTTGAGAGTCTGAAGGCGCTACGTACTTGGCTGCAAGTACGGTATGAAGTTGATGGTAGTATGATTGCTGACCAAGATGAGGAGGAGGAGGCTCTCTTGTTATCTGAAGGGTTTACCACATTCAAGATCAAAGCAGTATCCGATTCTTGTGTCACACCCAGCACGTCTCCATTTTACACGGAACCGATGGTTGAAAGCGTTGATAAGCCGTCACGACATATTTCCGACCGTCCGCAAAGTGATGTCACGCTATTCGAGAATGCCTACTTCAGCTCAGCGGAATCTTGGCAAGCAAAGAACGATGCGGCACCGCCTGACAACAGATCGCCATTGCTCAACTGTTTAGTAAAAGAGTTCAAGGGGAACTCTAGCTCGGGATCCTTACCAGCTTCCATCGTCCCTGCAGACTTCGTTGTAGCCGCAAGCCAATCGGTGCGACGGTCGTGCCTGACGAGTGAGGACACGACCACGTATTCTGCGGCTGATATGTGGACGTTGCTCACATCTTTGCTGCATTTTGCTCGCTCTTCTTGCAACTCAACAACAGCCGCTGCCCAACTTGCGAAGGCGTTGCTCCACGTTACGGATCACTTACCAACTTGCACAAGTGCTTCGCACCGCAAGGAATGCATTGGATTTGTACGTCGTGTACTCGACAATCTTGGCGAATATTTTGCGGGATCGTACTCGGCTTGTGTTAGCTTTATTCGGCATTTGTCGGCCATCTCCACAGCAGAAGGTCTCTACTTACTTGAAGATCCACCAACAGCTCAAGATGTTTTGACAGTACTTAAGTTGGTCGTGCAGTTCATCGATGGAAGTCTTACGTGGTGGAAAATTCAGGGCAAGGTGCTTCAACTGGATGCCATGACGCTTTACGGTTTGGTGGTGCTTGTGAAAGAAGTCGAGGTACTTGAACGCCTTCAAGTCGATACGAGAATTACGCCAAGGTCTTATGCCGCGGGACTCTTGGTGCGCGTCGCGCGTGACCAGGGGGACGATTGTACGATACTGAACCTGTTGGACCCGATCATGTCAGCTGACCCTCAACTCGGAAGTATGAGTGGCGTAGTTTCGATACATGTAGACGTCAAGCAAGACCTCATCGGAGTATGTACATGAACATCTTTGTCGCCTCTCAGTTGACTCACTAATCCATGTATTGTGTGTGTAGGCCTTGTACTTCCAGCATCCCCGACTGGTAGCTGAACTCATGGGTACGCTCGATCCAGACTGGGAGTCATATGTCATCGTAGGCGTCGCAGATACTACTTCAGACGAGCATCGTGAGCTGGTCATTCAGGATCGTCGGTTATTGTCTCAGGTGGATGATACCCTTCACGACCTGACAAAGGATGGCTCTGAGGTCATCGAGCGATTCCGAGAGCTGACTAGGCTTCACCCGAAACTGGTATTGTCGCGTTTTCCTCGGCTGCTCATGCAGTACTTCGGCACTTTATCGCTCTCACAGCTTTATCTTAACACGACGTTTTTTCAGAACGTACGTCCACCTTTTCTACTGCGGTAGCGTTCTTGGCTATTGTGTGTGTGTTTGCTAACTCACTGCTGTGAGTGTAGATTCTGAGCGCCATGCATATCACGTGGCCCTACGTGCGCCATCAACAAAGCGTGATGGAACCGTTTTGCCAGTTCCTGTTTGAGATCCTGCGGGTCGTAGCAGACCATCATGCTGTTGAATTCTACCAACTCGTGTCCCACACATGGGAGTTTTTCTATGATGCGCTAGAGGCAGACTTTGATCTTGCGACTGATCTGATTTTCTCGGCACCGCGTATCGTCTTGTTGGAAAGCATCGTGAGTATGTTCGATTCTCAGCCGGGAACAAAAGCGTTTGGCGAGATTTTGGCACAACGTCATAGTGAAGCGAGCTTGTACGCGACGCTTGACTCGATCCGGAAGCGACGTGACAACCATGGTTCAGGGGCGAGCCAACACCAGCAGATTGAGCAGCTGATAACTCAAATTGAGAGCGAAGACTTTGTGCTTGCTTCAGGCAACAAGTCGTTGACTGAGCGTATCGACATGACAGTCATCACCCAAGGACTACGGGCCATCGATGTTTTGTGTGCAAAGGCGGACCAGGGGGCAGCTGGAGTGGCTTTGTTGCGGCGTTGCGCAGCGCCAGTGGCGTCGCTGCTAGTGACGGAGATGGTAACGAGAGCAATCATGGCAACGCTGTGCCAAACGTTGCTGAACTTGATGAGGAACGACTCAGTCTGTATCGACGAAATCATGCGCTCCTACGTAAAATGCTTGCGCTCCGTGCGAGCAAGCTTGAAGGAAGCTGCCATCAACGTCGTTCTCGAGTTCCTGGTCTTTGCTGACGCGCAGCAGCGGCGACAGATTCTGCAACAACTCTTTGACGACCCAAGCGAAGTCGCCCAGAGCAAGCTCGGCATGTATTTGAAAAGCACTGCGTTTCGCACGTCACTTCTCGTGGCATCGAAGGTGTCAACATAAATCTGACAATGCAACCTGTTAACCCGAGCGATCGTTACTCTCTCTTGGCTAACTTTGCGATAGACGTCGAAGTCGCAGCGATCGCAACACTGGTCAATATCCCAGCAGCGTGGCCAAGCAACGTGCCATAGACACAAGTCAACGGCCATTGCTGCAGTGCGTCGTGCTAACATGTTAGAAGAGTCTGGCAACCAGCAGGAAGCTATGAAAAATCGTCTCACCTGCCAAGGTCGATCCCAGTCGAGCGGGATGGGGAATGCACCCAAGTAGGCGCCTAGAACAGCTCCGATGGATGAACATGCGAGATAGAGCTCGTGCGTGTTGGTCACCCTGCACACCAAATCGTCCAAACAAAGATGCGAGAACACGGTCAACAACCACAGATGCAGTAATCCGTCACCGGACAACACGATCTGATCTCAAGATGTACCTGAGGTCGAGCAGCAAGTTGAGCCATTTTTGCGGGGCACACGTCAAATGCAGCGCCAGCGGCATGGTCGTGCAACCCGAAAGCAGCACAGCGAGCAAGAGTGTCTGCGGCCACAGACTGTTGAAACATGGGAGAATCAAGCGCGTGTCAGCTACTAGGACGTTGGTTCTCAATTATCTCGTCACGTACTCGACGACTGGAGCTCCAAAGAGGACGATGGTCACGTGGAAACCTGCCGAGCCCAGTGCAAGACCTCCGATTCCTGATACCAATTGCTTGGACCGAAACTGATCGGAAGAGCGAAGAATTGCCAAGCTGGAAAGCAAGGACCACCCTACAATAGCAGTCACGACAGGCACGAGGCCAGCTAGAACCGCACTTTCCAGGTGCTGGTTGAATCTGTACATTTGACAATAATTTTTTTAGCTTTTTTGGCAGGACGAAGGAAAGCGCCTGGAGAAGCGAGACATGTGTGAAGAGTGAGAGCGTACAAGAGGACAGGAAGGTACCGGGTCAAGAGGCTCGGCACTACGAGCTGCAGAGTCTCCGCAAAGAACTTCATGACGAACGTCGATGATGATGTGATGCAGCGAGAAAAAAGAGGCCGATTTATTTTTATAAAAAAGCACGTTTTGATTGTTTTGTATATAATTGGTAGTTTTGTGATGAGCTGCTGCTGAAACGCTTTTTTGGCTTTGCTGAAGAAGCGTGTTATTCCTGGTTTTACCAGCGAAACCGAAAACTCGGCAGTGAATGCCGAGTTGATTTTACGCGGTAAAGTCGCGCAAATGACGCACAAACCGCCGCAGTCGCTGACTGCGTGGCCAACGAGTTCGGCCGCTAATTTTTCAAAGCTGCCACAGGACAGACGAGTCAAGATGGTAAACGAACGGGACGAGACCTTTGTTTCTTTGAAAAAAACAGAGCTGAAACGTGTGTGTCGTGACTTGCTAGATCAGGATCCCAGAGGTTTACTATGCCACGCACGACACGATGCCGCCATCGACGCAAGGAGGAGGTTTTTACTTTTTTGGATTTTATTTATCGGTGGTTTTACGACATAACGAAAAAGCATTTGTTTCGGTTCTTGTGTGTGTGTGTACCCATGTAGTGGGCACGGTGTTGCCAACCCTTTCTATCGCAAGCGATCACCGGCAAGCTACCGATGCCAAAGTACGTGGACCGTACCTAAGAAAATGCTCCTAATAGCTCATGAGTGTTAGTTAGCAACTCACGTCATGTCTTGTCTGTAGGTTTCTGGTAAAAGAGATGGTCCTGGCGAGACCGTGAACCCTCGGCCACGAAAGCAGTATCGACCTTGAATGGCAAAGCGTCGAGACGTATTTATCTCGCAAAATGACCACGTGATCGCGTGCTAAGAGAGTAGATGCAGCCTGTTGACGCTGGTTCCAAGTCGATGTGACGCGCGACTTGTACGAGGATCGTTGGTCGCGTGTCAGAAGTGCCAATGTCGACATCGCAGAGTGAGCTCTTGGGAGATGCAGTCCAGAGCGTGTCCGTTCAATTCAGCAACTGATGGCCTTTCACCGCTGTAAGGCCACTCAGTGGAGCTGAAAAAAAAGACGACGACGCGAGTGGCAGGTTGGACATGTTGATCGTGTTCAACAGTGTCAATGTTCTTGTGCGAGGTAAAGCCTCGCACCGTCTGATTGTATCTTTTGTCAGCGCAAGCACTGCAATCGCTCGCAACAGCACTAAAAATGCTAGCACTCTCGTCCCATTGCCACGAGCAACGTCCACGATTGTCTCAGATACCGACACGTGATCGCTATAGCACGTGTGCTGTCTTGTCCTGCGTTACTGTTCCATCCCCAGGTCGTTAATCTGCCTTTAAACATCCCGTTGCCAATCAATAGTCAGTTGGCGACTCTCCACCCGTGCTTCACTCTATTAGCAGCCAAACAGCAGCCAGTCTCGTCATAGAAACGATTATAGAAAGCCACGCATATTCCCCCATCCCTCATCCAGTGCGTCGTCATCAATCCGATGACGAGCCATGCCGTAATCGTACTTAACATATCCTTGGCCATCATTGTGAGACCGTGACATCAGTCGAGATCCGCTATGTCGAGACTTGTCCCGATGCTGAAACACAAGGCGCCCGAGCTGGCTTTTGCAGCCATGTGTGCAGGAGCAGCCTACGCCGTGTATTACGCCCATCACCAGCAGATCACGGAGAAAAAGGTGCGTCAATTCTCGTCTTGGTGGTCCACGTCCATTGCTAAATTCACTCGTGCAGACGATGCGCCAAGGCGTCATCAACGATATCAAACGTGACAGGCTCAAGCAGCGAAACATGGAGCAGCAGCAACTACAACAACAGCAGGCACAGGAACCGCAGCAGTAGATGGCAAGCAGACCTCGTAATTGCCAATCGTGGCCAATCTTGTTCAGTCTGTTTCTCGTTTCTTCGACCGTCCAGGCACCATTGCTGCTTGCATGACCTCCACAACAGCTATGCAGCGCTCTTGGTCGAAGTAGTCGTACTTGAGAAACATCTCATCTGCCCACAAGTGGAAGAAGTCTTCAACCTCTGTTAACTCCAAGGTCGTTGCTTGTGACTGGCAGGCGGTGTCTTCCGTGTCGCAGTCTTCTTTGCTTGACGATTCTAGTCCGATCGACTTTCCACCTTCAACGTGAGACTCTCGAACGTTGCTGACGTCTTCATTGTTTGTTGAAAGTGTATCTCGGACACGCTGGAGGAATTGCTGGGACTCTGACTTGAAATGCGCCGGGATCTTGCAAACGAAGCAACACACTAGGAGCTCGAGGGGGTATTGCAGTAGGCAACACATTTGAGCAGTACTACAGGCGCAACAACGAAGTTGCCACAGGAATCGCTTCAGTTCTTGGAAAAACGGTTCGACATCCTTTATGCAACTGAATTGCAAGAAATCCGAGGATGCAGACAGTTCCACGAGTTCCAGGGTCGTCAGCGTGTAAAGAATGAGCTCCGCAGCTTGGTCAATCTCTGCAGGGTTTTCAGACGTGTCTACGGCGAGAGTGAGAGCGACGAAAACCAGTCGCCAAATTGACGTGGACGCTCTGTTTTGTTCACAACGTGGCGGTAACTCGTGGTACGAAGTCAACGCTAGGCGGCGAAACAAAGCGACTTGTGACGGCAGTAGTGCTAGAAGCTGTGCCTCATCTTGTCCTCGAGCAATATTGCAAGTGATCCACGTGGTTAGCCATGTTCGCAGCAGATCGCAACTGACGTCTTCGAATTCGAGATGCAAGTACAAATCCGTCACGTAGCTCGTGAAGGTGCGCTCCCACCGCCTGATCCTTGCGGAAGGTCCCACCAAAAATGACTGCGAATACACCAAAGCTGCTTTCAACCAGTTAGCAAAAGGTACAAAGAGCTGTACTGCGGGCATCACCGCTTTTGTGTCTTGTGATCGTCTCGTTTCAGCATTCCAAGCTGATGACACAACAGTCTGCAACGCGCGATAAGCTTTGTCACTAATGAGACGCTCACAGGACCAGTTTGCGCAATGGTCAGCAATGACCAATCTTGCAAACTTCGATAGACCTAGCAGACCCAGTATCTCGTCAAGGCGAACGGTAGCACCGCTCTTATTGCAATCTGTTTGTGCCATTGCCGTGCTGGTACCAATCGATACAAGCTGCAGCACATCTCCAGTCACTGCAAGCAATCGATCACGAATATCTGTATCCAGATCCGCATATGCACCAGCGATCCGACTTGAACACGAGACCAAAGCTGTATTTAGTACTGCAGCTATCCAGTATGCGTTCCGAAGCACTCTCTCGCCACCGTCGGTTTGTCGTTTTAGATCGTTCAGACATTTAAACAGCAAGTCAGCTCGACGAGCGCCGTCACAAAAGTCTGTCTGCAATACATAGTCGAACAGGCTGGGCAGCCAAGTGACAGCAGACTGCGCACTAAATAAAGCTGCCGACCACGAAAGTCCGCCATCAAAGATCGATGCCGACTTGGCCAAGAGCTTTAGCGTGTTCTCCTGATAAATAATCGACTTGGCTCGCTGAGACTTGAGACTTGCCATTCGTCCATCGTCATCGTCTTCATCTTGCTGGATGTCACAATTCAGGAATTCCAATCCACGGAGTGGGGAACTTAGTGTCGCCACTGCAGTTTCAGGCAACAACATGCGGCCATTCTTTTGGACGACCTTCGCCAGGTGGTCGAATGCGTCAGGCGAACGACATTTGACGACCGCTTTAATCAGCAAGACAGTGAGTGTCTCGAGGTCAGGAAATGCTGCTGCAGAGAGGTACAAATGCAATGCCATTTCGATCCGAACGGCTGACGTCAACAAAGAGGTTGCTGCAGAGCTCAAGACAGACCGATGTGCCTGATCGCTGAGCTTTCCAGCTTCTTTGACAAATGCTTTCAAAGCGAAGACCAGGTGAGAATCGAGCGAAGTCATGAGCAAGAATCGCATGTTTGCAAACTCGTTTGGAAACCATCGGATGAGTCTGGTACATAAGACCGAGAGCTCCAGTCGAGATTCTTTGCCAACAAAAGCTGCGCCATTCACCTCGACAAAAGAAAACCATCGCTCTAGTTGTTGCCTCAACTCTCCAAGAGTCCCTACGGTGTCTTTTATTTGACTCATTAGCTGGTACGTTTGTTCAAGGTCAGCGAACCTGACTGCACGAAGGAGACGCTGAAGCACATTGCTCGAATGCGATACAAGCTCTTGCTCAAGCGGGTTCGACGTGATTGACGAGTCCTGTTCCGTACGTGCTTTGACAGCTGATAGAAATTTGAGAAGCCCCACTTCAAGCATCGGTGGACAGTGCAGGGCACTTTGTAGCACCTCTGACACGAATTCAAGGGTTGCTCGAGTTTCTCCATGTATCACTTTGTCTCTGCTATAACACTCGAGGAGTTCCGGCATAATGTCCAGCTGAACCATGGCGCGGAAGCCCCATCTGTTGGCTCGAGTGGGTGCTTCCTTAGTATGCGAGCTTTGGTAGACATCCCATGCCTCACAAAACCGCATTAGACGAACAAGATACAGTGCTGTTAGCTCGCTTTCCTTCAAGATGACATGGACAGAACTCACGATAGTAGCAAATTGCTGTTGCCTTGTCATCCCTTCATTCAGGTGAGCTTTACTGGTCGATTTCATGAACGAGACGAGGGCTGGGAAAAGCAGGTGCTTCACACCTCGCTGATCAATCTTGCTAGACAATTGGACGCTTGCACCAGCTCGCAGCAATTGAACAATGAGATGAATGGTCCAAGTTTCCTCGAAAGTGGTCATCATCTGCACGAGTAATCGGCGTACAACTTGGCGATCCCCCTCCTCACGAATAAGCTGCCGTTGGATCGAGTCACCACTTGAAATCACTTCACCGCCAGTCACAAGGATTCCATACATGATAGCATTGCAGTATCCTTGAAATGATCGCAAGAAGTTCATGTCACGATGCGAAGTCGTCAACGCTTTTGCGCCAACACCGAGCATGCACTTTTCGAGAAACAGGCACCAGGTGATCCCATTTTGTACAGAATCCATTCCCGAGACTTCGATACTAGCCTGGCTCATGAAAACGTCCCATTGTCTAAAGTAGCAGCTGTCTTGCTGCTTGCTTGGCCCGGGCTCGGAAAAAATCTCAAACAGCGAATAGAGAAGCCCCAATGGAGATGTTCTACTCCATGCAGAAGACGTGTCTGAGGAAGATGAAATTGTTGCATACCGGAAGCTTCGAGACTTCAATAATTCGCTTACATACGACCGCAAAATGCGTCTTGTCGACGATACCGAGGTTCTTGTGAGGGTGGTCAGTCGTTGAAAAGATCCGCTATCGGAACTATTCCACACGAGCGCAAACGCGCTGATGATTTTCGATACATCAACTGACAATGACTCGATTACACCCAGAACGACACAAAACCCCGGTAAGTGAGTGACTTGCATCCTTGCCTTAGGCAGCAAAAGCATACTTGCAAACGCGTCTGCTTTTGAGCAGTGACGAACAGCATCGCCCAGCGTGATGCGCCCTATTTGCGTCGTGTGCTTCAATTCACGCTCCCAAACGCTCGTCCACATCGTCTGGAAAGCACGCGTCTCATTCGCTGACGACCTTGCAGCGGTCTTGCCAATCTTCTGATATGCCAACACAGTCAGTGATGGCTCGATAGTCGTTTCGGTTATCATCGAAGATATCTCTGAACGTTTTCGGCTTCGACCTGTCTTTCTACTTGATGTCACTTCACCAGTCGGCAGCACATCCCAGAACGCAGACAATGCGACCATCGCCTTGCTCGTCGCGTAACTCTCTCCAGCCTTTTCCAGCACACGAGCGGCCCGTTGTGTACACTCAACTAGAAACTCACCACTTCCAAATTTTGACCAAAAAATATCGGAGCTTGCTCCGTCTCGACAAAAGCGACACGACCTGTTTTCTCTGCTGCTTTCTTGTCGTTCCATTTCCTGCTTACCACAATCCGCTCTCGTCCTCACTCGTTTCAAAGGAAGTCCTTCACCTGATCCTCCAGTGGCTGCGACCTCCATCACTTCTTCCAGTAGCTTCTCACAGACTTCTTGGATCCAGCGTTGCACTGCAGTCTCCACACCCGTTCTCACTTGACTCTGCAATATCCACCCCAGCAGCAACATCCGAGCTCTTAGTGGCAGTATTTTCCCACCAATAACTCGTCGTAGAACGTCGAGAGACTCGAGCAAAACGACTTTTTCCAGCAAGTCAGCACTGTCGAGGGTAAATAGCTGGCATTGAGCCAATTTTTGACACAAAGACGCCAAACAAACGGCTTTGTACTCGTCAAGATCACTGCTTTGTTGCCACGTGCTTTGTTTCTTTCGTTTCCGAGGCGTTTGGGGCATAAGTTCGACTTCACGGGCGACGGACCGAAACTGACGCAAGACGTGGTGCTTGAGCACGGGAAAACGACGCAAATACTGCCAATCAGGAGGCGGTGCTTGCTCTAGGATACATTCGCATAGTGGGTGAGGAGAAGAGCTCGTGGTGGCGGCGGTGCTGGGCGTGAAAAGAGCGCGCACACTGCGGTCGAGAGCTGCCGCGGCGATCTCCATGGGTCGAATGGTGTGTTGCGAGTGACAAGAATAATGGATGTATTCGAATGATTGCAGCCTAAGTTTACTCTAATCTGCGAGTCCTGTTTCGCTTGGTAGGTGAACGATAGAGTGATAGAGAGTGAGTATCCGACTGATCGAATCATGGAATTACGCCTTCGATTAGATGTTCTATTGCTTGTAGAGGCAGAAAACGATGCATCGGATGAATCTCACCACATCCGTTTTTGTGGACTGAAGGAGCACGGCTGAGTAAAATGCACTGAGCCTGGTAGATAGAAGATCAAGTGCGAGACGATAAAGTCCTTTTAAAAGAAGATACCTGTGTCTTATCACCTTCAGCAATGAAGAACATCCCGGTGTCGTAGCCTGAGCACTCGACAATCAATTTGGCCCTACCCGTGTTCTTCCAGGAGACTTCATCCGCCACTACAACCATCCAAAGAGACAATAGGCTTCACGGTCTTCTTCTATCTACCTGAACCAGCACTACAGGAACGACTGCTTCTCCTTCTGACGTGTGATCGGATCTCCACCTTGGCCATCCTGGACGACAGATGCTCACTTAATACTGGTAACCACTTGTGCCGTAGGGATTGCTGCCCATGCTGCCCATGCTTCCCTGGCTGCTTGCGTATGGGTTCTGCTGCATCCCAGTCATGGCCATATTCGGCTGCATTCCCAATGCCATGTTCATACCGGGGGCCATGCCCATACCGTATTGGGCCGAAGGGTCGTTGTAAGCTGTGGGCGCGATGGCCAACATGGGCTGCATACCACCCATGCCGTAAGCCGGGTCAAGCGACTGCGCGTCCGTCTCTGGCTCCTGCTGCGTCTGCGTGCGCTCATCGAGAACCTTTACCTTGTCGTTTAGGTTTTTCACAAACTGAACCATGTAGGGCATGACGAAGTCAGTGTAGCCGTGGCGCCACGCAAGCTCTAGTGCAACGTCAGGCTTGATCAGCTTGTAGCACGTGAACAGAGTCGCGCAGAAGCATTCTTTGTCGTGGACAGACACGAAGAAACGCAGAATGTCTTCAGCAAGCTCCGGGTCGTCTGAGTCGCTAGCGCAGTCAATGCAGTCCTTGTACATTTTGTCGGCCTTTGACAGCTTTACAGATTGTGGGTAACGTTTGTTCTTGCGGTATAGATAAGCGGCGATACGGCGGAACTCCAGTAGCTCATGCTTCTCCAGCTTTTGCGCCAGCGATATCTGGTCGAAGTTTTCGTACGAGTCCACAGACTCGCGAAGGGCTTGATAATCTTCATCCTCAACCAGGATCTCGTTTAGTGCCTCATTGACGGCCGACAAATTCTCTTTCTGTACATCCTTCAAGTACTCCATCACCAACGGTAGGTTATTCGACTTGCGAAGCTGGTGCACGACTCGAGCGTGATCCAAGTTCGGGGTCAGCACTTGCAAGAGACGCGTTAGCTCAAGCGGGTGCTGCTCCAGATAAAAGTTGATCGCCTTGTAGTGGATCTCCTGATTGCGAACCTTCTGAATGCAGTCGAGGAACAGGTCGTGGGAGAATGCAACCGGATGGTCAACCATGGTGCGAACAGCATTGTCAAACTGACCGTCCTCCTTGTACAAATACACGGCGTGGTCCCAGTGCAAGCCCTTCTCGCAAGCACGGAGTATCTTTGACACATTCATACGCGAGTGAAATATCTTAATATGCTCCATAAGTTTGGATGGCATGTACTTCGAGTACAGAATAGCCAACTCCGTAAAGATGCCGGCATGCGCACCTTCCAAGCCTAGACCCTGCTCCATCAGCTTTAGCAGCTCCGTCGAGTGGCCACGCTTCTCGTAGTGCAGGATAAGCTCCTCTAGGTGGTCCGGGTGCACAACAATGTGCAAGCCACAGAGAGCAGCAAGACGGAACTCGTTCACGTCCACACAAGCGTAATTGACCTCTTTCCACGTTCCCACAGAGTTCGCCTTGGTAGCGGCATCCACGGCTTCACGAAACTTGCCGAGGCGCACGTAACATATTGCGAGCTTTGCGTTGTTGTTGATGTTCTGGAACAACAGCTTTGCAGCGGTATACATGCCTTCATCGTAGCACCGCTCACCAATGTTTTGAATTTGCGCCACGTTAGGACTAGAAATGAACTCTTCCAAGTCTGAGTACTTCTCCGTCTTCGCGTATGCATAAATCAGTGACGTGTCAAGATACTGCTCCTTTACCGTATTGCGCGCCATCTTCAGGTACGGAATCAGCTCGTTGTAATTGTCGATACGCTCAGCGGCAGCAATTACGTCAACGTACGAGCTCGCGTCGTTTGCCTTGATGAAAGCCGACAGAGAGTCATGCACTTCACCTTGGCCCAACTGAGCTTTGGCTAAGCGAGACCACACCTCGGATTCGTTACAGCGGTCAGCAAACTCGTAGGCGCGTTCGTTGTCCTTAATAAAGTCCAACAGCACACCAATAGCCTCTACATTGTGGTTCGTCTTTTTGTAAATGACAAAACCCTCCTCGTAGAGCTGGTACTGCTCACCCACAGCGATACGAGCGATCTCCGGGCCGTCAAAGTTGTCCAAGCGATTAACATAGTCCATAACCTTCTCCTTGCCAGCCTTGATAGCTGTCAGAATCAATAGGTTCTGCAAGTTTTTGTTGGTCGAGAAATCAGTACCCTGCAGGACAATGCGCTCGAGTAGTTCGATCAGCTCATTTGGTAGTTCGGCGTTCATGAAAGCGCGCACGGTAGTTGACACTTCGTCTGGGTTGGTCGTCTCCGGAAGCGCTGTCTGCACCACTTGGTCGATCAAAGCACGACAGCTAGGAGACTCTGGCTCACCTTCTTCCTGTTTGACGAGCACCTTACCCCACAGGTCCAGATCTTGACGTTCAACCAAGTAGCGGGCTAGATCCTTGAACAGACCATTTTCCGTCGTCACGCGAACAAGGTCGTCATCGCATGTCCCACCGGCGCGACGGTATGCCAAGTAAGCCAGTGCCGGGTCCAATTTCTCACAAAACTTGCCAACAACATCCGAGTCGTAGAACTGATTGTTGATCAAGAACTGTTGTGGATCCTTGTTCAGTGTAATGTATATCTTGCCAATAGCGTTGTGAGTTGCAGTCTCCGTGTTGCCCTGGGCAACACGTGTCTCAAGCCACGGTTGCAACAGACGCAAGCGATTGCGCTTTTCCACTTGCTCACACAGGTCGTCGACAGGGCACTGAGCAATTTGGTTCAGCAGGTTCTTGATGTAGTCTTCATTGCAGTCTAGATCCAGCAGCTTGCCAATGACAATCGGTGCTTTCTGTGGGCTCACCTTCGTCACATACACGTCGATGTATTTCATCAAGTTGTTTGAGTACAGGTATTGCGTCAGCTCTTCCACAAAATCGTATCGGTCGCACACATGGATAAGTGGACGCGGGTCCTGCAGCTTGGACTCCTTCAGGAACTCTTTCACCTTGACAGGGTCGTACACAGAAGAGTCGCGACAAACGCGCTCTACCTCCTTAAATTGACCCATTTTTGTGGCAGCTTCAATGTACTTAAAGTGCAAGTCAGGATCCTGCGAGAAGTTCACGATTGAACCCAGGAAGAAGTAGAGTCCATCAAACGATTTAAACTTCTCGAAAACCTCCACAAGCTCTTTGCCACCCAGTTGCTCAGCATACTTGGTGGCCACCTGTACAACAATCTGCAGGTTTTGGCGCATATTGTGTGCCATCAGGGCATTGATCAGCTCCATCGATATTTCACTCGTCAGTGTGCCAAAGAACGTCACAATAAACTCGTGATTGATCGCCTGCGTGTTCACAATTACGCGCTTAAGGTCTGCCAACTCCGTGTAGTGCTCCAGAGCACGCTGAAACAAGCCAGCCTTTTCGCAAAGGGCGGCAATGCGCGGCCTGTCGTAGTGCGTGAACATGTTGTTCGACAGAATGGCATCAGCCACCTGCGGCGAACCGCCCAACAAATTGATTTCCAGCAGACGCGTCTGCAAGTATCCCTCTTCAGGACGGTTGTTCTTCAGAGCCTCCAGCAAAAATGCGGTTGTCTCCTGGATACGGTTTACCTGCATGAAGATGTCGACAACAGCGTTGACGTCTACTAGCGGACCGTTCTCCGCAACAGCCAGCTTCTGCGCAAAGTCCAGAGCCCCCTGAGGGTTAGCACGAACCAGGTTCTGAAGCATAAATGTGTAGTCACAACGGAAATTGGTCTGTACGGCGTATGCGACGATCTTGTCGAAGTCGCCACGCTGGACAAAGCAGTTGATCACCTTCTCAGGGACTTCTGCGCGCAAATACACAGAAAGAGCCATCGTGGTGTCAGACTGAGCAACAAGGTCGCCGAGCTCTTCAGAACACTCGAGCTTGTCCTCAGACAGCCACTTCTGCAGCAGCTGACCGCGACCCTGCATCAGCACAGGGCGGGCTAGCTCAATGGACTCCATCTTATTCAATGTGCCCTTCTCGAGCAGAACGCTGAAGTACTGCAAGATAGGCTGAGGCTGACCGGGCTGAGCAGGCATCTGCTGAAAGCGCTGGATCGTCTGGGGCGTGCGAAGAGCCCCCTGAGGAGAGGCGGCTGCGAGGCGGGCTGCACCCTGAATATCATTGACGCTGACAAGACGATTGAACTCCGTGAAATATAGCTCTTCAGCACCCGGTAGATTTAGGCGCGTTGCTAACGATAGAGCCAGCTGCGAGTCGCGCAACGTGTTTACCACGTACGGTACCAACTTTGTCTTGTTGATCGCAAAGTGCAGCAACTGCCCGCGCCGCGTGATGCCGAGCATACCCTTCGACTTCGACTCGAGGCACGTCACAAATGTCGTGTCCTGGGATACACGAGCACGGTACACGGGCTTGCCTGAGTGCGTGTCAAACAAGAAGAGATACCCCATCTTTGTGATCATGTAAACCACATCATCGCCAGGGGTCACAAGCATCGACACTGGGAAATCAGCTTGCGCGTCTGCAGCAAAAGGGATCGGCTGGGGAGGAAGACGAAAGACGCCGCCAGGGGCATCACGGTCCCGTCCGACCTCCATGATAAATAGCTGCGTGGGCTGGCCATCGCCCTTGGTACCGGCAAAGATCAGCACCTGGGCATCATCAGTCCGACCAGGGGGCTTCATCTGGGCAAAAGCTCCAGCATGTCCTAGCAGCACTTGACTCACTTTTTTCTCCATCGAATAGAGCTGCATGTTGCCAACAATACGGCCTCCGTCTCCCTGCGAGATTCCAACGAGGAGCATCCACTGATTATCGGCTGAAGCCTCATAGCTGATAATCTGGGTCCCTGCCCCCAAGTTGGCATGACGGTCAAAGATCTTGACCGGAGACGAGTCGCCTTCGATGCTCCAGTGGAAAACTGCAGATGCAGTGACGATGGCAATCGTATTGACCGAAATCCAGCGCCAAAAGACCACTGCCTCGTTCATCAAGTGGCTCTTCATCTTAGCACGGAGCTCCATGTTAAAGATCTGCAGCTGATTCTCGGCCCGTAAAGCAATGACTTTGCTCACGGGGTTCATGATTGCTGCCTCGGCATTGATTGGCCGGCGCTGCACCGTGTTGCCCGCTGCCATGTCGACAATCACGACACTGGCCTGGCCATTCACCTGCTCGCACACGCAGACAAACTTGTCCGACTCCATCGTCGTCGTGCCGAACTTCACATAGTCCAGATTCACGCCCAAGGAGCTCAACTGGAAGGCAACAGCAGCAGCAGTAGAAGGAGCAACATAGAAGATCGATAGACAATAACGGGTAGGTTAGTGCAATTGGGAGAAGAAGGTAGGGGTAGAGTTGACATAAAGTCAAGCTCCCTCTCAAACTTGATACAGAGGTTTGAATGTCAGTGAAAAACCTCGACAGAAAAGCGCCTGAACTTACGTGAAGCACTTCGCCAAACGTAATGGGAAGATCTTGCGCCATTTGGTCTTCGTATCCTTGGTACTGTTCTCTCTCTTGTAGTGATCACGCTCACGTCTTATGTGTGACTCGAGTCTGTACGGAAGGGGCGAGAGAGAGGGAGGGGAGACGTCACTCGAACGTGCTCTCGCTTCGATCCTTTCGTTTCTTCCTCTGTTTCACGACTGTGCACTTTCCCCCTGTGCGAATATCCAATGCGTTTGAGTAGGTTTTCGATATAAGTGCGCTTAAATCGTGTCCGCCCGTGGGCTGCCATCTGTCCGATGGACACGACGCAAAAAAGACTCGGACACTCGTGAACCCCTCGACGTGACTAAGCCCGCTTAACAAGAATGAGAGGCGGCTCCTCCTAAGGGCCACGCCGGATATGAGTTGCCACGTATGTCTGACACGCTGGACAGTTTCGGTTGACTCGACTTTCGTAGTCGCAGCTGAAGTAGCAGTAAAAGTAGTAGAACTATCTCCGCTGACCTGCGTATCAATTGATGGTGCAGCACAAGCACAAATGGCTACTACAATGAAAAGTTCCACGGACAGCTAAACGTCACGTTAACCGCGTTATCCTCGTTCGTCCTTAGTCGCCCACGAAGTGACTTGATGCACGAACTGCAGTAAGCGAACTGGAGTCTACGCTGAGAATTGAGCAGACGTCGTAAGCGTCACGCCTTTAGCTGCCATATCACGGAGAAACTCCTACGTATCAATGCAGACAGGTAGATACACGCCACATGCATGTTCATTAGTATCACAACAAGTCACGCTTCATAAGTCAAACCAAACACTTGCAAGCTCGTGATGTTCGTACCTCCCCAGCGGCTTCGAACCCTGGAACTGGAGACGTGCAGTCCGTAAGGATCACGAGATCTTGGCGTCGATCTTGAGGCCAAGCTGCGACCAAGTCACGCACTGTGTAGTTCACACAATGGGACAACGCTTCACCACAGACGATCACCTTGTCGGCACGTCCGAGAGACTCCACGAGCGACTGGTTCAAGCTTACAAGCAGATTAGCCACATACAAACCCACACACAGTCAGTCCGTGCTCTTGTCTGCATTGAATCCCTTCAACTTCCAATGCAGACAGCAAGTACCTTGTCGTGAGATCGTAAGGCAGCTCGATCTCGGCCTTGAGTGCCGAGTAGTGCTCCGTGAACGAATTGCTGCCCTTGATAACGTACTGCACGGGTTTCAAAGCCACTTTCGTCCACTCCATCGCAGCTGCATGAACATTCGACACGACGTTGTGCCCAGGCGAGCCAATGATGCAGTGCTCTGGCCAAATGCACAGCGTGAACTTGCCGCTGGATTCCAGCGCCGACGTGTAGGCCAGCACGTACTCCTTCAGACTAGCGTCGCGTGGTCTCCACACGCCAGCAGCCACGTCGTTTGCCGTGATTTGCGTGAACGCCGCGGGCCAGTGGCCGTCGGCGTTCTCCCAGAAATTCGCATGTGCGATGTGGTAGCGCTGGTGCGAGTCCAACGTGAGCACGAGCTGCTTGAGCTTTGAAGCATGCTGCTGAATAAACGCGGCAATACGCGCGGCATCTTCGTTTGCCGTGGGAATCGCAAGTGATCCGCCGGGATGGAAATCCACCTGCTGGTCGATCACTAGCAGACACAATCCACCCGCAGGGACCGCACCTGCCGCTTCTGCTGCTTGCGCTCCTCGGGCCATGCTCAATGTGGCAGTTCTGGCTCGGGATTTGTTCTTTTTCACACTGGAAGATGACGATCATGGCCCGTTGGATGGACAGAAAAGTGGAGCAAAAAGGTCTGAACCATGTGGTATTCAGGAACGAATCAGTAGACGACGAGTCTATAGTTTTGCAGGGGCGAACAAAGCAGGGGACGACTGCAAGTGCAGCATGACGTGACGTGCGACGTATCGCAACATGAGCACTTCAATGGCTCGGAGAACCACTCTCTTCACAGTCAATCCCCGCCGGAGAATCGCTAGAAACACTAACGCGTAGCCTAGAATCTGAATCTTGTGCTTCGTGGTCAATGGCGATGGCGGGATGCGAGCTGCGACCTCGTGTCCCTTGGAGGAGAGTCTGATCACGGGCGACAAAGGCCACTTGAATGCACCGTTTTGCATGCTTTGCGCGAATCGCACCATCTCTGGAACATACGCTCGCCAGGAACGTTTGTGCGGCGCTAAGGTGAAGTTGACAACTGGCAAAGGGACACGCGAGATAATTGTGGGCTCGATGCGACGCAGTCGTTGAAAATCCATCAGGGAGGCGCTGCCAATCGTGAAGATGTCTGGAAGAATAGGATGCAAGGGCAGTGATTTACGTGAATTGTTCTGCTTGACAACAAAAGCGAAAAGCACGACAGCAGCATGACGCAAAACTAAGAGGATACGAACCTAGTTCAGCCTCTTGCCTCGCCTTGGCTAAAGCTTCTCGAAATGCCTCACAGCAACCTGCAAGTAGTACACTATCCAGTCCAACGCGGATGCACTCAGGTCATTCACATCCGATGATACACGACACCAGCAGCACATGCCAAAAAAGACTAAGAATGCAAGAACACCACGTACAGGATGGCATCGCTGCAGATCCAGACATTGCTTTTGACGTCAAGCGGCAATCTGGGCAGTGGCGACGACCCAGTGAGGCGTTTCAGCGCCAATCGCAGCATCAGCTTGTAAGCTCTAAACAGATCGAGTTAGTCCATTTGAGCTATCGTCACTCGATTCTGCAAACTCTTCTAATAAGTCGATCACACGCACTCACCTCGTAACGTCATATTGGCATCCGACCAACTGTCGAGCACAACGGAGAAAACGCTGCCGTTCTTCTTCCGACATCGTCACGCGCAGCACCTACGTTAACATCAGCACAACAGACAGATAGTTATATATCCATCACGCTACAAATACATCCAATCATATTCCAATGCAAGCTTCCTTCCAAAAAGCGTACCACAGGTTGCCGTTGGGGCAGAAGGAGCCGCTCTAGCGGCATCAGCCTCACCGACGGCATCCCCACATGAAGCACGGTGCGTTCATCCAGCACAATAACCTTTCCCACATTGCGAAAAATTACAGTAAACCACATGCCGCAAATACCGTGAGACAAGCAAGTACGATATCCACTGCCGTCCGCTGTCAATTGACCCGTCCTCCTTCCTTGCTTTCAACTCACCACATGATCGTACGTGTTCTCAGTCGCGTATCTTCCCACAGAATACACCAATCCGCTCGTAGTGCTAAAGATCAAGTCGCCTGCATAAATTCATCATCAACACAAGCAAGCAAGCAAGTTACATCCGCAATAGTCCCAATTACCGTCAACCGATCCTGTTGCTCCTTTGAATCGCCATTACATCGAAAGCTGGATCCTATTCTTCTAAAGTAGACACCATAGTACTACTTTCGAGAGAATAAGATCCAGCTATCGATCCATGCGACATTCGAACCTGGTTGGACGCGCGTCGCCGCGTCTCTCGCCGCCTCCTGCGCCTCTTTCGACGACCTTGCACCGCAACAACGTCAGTCAGTACCCACGCCGGCTCCGCTGCCCTTGTCCTACCGTTGAAACTCGCCCGCATTGAACTGCAGACTGTTCGGGGCCACGACGTGCGTGAGCAGCGCTGTCAGCGAGCACCCCCGAGCCGCCGCTGTCGACGCCGGCAGCATGTCGCGTTACTTGCCCTGACTGGCCTTTTTCTAGCGACATGTGACGAAGTGTCGGGATGTGAGCGATGTACCTCGATTTCGGTACGCGATTTTCACCATCTGGTCTGAACCGCAACCGGCTCGCAAAAAGAGACATGCGCGACGAACAATCACCACGCTATTAATAGCCCCAACAAGTACTACAACCACACCAATTCCAATACCAAAATCAATCTATACCAATTCTCCTCCTAATACTAGCCCCACTATCTCTTCGCCATTGTCAAATTACTACCAACAAAGACACACACTCACACATACCCACCCGACCGTCGCTCGCTGTCCCTGACGTCCCATGCGCGCGTCCTCTCTCTGGAGGCGACAGGACGCCGGTCCGTGGCCGTCCGTCCGGACAGCAGCAAGCGCGTGCGTCTTGCTCTGCTGCGGCAGCCAGGCGACGACCGCGCCGTCTCCTGTGCGACGGCGTCTCGTGGACTCGTCGGACAGCTACAACTTCATGTTCTACTTTGTGATTGGCGCGATGATGCTCACGTGTCTCGTGTACAACCTCTTTTTCAAGCACAAGATGGAGTCGAGTTTCCTACGGCAGCAGCAGGCGCTGCCCGAGACGATGCTACGACAGGACGTGATTGCAAGTGACCAGGACATGAACAATCTATGGGAGTGCGACGTGTGCTCGTTCAAGAGCTACGACGCTCATGCGACGTGTATGTTGTGTGGCACGGATCGCGCCTTTAAGCTCATGGACCACCGGAACGCGCGGCTCGGCGACGACCAGAGTGAACACAGCAGCAATGCGTCGTCGTCGGCTCGAGCGCTGTCGAACTCCAAGTACGTGCTGTATATGGAGGAGAAGGAGAACTCACTGCCCCGCAGTGCTGCCGCCAACCTATCGACACCGTCACGAGCTGTGGTGCGCACGCACTCGTCGGTGAAGAAGGACAGAGAACGGTTCAAGCGGAAGCTGAGCGTGCTCAATCTGCGACAACAGTCGGCGCGGCGACGTCATGAATGGTCAAGAGAACGCAATAATGACGGACAGCTTGTATGGGTGAGGAAGAAACATTTGATGGACCGCAAAGCGCTGAAAAGTCTGCGGACGCTCGAGGGGTTACGGAGTCAATCGTCCACGTCGTTACGCGACTCGATGCTTTCGAATTTGAGTGCGAATTCGTTAGGAATTGTGTCTCGTGTGGTTGTGTCGCCCAAGAACCCGAATGGGAGGTTATCGATTGAGTCGGCCGATGGCGCGCTAGCCACGCGGTGCTCGGACAACCCCGAGTTCTCACAGGACGAATTGGAACAAGTCCGTTCATTACCTTTCCAGCAAAAGCATGCGTGGTTTGTACAGCACACGGCAGCCATGGAGGTGCCGTGGGAATATGGCCACTTGTTGCTTGAGATTGAGCGTGACAATCTTCTTCATAACTCTTGCGAGCAATTGTTGTGGGCGACGCCGGACCAGCTGCATCAGTCGCTGCGAATAAAGTTTGCGAACGAGCCAGGTGTGGATGCAGGTGGATTAGTACGCGAGTGGTTTACCCTGATGACAAAAGAAGTTTTTGATAACGCGACGGGGTTGTTTTTCCGAAGTGGCAATAGTGATGGTCTGAGAATTAATCCTGCATCTGCTGAAGCTAGCGTTGATCATTTGATGGTACGTCTGGGACGTGACTAGTGCTCGTTGGCTGGATAACGTTGCTTACCTTCTGTTGTTTATCTTTGTTTTTTGCTCACAGTACTATCAGGCGATCGGTCGCTTTATCGGCAGAGCGCTTTTTGAAGGCATTCTGATCGATGCACATCTGGCGCTCCCAGTATGCAAGCATATTCTCGGTATCCCCATCACGTTTTCGGATCTCGAGTTCGTGGACAATGATTTGTACAAGAACCTGAAGTGGCTGCGAGAAAACACAGGCGTGGAGTCGTTGGCGTTGGACTTTACGTACGTACATTGCTGTCTGGCACTGTCGAGGTTGTGAGGATTGCTGACGAAGTGTGTTGCTAACGTAGGGTGAACGTCGATCAAATGTCGGATAAGACACAGGCGGTGGATTTGATACCAAATGGATCGAATATCCCTGTCACGGAAGAGAACAAGATGGAATACATCCACTTGCGGTTCAAGTGGATTGTTGCCACCAGTACATCGTTGCAGCTTGGTTCATTGATGCAAGGTCTCTTCTCTATTATCCCCAAGGAGCTGATCTCCGTCTTCGATCACCAGGAGCTGGAGCTGTTAATTTGCGGGATCCCCGATATCGACGTGCGGGACTGGAAAGCTAACACTATTTATGTGGGGCAGCGAGACGAGCGAGTGATCGCCTGGTTCTGGAGTATCGTGAAAGAATTCTCGAACGAGCAGAAGGCACGTTTGCTGCAATTTACGACCGGTTCAGCTCGGGTGCCCGTGCAAGGCTTTAAGGCGCTGACCATGAACGACGGCCGCATCTGTCCGTTCGCAATCCAGTGCGTCGTTGTCGATGAGTGTCTGTATCCGCGTGCGCACACGTGTTTCAATCGGTACGAATGTCTGCTTTGGTGTCTGCTGTGAAGTCAAAGGTTCTAAAGTGGTTGTGAATGATGACAGCATCGACTTACCTCGATACAGCACCGAAAAGGACTTGCGCACCGCGTTATCCCTCGTAATTCAAATGGAAGTAACCGGGTTTACTATTGAGTAAGCTGGTAGAAGATGCGTGTATTTACGGAAATTGCAGAAGTCGTCAAAAAGTAATCGGGTCATGAACTTTTGCAGCAATTTGCTCGATTGTGTCGGATTCTGCTCGAGGTTTGAGCGGATTTCCTGACGACTAGATTCGTCTTTTGTCGTGGACGTCCATCATGCGTGATTTTGATGCTCATGGTTCTTCATTCAGAGCTATGCGCTCGAACAGGTTCATCAGTGAATTACTTGGATGTCTCAGCACACGTCAGACACGCGGTGGGCACAAGTCGCAACTAATCACGTGGTACCACTAACAAGCAGTCTGTACAAGTAGACAGAAGAAGAAGGTGCTTTCAACAGAATGGATCTTGACGGAAGACGTCATTCCACGCGACTATTCATACACCAATTGCACAAAAACATCGACAAGAAAGCGTCGTTCTATGGCCAGGACGTTTCACGATTTCTTCAACGATCAGGAGAGTCCGTTTTGATCCCAGCAGTTCTTCAAGTTGAAGATGCACATGTGTAGACTAGCGTTTGGTGTTTTCGAAATTTCTTGCCGTCCCTTCGTGACAAAATAACATCGGGAAACGAAGAAACATATGAGCTAAACAGCATGTCCTTGTTTCTTCTATCTTGTCCCGCTTTGTCACCAAACAATCAGGTCGACGGCATAATGGAATAAATCGTGGAAGCAGATACCCCCATCCCAGGCATGCACTGTGTGGAAAAGGGTGCACTCACATAGTATGCTAAGCATGCAGACGCAAGGCCACCTTGCATTTCTTGCTTCACAATCAAGGTACACTTAATTGTCGTAGATCACGTACAAGGCTGACTCGAGCATATAACGATGGAAAGAGGCCGTCGCCTGCGTGAACAGAAGCTTTCATGGCTCAAGCCACCATGCTGCAGCGTGCGCCTGTTACAGCCACGCAGATGCATCTCAAATAAGCCAGATAGCCCCTTACTGGACCAGTACTGGTGGTTTCACGATTGGCTGATTGCCAGGAAGAGGTGCAACTGGCTCAATCAACGAACAACGTCTTGGCCGCAGACCTGATCGAATGGCCACCGTAGTACAACGTCTCACACGACCTTCGCCGTGATTGTACTGTGACTTGCAGCATCCATGAGCTGTGTCAGGACACGATTAAAACGGTAACACATGCTTGAATTCACTGAGGAGTCAAATGCTCTCTCGGTACCGACTCAGCAAGCTTCAGCCAGAGCCTACGCTACAACATGCGGAGCTCGAGAACCCATCACATCCAGGTTGACATCCAGGCATCGGGATCAATCTTGGTGCACACATTGTCTGCGTACATCCTTATCCACGTCATCTAAATCGGCACAATTGAACAATTGACGCCGCATATCAACGAATAGTTCATCCATGCGTCTCTATCTCCCACAAAAAAAACCATCCCCAACAAAAACTACCGATAATTCCACTGCGGCGACGGTAAGACAAAGTAGCACAACTTAACGACGCGTTCATCCAGGTAATCGAGCTTCACCGCCATCTCCCGTTCAAACCTCGTCAATTGACGATTCAGTTGTTGCAGCGTGTCCACAGTCGTCTGCAACGACACGACCGAAGAAGGCCGCATCCAGTCCCGTCCATTTTCATCCCCCTCTTTTTCCACCTTATGCCAACGAGACAGGAGCCCCTGTCCATCCACCTGCACAGATACTGCATCCAGCCTTCCTGCAGCTTCTCCATCTCCACCCGTACCTTCCGTGGTCCCCATCACTGATGTAAACTGCTCGGGCAACTGCTGCAGCTCCCTGTCCGAGAGCAGCTGCAGCCCGTAGGCTTTTCGAAACCGTCCGAGCCACGACGTCATCGTAGAAATCGACGGTCTCGTCGTATCGGCCGCGTACTGTCGAAACAGGTTCGTGGTCTTCGCCTTAAGTGCGTCCCTCGACACGTGCCGAGCCAACGTCCGCTGCCGCACGAGCCAGCGATAGAGCTCCTGCTCGACGCCTGGGTACGGAACGGGCGAGGCCGTGAGCGTCTTGCGCTTGAGCTTCGACAGGCACTTGACCTGTCCGCAAAAGGATAAAATCCGAGCCCGATTTTTCTTAATATCCGACACTTGCTGTCGACTGATGCCAAAGTCCTGAGCCAGAGCGAGCGGCTGTGCCCCGTTGTCGAGACGCTGGAGCACCTGCTGTTTGTCGTGGATGGAGAGCACCACGCGCTTGCGCTTGACGACGCCCTTGCTGCTACTGCTGCTGCTGCTGCTTCCGGTCATGACAGGCGGCGAGCTCGCAAGTCGGCGTGGATTTAGAAATGTGTGGATTTTTGGCCTGGGAGAATTTGCTTTAGACACCGCGCGGATGAAATTAGGGTACGGGGGATAGAAACGCGATGGATAGAGGAGTGTATAGACGGTCGAGTTGTCTTTTGCTGGCTGTATTTTACAGAATAGCGCAGTGGGTTGGGGCTCGGTATGTATTTTTGATGTTGGCGCAGTTTGACATTTGCGAGACGTGGACCTATTGTAGGTATGATATCAGCGCCTTTACAAGTCGGTTTAACATCCCGCGGAGAATTGAGCCATGCCATGCAGACTGGGTAAGTGCCGTAAAATGATGCAGTTTTTTTCTGCTTGGGTGCATCTATATCAATGCGCGACGGATAGATGGCTTGAATACAGTGTTGAGCTTGTGCCGAAGGAAGAAGGCGAGCAAAGCACGAAATGAAGATGGCGGTGTACCAAGAATCGGCTGTTAAACACTGACTGGAAATGCGATCACTCATCTGAAAGGACACGGCTTCTTTCTATGATGTTATGCTGCTAGTACGGACGTCAATTCGACAGCATCCACCCGCTTTCAATGGTAAACCGATGTGGCTCAAAAGCCGCGTACGTTTACGCTCTGCGTGGCTATTTGACCCGAAAGCTTTAGAGGTGTTGCATATTGCCAAACAACGAGCCGAACTGGTTTTCGGAATCTCCCTTGACTGTGTCCTCCAGTGCAATATTCGGATCATATCATGCCGATATTCCAATCATCTCATACCGATGGATGCTCTACCTCTGCTCAATGACGAAGCATAGCCTAGTAACCCTCTATTCGACTCGCACCATCGATATTTTCTGCATAAATGAATCTAGACAAATCACTCATATCTTCTCCTTCCAGCGCAATGGTCCCTTACGAACGTATACTTATCGAAACACACATGCATACAACCTCCTCGTCAGCCACGAACCAAATCGACATGAGCTTTCAGCCAACCTCAACATCCTGTAGCCCTCCTACCACCACCAGCAGCAACAGCAACAGTACCAATCAACTGCCCAATTGACTGCCAATTCGTTTCGATCACTTGATCTAATGCTGCCATGTTCAGTTCTGCAAGACTTGTCACTCCTCGAGAAGAAGCGCAAGGCCAGGCTAGAGGCACTTCGGGACTTGAACAGTGGTGCGTGTTGCCCACCGTCCCTCAGTATCTCTCTCTCTCTCTATGTGTGGAACTTGTGAGACTGAAGCCACGAGCTCAATCGACTGCTGCTGTTCGTAAATGTGGACAGCTTTGCTAACGGAGACACTCACGAGACTTCGGGGGAAAGCCCAGCAGCTCCAGGACGACAAGTGGATGTACCAGGACGTGCAGTGATAACCTACGACTTGCGCTCCTTTGTCGCACGTTGCAGCGCCCCTTCTGATCCATTCCAACAGAAGTGCTTTCACTCAAAGCTCAATTGGTTGTAGTTAACGTGACTACATACAGCTCCCGTACTCTCCAGAACCCGTGTCACTCGTCGTAGTAGCAGCAACAGTTCGATCTCGTTCCATCACTGCCTCGTGACCTCACACGGCACGCTTTATTCCCGCTTCTTCATCTCCTCCAAGAGCGTCACACCAAGACGAGCGGGCGATCGCGTGACCGCCACTCCAGCGGCTTCCAGCGCGGCAAACTTGCCAGCAGCGGTACCTTTGCCGCCCGACACGATCGCACCTGCGTGACCCATACGGCGTCCAGGGGGAGCGGTCGTTCCCGCAATGAAGCTCACCACAGGCTTGTTGGGATCACCGTGAGCCATGAGCCACTCGGCAGCTTCCTCTTCTGCCGAGCCGCCGATCTCACCGACCATGATGATGCCCTCGGTCTCAGGGTCGTTCGTAAACCGTTCGAGGCAGTCAATGAAGTTCGTGCCATTGAACGGGTCGCCTCCAATGCCAATGACCGTCGACTGGCCAAGACCCAGAGCTGTGGTCTGAGCCACCGCTTCGTACGTGAGCGTCCCGGAGCGGGACACGATCCCGACCTTCCCCTTCTGGTGGATGTACCCTGGCATGATGCCCATTTTGCACTCCCCTGGCTTGATGATCCCCGGACAATTGGGACCAATGAGACGCGTCATGCGTTGGTTGCGGAGGTGCCACTTGACCTTGACCATGTCCAGCTGCGGGATGCCTTCCGTGATGGCTACAACGAGAGGGATCTCGGCCTCAATGGCTTCAATAATGGACGCCGCACAATAGGGCGGCGGCACGTAAATGACCGACGCGTCTGCCCCCGTCACCTTCTTGGCTTCAGCCACAGTGTTAAACACGGGCAAGCCCAGGTGCGTCGAGCCGCCCTTCTTAGGGGTTACCCCGCCCACCATCTGAGTCCCATACTCGATCGCTTGTTCCGAATGAAAGGTCCCCTAGGGTACGCAACAGCGAATAAGAATAACGATGTTGTTATATAACAGTCAGTTAACACACTGAGACGATTGATGTAACATGCTTTTTTTTACCACTTTTTAGTGGTGGTCGTTATACAAAGCTGTTTTTTGGTACCTGCTTGCCGGTAAAGCCCTGGCAAATGACTTTCGTGTCCTTGTTGATCCACACTTTAGCAGACGCAGACATGCTGCGCGTAGCCTGCGCCGTAGCGGCCACGGTCTTGATGGGTACACGGGCGATCATTTTAACTGAACAGGCGAGTCTAATTATGTCGAGAGGGGGGGAGACGCTGTCCACCTGACGTGGTGCTGACTGGATTTCAGCCACTAGAATACGGTAAAAAGGATACCCGAGCTCACTATTTCGTCCAATCCGTAGTTAGTCTGATCGACACCTGGCGTTTGGAGCTTGTCACGGTTACGCTGGACGTGTGTGGTACCACCGTTCGTCACTTCAACTTCAGATCGAAGGCTTACTTCAGAAACAAAACAAAAATAGGTGGGATGATGATACTTTGTTACTATTCCTTTACTCGTCGTGCTCGCTCGGTCACCGCGTCGCCATCTACTGACCAAACTCGTCGTCGACATTCTTGATTGCTGCATATTGATGGATAAAAATGGACCGTCCTCGTCTGCGCTAGTAGTGGCTATTACGGATCACGCGCTCCGAGCTGTTTTGAATCTTGACAACTTCGTTGGGGATCTCGTGGCGAAGCCACAGACGCAAGAGACGCTCGCGCCGCTCCTCGTTGAGGTAGAGCGGGCGACCCTTGCTGAGCTCACGATTGCGCTCCCCAAACTCTTCGCCGTACTCGTCCACGTAGAGGCTCCCGACATACGCAGCCAGCTTCCAGTACACGAGCAGCACGGCACCCTCGAGCACAAGGAGGAACACACCACTGCCTCGTCCACACTTCTTAGCGTGAACAGTACATGCTCCTGGATTGGCTTCGTCAGGGTACCCGCCCTTGTCGGAGTGGATCGATGGACATGTGTTGGCAGCACATAGCAGCATTCCACACAGCAGACAAACAGCAGGACGCGCGGGGAATTGATTGCACGAATGACACTTGCGCTTCGCCAGTTCCGAGTAAAACTTCACGTACGCTCGTGGTAACGACCGGAGATACCGAGTGCGATTGGAGCCCGAGCTGAAGACCGAAATGGTCGAGTGCATCGTGTGCAGGTCCCGGCTCAGCACGGACGATAGCGTCAGCTGTTCAGCGCGATCAGCGTTAGCCGTTGTGAGCCACTGCTGGAGAACATCATGGGGGTCGTTCATTTCTTCGTAGGCTGCCTTGAATCGGTGTACCCAGCCATTAACAAGCTGAGCGAGAGCAGCCTGTTCTTGGGTCTCTGACGTTCCAGTAAACTGCAAAGAATTCAGCTTCACAAATCCGACAGCAAGAACATCCTCTTTTGAAATAAATATTGGCTTCGATGTCGATGTGGTCCCGTGGCGATAGCGTGACGTAGCCCGCGTAGTCAAGGATTTAATCATAAAAGTGGCCACCTTGGCAAGAGGTACGACTTCACATGCAACGACATTCAAAAGCTGGCGCCTGTCAGCAATACGCTCCACCTCAAAAGCGCCATCACACTTGCTCACAAGTGCATCCACAAGCAGCTCCAAGTCATATCCTAGAGCACACTCTCCATTTACACGGACATCTTCCTTTGCACCACCTGAATTCGCGCTCTCTTCAGAGAAGCAGGCGGTAAATAGCGCTACGTTTTCCTCCGAGAACGCGAGATCGTCTGCCATGAAATTAGTAAAATGCTCTTTCCGTGTGAAGGCATACCACAGCAATGTTTGCACGAGACGCGCAAGTACCACGAGTCGAGCAATGTAGATCGCATCTTCCTCGCTCGTTGCGAACAGCAAACCCTTCATCAGCACGCTGCCCAAGTGATTGAGCAGCAGGGGTTTCTGTGGCCATCGCACCTTGCCCCACTGACTCTGTTTTCGAGTTTGAGTCTGCGTAGTAGGATGTTCACTCTCGAGCACCACGGTTCCATCCGGAAGAATGTCCGACCCACCATAGTACAACAAGTGAAGGATCTTTGTGCGCATGTCGGTTGGAGCCACCAAGGAATTCGTGACATAGCGTGTATTGATATACTTCAGCATCAAGGGTAGAAAGCGCATTGCTTCCAGGAAAAGGGACTCACGCAACTGATCCGAGTCATTCGTGTGGAGAAAAGAGCAAAGCAACGTGTGAAAGAGCGCATTGCAACCCGAGGTGGTGTAACGTTCTGGTTGAGACTTCTGCATTGCACCGCACGCCACCTTGTGTATTGCCATGCAAACTGACGACAGACCGTCCTCTAACCACTTCTTCAACGGCTGCGTCTCGTCAAGATCTTCACGACCTGACAAAATACAGGCTAATTCACACGTTTGCCCCTCACGTTCCACGTTCACGTTTTTACTATCACCGGTCGTTAATTCATCAGCATCGGAACTTGAAAGTGTGTGCCTCTCTGTTGGCAGTTCACGCTTTTCGTCCCTCCTTTCAATAGCACGCTTCAGCCATCGAACCATCTCCAACTGCGAAACAGCTACCGGTGATACTCCTTCTGCCCCGTCGGACGGTGCCATGCGCCGTACGGTTGGAAGGTGTTTGATCTCTTGCTCCGTTGTGGTTGGAATCAGCACGTTCGAAATCGATTTGCACAACGGGCACAAAAACTCCTTCTTGGTGACGTCGACAGCATTCAATGCATGCCGATGGTGCCCGCCAGTGATCGCACGTTGAAACTGGGAAGTGTGATATGATTCCCAGCATTTGTGGTGTACCGAATGACCGCACAAACGCACGTGGACGGGTATATCCTCACCAACGTGCATCTCATCCATAGGTGTGCTCAAGAAGTGACCATGCGAGCTACCGTTCAACGGAGAAAACGCAGGCGAGCACTGCGCAAATCCAACATAGCACATAAAGCTGTTCTCGGAGTTCACAGAGTGACACATAGCACATTCCACCACCGTCGCGTCATCATTCATGTCGTCTTCGCTTGCGTTCATTTCAATATCGCTGTCGTCACCAGCTCCATCAGATGCACTGGGTGTGTGCTTTTCGCGTTCGCCATCTGTGCCGGACTCATCGTCGCCAGTTGCAGCATGTTCCGCTTCGTTCGCCATCACCTTCATCTGCTCAGCGAAAGCTGCCTGTCGCCGTTGCATTTGCTGTATTGCCCGCATTTGAGCTTCTTTTCGCCGTTGCGCTAAGGCCAACTTGCGTGCAGCTTCATCGCGCGACTCTTGTTCCGTCACTTGATGGCGCTCCACCACACTTCGACAGTCAGGACTGATGCGGGACAACCGATGTAAGAGCCAGTCAATTCCGCGGCCAATCTCATGCTTCTGGTCGCCGTCCAATTTCGTCATGCTAGCACTACCGCCGTGGCTTGACCATGGATTTAGCTTTAGCAGCAAATGCAAAATAGCGCAACGCGGCCCCGAGCCGGCGCATGATCTAGATTGCTCCCGCGGAATCCACTCAATAAAGTCGTTTGCTATGCGAGAAGCTCGCTCGAGTTCAAAACGTTCTGCGTCCGAGGCAGAAACCATCGTTCGAAAGTACTGCACGTCTTCCACGACATACAGCTGGAGCGTGAACAAGTGCACAGTTCTCGAAAGAACGCTAAGGCAGGCGTGAGCATCAGTAGTCGCACGCCATAAAGACTCGTAAACTAACCGACGCGCATCGTCATGCAAAATCGAAACACGAGACAAGCGGAAGCCCAAGGGACACGGCAAAAACATGTTAACCATCGGGTAATCAAGCCAAGTCGAGTGGGTGTCATTCGGGCTACCGTCCACTTGCTCTTGCTCTCGTTTCTTGGACGAGCGGAGGCGGTGCTGGAACCAGTTTTCATGTGCTGATTCATGTTGCTTGCGCGTCAGATGCACAAAGGTTGGGGAATACTCTGCGAGCAGCTCCGGCTTCAATCGATAGAGAAATTTACCACCATTTGGTGCAGACGAATCGCCTGTGCCAGAGGACGCCGAGAAGCCTGCTTCTACACATACCTCCTTCAGGATTTGATCGAGAATTGGACCACCTGAAAAGTTGACCGGAAACAAGCTCTCGCGCGTCAAGAAAAACTCGTTTGCAATTTTAGAGAGGTCACTGTGAGCACACGGCCCAACGCATAGACGCTGGACAATTTCTCGGCGCAAATAAGGAACTAAGCTTCGCACCGCATCGCCACCTGCCACCTTCGGAGGCAGCTCGGACGCGAGCTGCGATAACAATGCCAGACACTCGGTCATCATCAGCTCAGCCTCTTTTGCATCACTACTTTGTGCTGCTTCATACCATTCTCGAACGCCAAAGCGCTCTGTGATTGATGTCATTACCCAATCGACACCCAAAAGCTGAAAACTGAATTGGAGCAACAACAAATCAAGATCACGAAATCGGGCACAGAACGGCGGTTCACCGTAGTTCATGCTGTGATTAATTACTGCCATTCCATTGCGCACCCACAACCCCGAGTGCACTTGAGCATCCCACACAATTGCTTGTAGTACAGGTTCAATCAAATGCACTCGATGCCAAAAGCCAATAGGGCTAGTGACATCGTGAATCCACACGGATTCATCATCTTGCAATACACTGCTTTTCAGCATGGAAAGAAATACATCCAAGCCGTCGGCCGAATCACTCAACACACGAACTAATTGTGACAGCGTGCGCTGGAGAGGAAAGTGACATGACACCGCTGTCTCAAGCTGGTCTGCACGAAGAGTATCGCCGACCTGATAGTCCGGAGGTGGAAAATACTTGCCAGCTGATGCAAGCCAAAAGTAAATTGCCTCGAGCAAAGGTTTTGCAAGCTTCGTAATCAGGAGTCGCGATGTCTCCGGAGAGCGTGCTACATCAGGCCCACCAGCCGTCTTGAAAGCGTTCGATACGACCCACGAAGATACGTCAGAAGTCGTCGATACGAACTCCACTGTCACAACCCACCCGCGCGATTCCATCTCGACATGATCTCCAAAACGTCGAGTCTCTGAGCATGCGCCTTGGATATAGGCAAGGTATAGCAAAAACCTAGCTAGACGTAAGCCTCCCTTTTTCAGAACAAAGCTCTCGGAGATACCTTCGATTTGCAGGACATACCGCAAATCCAGCAAGCCTGACATATAACGGCGGCAAACAAAGACTGGCGATGTGACATCTAGCTCAAACCGACCAGTGAATTCTGTATCAGGGGGCAAACTCAAAAATGGTGACACCTCCCTCCGACGCCTGACGCGGTATCCTGCGCGTTCAGCTTCAAGTGCCAGTTCGCTCACATTGACATCACGTAACGTAGGTCCTTGTGAGCGCTGGACACCCATCGCGAACACATCCCAAATATCTAGTTCTCGATTGTGATCTGGATGCAGCAAGTGTACCAAATTAGCCCAGGTACCATCGAATGCAACGTCGACGAAATCTGTTTTCTCCTTCTTGCGCAAGGTTTCAAGCACAGAGCTCGTCAGCACTTCTAGGAGATCATACTCAGCAACCAGCTTTTTCACAAACGTTGCTCGGTTGAAAAACTGCACGCTGAACGCTAGAATCGTAGCCGTCGAGCTGCCAACCCCAGCAACAAATTCCCGATACAGCTGGCGATACGAGGATGTGAATGAGATTGCGAACGCTTGCTTGAAAAGAGGGTCGGCTAGAAGAGCCATCAACAAGCTATGAAGGGCATCACTCCCAGCTTTGGGCAAAAAGGAGTCAGCCATAATGACGGCCCGGAGCATCGAAAAATCGCTTTCATCATCGACTTCCATGCTGCTTTCATCATGCTTAAGGCTCTCTACTGCGCACATCTGCATCCCACATTAGAGCGTTAATAACTGCACCAACCAGCGTCGGTATAACTTCTGCGTGGCAATGGTTCGAGCTAGGTCGTACCTTCTCGCAAATCAGACGACAAAAGCCATCGGAAAGGTTTGCTAACGAAGCAAGCCATTGGATCAGCGAGTTGATCAATGGTGTCCTCGCTTTGTATTCGCATGATACAATCGAAGTCACAATCCGGTACTTGTGTAACGACGCTGCGAGCTCGAGGACGTCCTCGCGAGATGCCTTCGACCGCACAGTACTCTGTCTCTGCGACGATGTTTCGCTAACAATTTTAAGCATCTGGTACTACGCACATGTCCACAACAGAAAAAAACATGTGCCATCAGTCTACTCGTTCACCATTCGATTCGACACACAATTCTTGGCGTACAGCGATCGCCGGGTGAGCCTTGTTCAGTGCCGTCGCAAACTCCTGCGACGTCTGCAACTCGTTATAGTGCACAATAACTGAATAGCGTCTTTCCGGCGGGTCCTTTTCGAGTTCATCCCGCACTGTCTTCAGGTCGTCTACATCAATTATCGAGCCAAATCTAGCCTCTTTAATTGCACCCAGCACCAATCGCATCACTTCATCAATACACTCGCGCGACTTTAGCAGTAGATCCGACGGCAAAAACCTCAGCGGATCCACATCTTGTGCTCCCTACAGCAACAGCATTCACATCACACCATGGAATTTCTTAAGCAACTTGTCTGTATCCACACTTCATCAAGAAAACACTCTCACGTACTCTATGTCGAGTGCAAAAGCCTTCGGGTGCCCAAGCCTCGGTATCTCCACAATCACAACAGCCACCACTGTGCGTGTAGTAGAAAAACACCTCGTGGTTCTCATGGTCACTCGAGATAAAGCAATCGTTACACATCACGCACGTCTCGTCCACCTAAAAAAAGTAGCCCCCATCCAAAAAAGCAAAACACAAAAAAGCAAAATCACAAAAAATGTATCCATGACACAAATCGTCAGCCAATTCGCACAAAATACGCGGTCGATCTTCACCAGTCCGTCCGCACCTGACACACGCGGCAGTTCCAGGCAATGTCCCCCGGCTTGAACTCGTACGCACACATGCGCTTGGGTAGTTTCTCGAGCGCGTCGCGACTCGTGGCGTCCACGACGCACGTCTGGAGCTCCTGCAGCAGTCGACGCTCCTCTGCCTCGTGCTCCTTCTCGCCCCACGACGCGCGCTGCTGCATCTCGTCCAGCAGCGCGCGCACATCCGTCCGTGAACCGCGAGAATCCGCTGCGTCCGTATGGAGCTCGTGGCTGGGGCGCGCGTCTTGCGCCGTCGACAGCGTCGCTTGCTGGTCCATTGCGCTCTTTTTCACACGCGCAAACAGATCCATGCACGCGCTTGATTGGTCAACAGCGAGTCGCGAGTCAAGTCCGCTGTGTGTCTCTCTCTGTCTCTGTCTCTCTGTCTCTCTGTCTCTGTCTCTCTCTGTCTCTGTCTCTGGGTCGGCGTCTCGCCTGTTGGCGGTCCAAGGAGAAGAAAGAAACGAGGAAGATGGAGACAACAACGTCACGGACGGACTGAGCTTGGAAATAGGAAAAAGGGTGTGACTGCTTTTTTTGTGTGTGTCGGTGGCTCAGATCTTTTTCTGCGTGGGTGCTTTTTTTTGACAGCATGACTGCAGTGCATGGTTTTGTGAGTTCTTTTTCTTTTTTCGTTCTTTTTGCTTTTTTGTGTGTGTGTTTCGTTGATCATTTTTTCATTGTGCTTCCCAACAGTCGCTGGTCGTCGCTAGGTGTCGTTATTGAAAGGTACGCAAGCGCAGTGGTCACTATTTTTTGGATGGGTGTGTGTGGCGTAACGGATATCCCCACTGCTCGAATTGGCACTCGCTCATTTTGTGACTCATCTTCCGCTCAACGACTAGAAGCAATTGAGACGCGCGATTTCTATTCTAATACCGTCACATGGCCCCTTGAAAACTTGATAGCCAGCCGTTCATGGTGCTATATCGCTGACAGCAGTCTTCGATGCAGCTCGAATTTATCTCCTATCCCCTCCACTACATACTATTAGCCAATGTCATTCGATGATGCACTTGCGCTGTACGTGTAATTCAGTCAGCCCTTGAATCTTGTTGGTGTCTCGACTGCACTGTGTTGCGTCGTACCATCTGCTTGAGATCACTTGCCTCGGTCGCGAGAGATGCTTTCTCGACATGCGTGCCCTCGCTTGCAGAAAACACATAGAATAGATGCTTTATCCTTTGCAGTAGCTGTATCTGTTCGACAGGTTGACCACTTTCGGCAAACTTTGTGCTTGAAATCCGATACATCATGCAATTCTCGTCCTACGTCATGATGGTTGATACCGGATCCCCACCGTCGTCGAAGCCGGGTGGTGGTTGATCCAAGGTGGTGTTAATCTGCCGCATCGCGCGCTTACTCGATCGATCTGCCTGATCTCTGCTTCAAAGTTGCTAGCAATGCCGCTTTCGCGAGAGCCAAAAGCTGCAGTTAGACGTTTATCACGACATCGTACATTACCAGCCGTCGCCACAGCTTCTTAAGCGCTGTAAAATGGTAAGCCATGATCTTGCTCTCTTTACATGCTTAGAAGGCTGAGTATGGATGCTGGGGCAGCAAATTAACGTCATTGGACGGCTATCGTGTATGTGAAAGCCGACACACCCAGCGCTTTCGCCAGAGCTTTGATTGAGATCGCTCAAATACATGCACCAGCCTCGCCCCCGTGAGCTCATGGAAAGCATGTAAGTACCAACCGAGGAGTCTTTGACAAAGGTGTGTGGGCTCAACGAGCACTTCCCTGCTAATATTCAAACTTTACTAGGACCAAGTTGCACACCGCCACACTTGCATGACGTAGGGACTTCGACCTGATTATATTTGAATGGAAAGAATCGCGTTGAAATGTTATGAGTGCCGACGGTCGTTACTTGTATGTGGAGTTCATCTATTGCACGGTCCACCTCAAGCATCGTAGTGTTCCTGTCAAGAAAACACAACACATTCCTTGAGCCCATTTAATGTATTGATGAGAAAGTTTAGCACACGCCGCGGCCATTTTAACTCTCGAATCGGATGCAAAGGACTTTGCCGTTGCACTATTCTAACGGGCAAACGAAGCGATTGTTTAGACACTTTTGCTGACAACGAAACGATGCGGTAGGAACAATTGAGAGTGAGTTTCTACTGACAATGGTGGCTCATCACGATACACATCATTGTAAATCCACTTATTGCAACGCCAAGAACAGTTTTGCTCATGAATGCTGCATTTATGTTACAGGACTTGCTACTAGTGTTCATGCAAATGACGAATTCTGGCAAGCCACCACTCGTTTCGAGCATTAGAAACAAACAAACATCACGTCAACATACAATACTTTTGTTCGTAGCACCCCCTAGCATGTCTATCACTAATCATCTGCCGTCGTGCTTGTCAATACGTCTCGGTTCCACTTGGAACCGATTGAGGCCTGCCCTGCTTGTTCAAGCACGCAATGACGTCGGTACTAATACTTCATTCGTATCATCCACATAAAAATCACCCTCAATCATACTTCTCCACAAACGGCGTCGGAAAAGAAAACTTGTCGTTGCAATCCAGCTCAGATGCTCTCTCCGAGGCAGTCGTGGAACCACCCGTTCCTCGATACGACTTGCTTCGCTCCGTTGGCAAACGGATTTCCATCTCGGCCACGCGCGTCATCGTCGTCGTTAGCAGCAACATGGCCTCGTTGTACTGTCTCTCTTGATCAGCCACACGAGTCATAAGGATCTTGTTGCACTCCTCCAGCGTACCCACCCGATGCTGCAGAGCACTCAAATCAGCGTTGTGATGCTCGCTGTCTGTAAGACTGACGGTCGTGTCGCTGATTAATGTGTTGGTACCGTGGGCACGACTACTGCTCGGTGTCCAATTGGGCCGCGCTCCAACCGTAGAAGCACTGTACCGCACGTTCATCTGTGGACCAGGCACATTCGAAGGCCGGCCCACCATCGACTGTGTAGACTCAGCTCGTGTCGTGCGAGTACTGTTCAGTCGAGATCCAAGCAAATTGCTCGGTCGAAAGTTATTATACAGTAAACTGTTGTTGCTGATCGTATCCATTCCTTCATGACTCGTCCCAGGGGCAGACGCAGTCGATGTAGCCTGCATGGAAGCATTAATGCGCAGATTGGGATCCTTGCGGTCAGGCAACGGACCCGAGCTGGAAACATGACTCCCGGACGCACGTGCTGCTCGCGCACCACCAGCGCCACTAACAACTGTTGGAGTGTTTGCCATCATGGGTCCATTGCGATGGATCCGATAGCAATCACCACACACTGAGCGCTTTTTCGTATAGTCGGGCAGCATGATCTTGCCGGCTACGTGCTTTTTGCACAAATAGATAAAGCACCCCTTGCACTGATACTTCTTGCGAAACATGGAGAACTTCTTGTAGCATACGCCGCACACACCAGCGTTGTGGCAAGGCTCATAAATTGGTCGAGCGTCTTCGACAGTCGCGGGGACCGACGCTTGCGGAGATTCTCGAGCACTAGCCGACCGCACAAGAACCGGTGCGGATGGCTTTTTGAGGCTGCCTTGGCTGCGTATTCAGAGGTGTAGACGTCGCGTGTTCTGTCCCCGATGGCTCAGAAGTAGTTTTCGTCTTTCGTGAAATAGTAGACGGTCCTGATGCATTGCGCTGGGACTGCACGAGTGCACCATCAACAAAGCTGAGGGTCGTCACCATGTTCTGACTGTTACCAAAAGGGTTTTGCGTAGCTCCGACGTCATACGCAGCACCAATGGGATTCGACTGCAGCAATGATGCATTCGGGCTGTTCATTGACGGCGGATGTAGTATGCTCTCGCGCAGCATCTGACTCTGCATTTCAATATCGCGCTTCGCGTTTTCATAGTCAAATGCTTCGTCGTCATCTTCACTCAGATCCAAATAGTCTTGTTCTGCGCGTTGCAGCATGGCCAAGGACTTTGGCGGCAACTGCATCTCCTTGGCAAGCTGAATCACGGTCTTGCCAGCTGGTGTCTCCATCATCAACGAACTCGGTCGTGCATCGACCAACGACCTTAGTGTCTCGAGCGGTGCACGAGCCTTCACTGCAATATGGATCGGCAAATATTGGGCATTGTTCTTCGTCATCACAGCTTCCGGGTACGCAGTGAGCAGCGTCTGCACCGCCTTAGTCGGCGTGTCGTCCTCTGTGCAGGCCCAATGCAGCGGCAACATCCCGTGGTGATCTTTGTGTCTTGCAAGCTGCGGCTCAGACGTCACACGCTCCAGGAGCGACGTCCACTTGCCCATTTCGGCCAGTCGAATGCCTTCTTTAAAGTGCGGCCGCGAGCTGCGGTCGACATCGAGCCCGTCGACACGCAGCGACGAGCGCGACGTATCAACGACTTTCCTGTCGTCTGTTGTCATCGCCCTTTTGTCGTCGCCCGAGCTGCTGCTGGTACTGGTACTGTTATCGCTAGTGCTTGAGACGGCAGTGGTCGTTTTCTTGAGCTCCGGCGAGGCGTGTGCTGCTGCGGACGCCCCTGTGAGCACTTCGGGCATAGCTGCTTGACTGGCAGCTGCTGGAAAGACGAGAGCGCGGCCTTTTCCGGTTGTGGAGCGCTCCCGGGCGAAGCGTGTCGTGTGCTTGTGGCCGCGCCAGCATTGTCCGGCTCGTGGCGCGTCACGCTGGACGCGAGGAGCTACGATAGCAGGTTTGCGAGGGTATGACAGAAGACGAGATGGCGTGGATTTGCATTTGTATGGCAAAGGCAACAAAGAGACGACGTGAGTAATGGTCGAGATGCTCGTTGTGAGGATTTGCATTTGGTCCCGTCAGACGGCGTGGCCCGTCACTGTTGCGCGTACAATCGGACGACATCAGGACCGCGTATCAGCAGCTCCTCGTCTTTTACGACTTTAAACGCCCAGTAATTAGGGAGTTCTCTATGGAAGAAATACCTTATCCACAGCCTTTTTTTCAGGCGTTGGTCAATACTGGAAAGTCGTCTTCTCCCACGTGTCGATCCTCAATTGTGCAAGTGGATCGTTCTGCTGCAACGCAGTCGCCATTGCCAATGGGCTTTCCATGTCGCAAGAGCGTCAAATTATTGGTCCTATCTCGCACCAACGGTCGACGGCCGCTGATTGTGGTCGTCGGAAGCGAGAATCGAGAATCTTCTCAAGCTCTTCGTGCTCGATCACAAGTCGCTCGAGTCTTTCCTCGTCGTCGACAGTCCCACTTTCGACTATCGCCACTATGTGCTGTAACGTGCACTGACGGTGCAGTCGCTCGATTGCATGTATCATGCGGCTATCCGTACAGCCTCCTCGCTGACTCTATGCCTGATTTATCTACCAAGGATCGATTCTCACGGACTTCATCATGCCAGACTCGGTGGAAGTCGCCAAGTCGAACGATGTCGTCTGACAAGCTGTCCGATGACTGTTATCAACCTTACATCATCGACTTGTTGAAGATATGATCAGCCCTTTGTGCGTTGCAATGACGAATGGCAGATATGCAGCATACTGTTGACATAATTATCGCTGACCTTATCGCTTCGCTGCCTTCAACCCTTTGCACCAGATGTAGGGTTGAGGTGGCGTGCGATCACAATGTGTGGATGTAACTCGCTCTACGCATAGGGTTATGCTGTGTAATTTACAGACTGAACCGCATTGTCAGTGAAGTGAGTTCTGTTGAGCCAGCTGTACTGTTACACTTCGTGTCAGAATGTCTCATGAAAACAGCTGGGAATCAGCTCGTTAATTTTGGCAAATGCCAAGCGGCTGGGTTCATTTTTTATTTGGCTGGGTCATTCTGATTCGTTATCAGAAGTAGCTCAGAAATATACCCAATTCGTCAGGAGTAGATCCCAAATACTCAATTCACCATTTTTGTCTACCCGCTTTTTGCCCGTGCAAAGCTCAAAATGAAGACATCAACGCAATTCGCGACTAGAACCCTACTACGTCCCTTACATCCCAGCCGATCTCCAACCCTAACAACACAGGTGCATTTTATAGTACGCGCAAAATGATCCATTCCAGGAAACCCTCAAGTGCGGCCTTGTCACTGTAGCCATCTGCGATACACTTGGACGTGCTGCATCCTCGTCGTCGTGTCTATATGACAATGCCACAAGCACCTCCGTCTTGAGTGAAAAGGTGTTCCTCATGAACTGGGCCGTGCCCAGCATGCCCACTTTGCCAACTGGAACACGCACTGATTCGTATTGGCAGAAGGGCATGTGTCCAATTACTAGCAAGGTGGTGATTCAATACGGGGTAGATGATACGGAGGTCACGAAAGGCGAGCTTGATCCTTCACCCGATTATACCATCTGGAAGAGTTATTTTGATATCAAGGCCTACGGTATCGAGGTCGTGACGCCTGTAGCAAAGATGTACTGATAAGCAAGTACAACTAAAAAAGGGAGTACTAAATCAAGCCGGTGCGTGCACACATTAAATCTCATACAACAGTCAGATACGCGGCTATTTTCACGATGTAGCTCTTGTGGCGCTTACGACGTCAGAAGAAACGAGTGGGTTCAGTGCTGGAGTGATGAGTGCGATATCCGTTCAAACGCCATGGATTAAGACGTACAGTCCGCTACCGATATACTGTGGAAATTGTAACATGTGTGCGGATCTGATAAGTAGTAGTTGGATTCGAAAGAATAGTGATATGACAAACATTGATACGATAATGGCTGCTAAGTGAGCAATTGTCGATAAAGGACTCAGTCATTTTCGAACTAGTAGTTATCGGAGGCCGCTTACTTGACGCGCCGTAGATTCGTGCACGCGAGTGACGGCGCCGTAAATGATTAAAGATTTGAGAGATGTATCGACAAACAATTTTGGTGTCGCAAACAGCGGCAATCAACCCCTGATTACATCCTTGTTTGCGTAACGCAATGTGGTCGGTGTGAACGATGTGGGGATAAGCCAGGCTTCGGCGCTGCATCAATGCGTGCGCCTTATACTACTTTTAGCGGGCAAGTGAGTAAACAGTAATGGTGAATTGAGTATTTGGGATCTACTCCTGACAAAATTGGGCAAAGTCTGAGCTACTTCTGACGACGAATCAGAATGACCCAGCCGAATAAAAAATGAGCTCATCCGCTTAGCATTTGCCTTGCTTTTTGATGAGATATGCCACTGCCTTGCACGAGGTTTGCTTTCTTTTGGTCTACACACTCGATAAAAGCCCATTGCGACCGCACTTCATTGGCACTGTTCCATACGGTGTACAGTTACTTGATGATAGTTGCACACAAGTCAACTTATCGCTGCCTGAAAAACTCAAAGTCATCAGTAACGATGTTCTGTCCTATGTTTAATCTTTTTTATCATGCTGACTCTCACTCCTAATACTCCGCCTCTGTTTTAGCAACCGCTTTTTTCGCAGCAGCTGATCAATGTCCGTGTGCATTTCAGTACGTCAGAATCAGTTTACGGAATCGCAAATGGGAAAATTGTGTCACATGCAATTGTATCACATTTGTTAATTGAAGAAGTCTCTGGTTTCGATCAATAGATCATTCTTATAGCACCTTAATTCGAAAAGGGCTTGCGCTTAAGTCTGGACAATAATGATACGACAGTCTGAGGCGTCGTGTGACCACTTCGTTAGCGATTCTGTGCTCGACGCAGCAGCCATTACCCATCCTCCTCCTCCTGCTTCCTTGATAATACAAACCCAAAGAAGCGAACTATCGCAGCGCTCGCGGCGTTCGAAACGTGAGCAGCAGAAGAAAGTGCGCTATGAGCTACTCCACGCGATGACCGCAGGTTTTGTAATCGAATTAGCGCTCTTTATATGGGCACACATAAAAACCCTCAAGCTGCTTTATTTTATTCGAATAGAGAAGCGCAACGATTACCTGAATCAAGAAACCGTCAAGAAACAGGAGATTCAGCAGCGCCTAAAACAAGCAGCAGCTGTGGACAGTTCCAATCAGCGCATCGCCATTGATTTGGGATTCGACAGCATCATGAACGACAAAGAGGTCCGGAGTTTAGCCAATCAGCTCAAATTTTGTTATGGTGCCATAAAGAAGATGCCGGAGCCGTTCCAGCTGATCTTTTGCAATCCCAGCGAGCGATTAGAGCATTTTCTTGAACGCTTTGGCGCCTCCCATTGGCATGTTCAATGGCGGCGCGATAGCACTAGCGTCGCTGATCACTTTGAGCCGGACCAACTTGTGTATTTATCGCCAGATTCGCCAAATGTGCTGAATAAAATCGACCCAGAGAAGATTTATGTGGTCGGTGGCATCGTGGATAGATCCCGCAAAAAGGTGCGTGCTGCAATAAGGATAGATAGAGGTTAAGAATTACGTGCAAAAAATTGGTTTCGCTGTTAATTGCAGGGAGCGACGCTTAACGCAGCACTGGAAGCTGGTGTCACGACGGTTCGACTGCCGATTCAGGAGTATATCCCAGAGCGACTGGATCATATTTTGAATGTGAACACAGTACTTGACGTGCTGATTCTCAGTCAAGACATTGACGATTGGACACGGGTACTTGAGCTTGCGTTACCACGGGTAGGCAATACATGATTGTGTACGGCTCAACACTTTAAGGATGACGATGGGATTGTTGCTGCAGCGCAAGCGAAGCCAAGTGGGGCGGAAAGCTATGCGACGCCGGCAGAAGCAGCAAGCATTCCAAGCATCGTTCAGCTCAGCTCAACCAAAAAACGCCGTCCCTCATCAGCCTGTTGAACATACGGTTGAGCTGGGTGGCGATGTAACAGAAAGGCTGGAAGAGGGATTGCCTCCGACAGAGGAGTTGAGCCTGTGGCTAAAGGAAGTTGCATAACTTTCTCGAGAACTTGCCGGTTGTTGCTCATGAGCTTTGGGGTTATAGAACTGCCAAATTGGTGGCGAAAGAGAAGCAGCCGCAGCTATGTATTGTGGGCACCAGGACGTGGGATGGTTCGATGAGTTTGCCGTTGCTGACATGGCTGGGATGGCTTTGATCACTTCGCTGTTAACCAATTTGAGTAGTACCGCATACAATAAAAGCTCAAGTATGTGCTAGAATGTTGGCTGTGAAGTGATTGCAGTTGGCAGAACTCTCGTTCGTGCTATGGAAGGGACCTATAAGCAAACACCTTCACAATTCACAAATGACACAAATTTGAGAGTAAAAACTGTAACAAGCATGTGGACTCTTTGTACAATTAACATGTCTAAATACAAAGTATCGTTGATGTTAAATTTAAAATTCATTCAAATGCGTCGTTACAGGAAAGGGACGGTTGAGAAAAGAACAAATTTTATTTGAAATTAGTGGTATTTCAGTAGGAGTTGCAAAAAGTGGACCATTTCATCAAAATCTCGAAAGCACTTCTTTCATATTCTATCAGAAAAACTAGCATTCGCACAGCGTATCAGATCGGTCTTAGGTACCTGTCGATCACTCGTCGTTTACTAAAAAGATCCTTGACTACCAAGCACCTTGGCTGTAGACTCACAGATCTCCTGCGACGCGACCGTGAAATCTATGAATTGTATAGCAAATGCCGTAAAAGTAGCAAAACTAGGCGTCAGTGTGTCAACTTTCGATCGAGTCAAGTAAAAAAAGTATACTGACCTGAGCAGCACTTTAAAAGCGTACGAGTTCCGTCTTCTGTCTAAATAAGTTTCGTGCATCTAATATTCCAGGATGTCCTTCCGCTGCCAGGTAAAGATCTTCGTAATGAAATTTACCGTATTGCAAACAGTTAGGTCTCGAATTAACTTTGTCTAACACTCCTAAATAGTACACGTATATTTTCAAGGCGCTTTGAAGACGTGCAAATGCAAAACACATTCTTGTAACACTGAAGTCTAAGTTACAGCTACGAACTTCTGCTCGCTGTTGTGATAAACTAAGTCGAGTGATCAGACGAAGGTATCTTCGGCATCTACATGGACATTGTTCATGGTCGTAAAAGTTTACGTCACCGCGTGTACAACAATGATTGATGAGCCGTATCTCAATGTGAACAGCTTTCGCTTTTAACAATACCATTGTATGTTCCTGCCTGCCTCTGGAGTCATTTGACGAAAATCATCACAATCCCGTTACCACCCTATAGGTGAATAAAGCCACAGCTTTACGTTTGCAGGCGTAAAATGGCAACCGATGGCATAAGAAACAAGTAAAAGTCTCGGCAGTTGATCTGATGATGCACGTAAAAGGTGTATTCACGACTGGTACCCTACCTTAACGTCCGTTTTTTTGTAATTTCGTGGCATGTTTTTGTTGTTGATTATGTTAGCGTAGATTTTACACCTTGGAACATCATGGAATATATCAAGTCATCGTGTCCCTCAAGTAAGCTGGTATAATCACCACTGCCTGGACGCTTCCCGCGAATGATCGTTTGCTTTTGTTCAAATACAAGTCCCTCACTCGCCCTGACATCAGATTGTGCGTCAACTCGCCACGCAACTAGTTTCATGGCAGAAAAAAACAGAATTCTGTCCTGACACTTAACGACAATATTACAAATTCTTCTTTCCAGTGTAACAAAACTTAACGACCTGTTTTGCTATCCTGTATTGAGCTTACAAATCTCGATTTGAAATATTTTTAATAGAAACAGAGTATGTGGCATTTTGAAACGGACTGACTGACATGAAGATACCGTGGAGATGGCCAAGGTTAAATTTTGGATGCGTGATGCAAGTATAACGAACGAAAATTTATGTCATACTCAAAGGTGTTAGGTCTCTATCGAGAACTAGATGTATGAATAAGATAGAGACGCAAGCACTAGAGCTCGCCCTATATTGCAGGTACTTTAGTTACTGGGTGATTGGATTGTAATACATGTTTGTACAGCAACAATCACGTGACCTAAAAAAGGAATTGGCGGCTAGGGAACGGGTTGTGCATTGTCAATCGTAAAATTAAAGTGTGAAATGGTTGTAGTGTATAAAGTGTATCCTTGTTGATGATGTCAATCATTATCGAGACGGATAAGTTGAATGGGAGACGCAAGACAATTTTGCCAGTGCGCCGTCATTACAAAGGATAGCAGACGGCATGTATTCATTAATGAGCCCGATAAATTGATTGGAGGTGGCTTTCTATGCCACCGAGAGAGGAATGTGACCCGGTATTCTTGACTTTTCAATTCACCAAGTAGTACAGATAAAAACCATTCACCCATTTACTATTTGTCGAAGGTGCGAGAATGTCGCGACACCTACATGTCGAGCATTTGCCAAATAGCCCTTTTATCACCCCATATCGTTCTTGATCCAATCATGCGCCGACATTGGTTCGTGTGAGTGTGACTAACATCCTGTGGATGTACCCATTATGTACATAATATCACCCATAGTGAGGAAACGTGCTACGTACCATTTGTACGGCATGTAAAATATGCATAGCATTGTCATTGACAAAAAGACAAATGGCAGGATTTGACAAAAGTTGGTATTAACTTTGCAATGAATGCTTAACCCATCAAGATTTCAAACAAAAATCTCGCTAAGCCCTAAACTTTATGCAAAAGTCCACGATTGCAGCTGGCAAAATAAACGTTATAATTTTCTTTGCGAGCCCGAAGGGTGAAGCTATTACCAACTGTGCGCAATGTGAATGCCGGATTCTTATATCCTGCTATATGTATCTACTATTGGCATGCCTTCATGCGTCTTTTCAGTGCGATGAAGCCTGTCTTTTCTGTTAGACGTAGGTGCACTTGTGCAGTAGAAGTAAGAAGTAAACGTAAAATATATTGAGTGTTAAAAACTATCTCCTTCAACACTACGATATGTATGACCAGAAACGGCAACTGAAACTTGACCATGTCAAGTCACATATGGTGTCCGTCTCTTCCTGTACCATGTGACATCCTGTTACATGGCTTCCGTCTCTCACAACCCATCTGTCGATCGTCCCGTCGTGGACCCACATGTCACGTCGCACGGTAATCAAACAATCAGGTGACACCGTTCCATAATATAGCAATTTGAACCTTGAAACCTGTCAAACACGATGGATTATAACACTCCTCCTCGGTGTTAGCCTGTGTGGCGTCCAACTTGAGCATGGATCTTAAGTCCTCCATCCTTGGTGTTGGCAACGACTTCGTCAGCATGTCTGCCAGCATATCCTTAAATCGCACAAGCCTTGGCACCACAGTCCCTTTCTGTGCGTGATGGCATATAAATTTGTGACGTATGTCCACGTGCTTGGCGCTTGAGGTGCTCTTCTCCGACTCGAGTTGCTTGATCGCCGCTTGGTTGTCAATCCACATCGGCATGGGCTCACGTACGCGTAGCTTCAATTCGCACAGTAATTCTTTCATGCCAAGCAGCTCCCGACCAGCTTGCGAATTAAGATAAGCTCAGTCTCCATCGTGCTCAGCGATACACCCGATTGCTTCTTGCACAGCCACATAACCACTGCACTGTCCACAGTCAGAACACACCCTGATATTGACTTACGGTCGGCCTTGCTCGCAGCGAAATCGACATCGCTCCAGCATTCGACCCGCACATCCTCTGAAACATGTCCAGCACCATCCAGGTGCAGCTTTAAATTCTTAGACATCTTCAGGTATCGCATGATGCGCTTCGCGGTCTTCCAATCCTTGAGTGTCGGCTTGTGAGTCTGTCTTATTGTTTTATGCACCGCAAAACAAATGTCTGGACGTGTGCATCTTGCAATCCATAGCAGGCAGTCCACCAGTGACTGAAAGAACTTCACACTGGGGTCACCCTTCGCTCCTCTTGCTGGTAGGTACTCAGCGTCCTCTCCGTCGTCCATGTTGCACTCGTCTCCGATAGGGGTGCGAACCCCATTGCACGACTCCATCCCGAAGTCCTTTAACAGCAAGTCGATAGTCGGTTCTTGATCCAGAACATAGCCGTTCGAGTTGTCGAGCTCATTTCGTAGCCCGAGGAATTTGTTTACAATCCCCAAATCCTTGATCGATAGTGAGGTCATGTCTTCTAAGAAGTCGTATACAGCGCTCTGTTCGGTGCCCGCGACCAACAGATCGTCCTCGTAGACGCCGACCACCGTGCATGTCTTGCCCTTATACTTGAAATATAGGCACATGTCCGTGGTACATTGCTGATACCCGCTTTGTTGTAGCTTGGAGTAAAGCAGTTTGCTCCACAGCCGCCCAGCCTGTTTTAGTCCATATAACGACTTCTTCAACAGCAACGCTAGGTCATTTGGAGTCTTTGCGTTCAGGTCCTTTATCTCTTTCTCCTTCACTGTCATCCCCTTCGGCACCTTCATGTAGATATCCAGGTGCTCCTCCTTTTCAGCATTGACGTACGCATTGGGTACATCATCGTGGCGCGCCGGTACCTTCCAGCGTCTCAATGGCACCAGGATCAGCCTTACCCTTCCCAAGTCTATGACCGCTGCGAACGTGAGGGTATAGTCCACTCCGAACACTTTTTCGTTTCCACAAACCACCAATCGATCTTTGTACCGCTCGATGTCCCCGTTCGCGTCGGTCTATTTCTTGTAGACCCATTTGTTGTTTAGAACATGTGCATTTTCTGGTGGCACAACGATCTCCCAGACGTCATTTGCCTTGAGCGCGTCCAGTTCTTCGGTCATGGCCACTTGCGATTGGTTGTGATGTTTACTCTTCATCGCCTCACCAAAGTGTTTCGGATCTTGCTCAATGACTGCATTCAACACGTCGCAACTGTCAACCGAGATATCGGCTTTGGCCATTTTTGTTTGAATCAACGTTGTGGACCTTGTGCCATGACGCTCTCTGGCCCATGTCTGCTTTCGACCATTCTTTCCGCCCTTCACACCATTTCGATGATCTCGTGCACCCACTCGACGATCATGTACTGGCTCCTCCTGACTTTGTGCTGGGTCAGAAAAAGTCTTTCTTCCATCTTGATCATCCTGTAATGCTTTAATTCTTTGAACGTGTTGGTTCAATACGACCACCTTATCCACTGGGATGTACACTTTGTATTTCTTCGTTTCGCTTTCTCGCCCAATGATGATGCCCGCCTTCCCTCACTCACCGAGTGATTTGTCTATTGGGTCTCTGCGTACAGTGCATGTCGATTCAAACATCACGATATCTGTCAGTACGGGAGCCTTATTCGTCAAAATCTCCAGGGGCGATGTATCTTTAAGATTGTACTTGGTCTTACTGCGGTTCAGTATGTACGAAGCGTACTCTGCAGCATCACCCCACAATGTGAGTGGTAGTTTTGATGCAAAGATCATGCTCCGCACCATATTTATAATTATGCAATGCATCCATTCAGCCTTGCCTTTGCTCGCTTAATTCCTTACCTCACTTACTTGACGCGAGAAGCCTTCCGATGAGCAAAAAATGTCAAACGTTTAAATTTGGCACCTCCATCGGTGCGTAAGACATGAATCTTGAGATTGAACTCGCGCTCGAAGCTCACCATGAACATTCTGAACTTCGACGCGGCTGTATCTTTCGTTTTGGCCAAGAACACTCGACAATAATTTGATCGGTGGTCAATGAAATTAATCATATACTAATTTCCCAAACGATCTCGGGGGGGGGTCATGGGACCCTTGAGATCCGAACAAATGACACCCCCGATCACGTCGATAGGTGAATTAATGCCCGTGTCTCTCTTTGAGTGAACTCTCTTGGTCTGCTTTCCCTTGGCACAGGCCATACACTTTTGACGTATCAAACGATCGTTACAATGTGTAATATTTGATTATAACTGGGAATCACGCCACGCGCGTATTGCTATTTGCAATCCAATTGAATGAATTCTACAAATGGAACCTTCAAGGGGTCAAAAGAACACATTGTGTTTTCCGGTAGGAAAGAGGCAAGTTTGATATCCAATAATCGGCAAGGAATTGGGCTAATAAATGGATGCAAGGGCGTGGCCAGAGGCATTGTACATAAAGACAATCAAAACGCAATTAATCTTCTCATTTCGTTCGCCGTTGATTAGGAAATCTACACTGATCAACCATTTCTAGGAAAGTGTCAAGCAGAAGAAATGAATCTTAACGACGGTTTAATGTTCTTCTCTGATGATTCCAAACAAAATCGGACGCTATATTCTCCATGGTTGACATATTCCATTGATGTGCACACAATCTAAGGGCACACATTGGACGTTGGACCGCGTTGTCGTAAATTAGGGAAAGAAAGATAGAGCGTTTAGGTTAATCTTTGTTCCCCCATCAAGAGCTCAAGATATTTGAAATTAGGCTGTCATCACACGACCGTGCGACCGGCTTTAAGATCAGAACATTTAAGGGTATGGAGCTAAATAAGGCGAATAATTGAGAGCTGACCGATCTGGCAGGTATACTTAATACAAGGCGGGTCATTGATGTTATCTACTTTTCGTACGTGGTACGCAAAATGATGCTTGTGAACCAAAGTGTCAAAATTGTGAGGTTTCACGATAGATACATGGTGTCTTAAAGTTGGGAAGAAAATTGCTCATGATAAATTGACCTATTGAATAAAATTCTCGGTCTTCCCAATTGTGCCACTGCACCTGCGACGTGACACAAGTATCCTCTTGTCCGTATATGATAATCACTGAGGCTGCGCACTCACTGGTGATGGATTTGTGTACTGGATGGTTACTATTATCAAGATATCATTCTTGGGACGGGATACAATCTCTAGACAAAATCATAACACTGACTAGGTATTTAGTTTAGTTGCACATAGTCGGAATGCATAACCACAATGCATCCCCTTTAATTGTTTTACATAAATATTTAAGAATCACTCGATCGCCGCCAACTTCTTGTTCCGTCACCGGCACTTTTAATCCAGATGTATCTCAATTATCCAAAATGGTATCCGATTAAAAAATTCCTCGTTAGCTGCTCCCCAAACACATGCGTATTTAACGAAATCAGCTTTTACCTTAGTTTATCGTTTGTCGTTCCTTTTTATCTTTTTGCACGCACAAGCGAGACTGCGTAGTCACTCAAACGTTCTTACATTTCGTTTCTTTGATAATTTCTTCATTTTTGGCCGTGACTCAGCTGTTGTTGTGCGGCGCAGAGGATCAAGTTCGCGTTGCATCCAGCGCAGCGGAACTTTGGACAAAGCCGAGCAACGAGTATAGTCTTAACTGCCAGCTCAGCAAGCTCAAGCTCTAAATGTAATTGCTTCGTCAGGCCAAAAGGTAGAGAATTCGTCAATTCTTTTGTTCGAAGGCTGGCTTGGATTTTGTCGGGTTCATTTGCCACTTTCTCATTCCCACAATTCGAGCTTAACAGATCTTTTGACAAATATTTCTCGGAATGGTATGTTCTATTGCCCTGTTTGCTTGGATCGCTACCCAAAAGGCTTTTCTTCAGCGTAGCCCGAATGAACGAGTCGCTACCATCATCGACGCTATGTTTGGGTCATCAGAAAAACATGATTATGTATCGTTTACGTGTGTAAGCCTATCTGTCTTGCATATTATGTTTACCGTAGAATTAAGGAGTTGGTAGCAGCGCAGATAATATTTTACCAGATACATATATAAGAGCTTCTACTTACCTGAGTAGAGAATGACGTGTATGGTCGAGAGCATGGAACAAGTGGCGTGTTTCTCTTGATCTTGACCCTCACACTTATAGTTGACCGCGTTTCCATAGTTTTCATCTCAAGAAGCGCAGCATTATCAGCCATGTTGGCAACCTTTCGCTTCTACATCGCTTGGTGAATATAATCGTGTACGTGCTGCTTTGGGGTTAAACTCAAGCTCTAGAGATTGAGTTCTTCCATACGCATCCTTGTCCTCGTGCTCACACACCTTTTACAACTTCTTCATTGGAAACGCTACTTTTTGATACCGAACAAGTAGTGGTACAATAAAAGGACAAAACGATATGTTTTTGTAAAAATGACTACGGCAAATACACATGTGTTTTAGGCAGCAGCAACGAGTGTATTTGCATTGGGTTCTATTTTAGGTGGATGTACTGTATCCGGGTTGAACTGCAGCAGACGGAACAAGAAAATTGCAGTGATCGAGTGATTCTCTTAGTTTTCACAGTGTTTGTATTTTAAGAGACTGCTTAATTATCGTACCACACACGTATGACTACGCTATGTCCATTTATTCCGTTTTTTTACTGTTTCATGTAACAAGTTTTAATAAATCTTTTACAACTTCAAATTAGGATTTTATTTTGACTCTGAGCCAACAATTTTTATTTTTATATCCTCGGATTATTATAATATTTACAAAATTAAATTGACGATTTGTCCAGTCGAAACTCGCTTCATTTATTTGACACGGATTACCGGTTCAAAGGGCGAGATCCAGAGATTTCCCCCTTATCCTATATAGTAAATAATCTCATCGCAAATAAAGTGATTTTTCATACCCGTACGCGCTATTTTTCTACACTTATTTCGTCGCCATCGCTGCATATAAACACCTATTCACCACATTCAGTCTTTCAAAATGGATATCTTACCACTTCATGATGATGCCTACGACATGATAGGGTAACATCGTCTGGTGTTGATACGAACATGCAGCAATGTTAGACTATATTTTCAGATCAATCATAGTCAAAAGGTGGGCAACACGAAAGATGGAGCCGTCTATAGTGTATGCATATGGTGCTGTCAGGTAAACTGGTTCAAGACATTTCCTTCTTTTGATGTTTCTCGTGCTAAATGATATACTTTATCCTGGGCAAATTTGTAGTCTTGTAAAGTCCTTCGGTGCCTAGTATCGTCGTGGGCAGGACACGGCGCGCAACTCGCCGCTATTTCAAAATGTGGAGGTCAAGCTATTTGGCGTCAATATTGTAGGAATTGACGTACACCTGTCCATTCCTTCCGAGTAAACGTTAATTGATCGCATCCAGCACCTCCCACAAAGCAGCTTGTAAAATCAGAAGACTTCCAGAGTAATAGATGACATATGTCGTTGGAAACATTCATGGAATGGTCTGCAGTGAAACTTACGGATGCATAATACATAGGTTTATGATACGTATATTGCCACCGACATGTGTCAGAATATTGAGATGTTCGGCCTGCATATAAAAGCAATCGGACAGCATTTGGATTACGAATTACAGTACTGCTCGAATGAGAGGTTCAACGAGATGATCAACTAATGTAACTGCTTACTCAGCTTTATAAAAAATTGCCGCACATCCCACCTTCGTTTTGTTTTTGCAAAACTGATTTACACCCTAAGCCACCGCTATTTTTATAATAACTTAGGTAGATGTCTGCTACCGCCTCCTCTCTGTACTCGAGATTGCCGTGGTAGTCCGGAAAGCGTACAACCTTTTTTATATATACGATAGATTAGACATTACCAACCTCGTTACAATCGATGTGTGCTGTTGTTCTCACGACTCCAATTACACACGTTATGACGGACACTCCATCCTCCTTCCACCGGCTCGGAGCAATTGCAGGGCGTGTAGGAACAAGTAAAGGTTCATCGAAGCCTGAGCAATAAAGTTGAGTTTGCGGAAATGCGTCAAACCAGTTTGTAACAACCTCCAATGGTCTTACCTTTCGAGTCCCAATCCTGATCAGAGCGAAGCTCTCCACAAGTCCAGGAAAATAGCCTACGACTGATGCAGGAGCCTTCGACGAATTGGTTTTCCGCGTACTTTGGGGCGTCTTGCTTTCATAAAAATCGTCCAGAGATTTTGTGCCACGCGTGGCTTGCGGGTAGAGAGCAAGTAAAGTAGGAGGGGTATACTTCTACTTATAACGCAATAATCGAATGTACCAAACCCCCTAATCTTCACCCCTTAACTAAGATGTAAGTTTTTAGTACCAAAAGTTCAAGTGAGGGTGTAATGAAATGTTCAACAAATAATTTAATTACCTCGATAAACAGGCTCCAAGCCTTAATTCGTTGAGTATAAGATTGTAAGTTACTTCCAAGGATGGTACTTTGTATATATGGACAATAGACGACTCTCACCTTGTGAAATGATCATACCAGCTCCAGTCCAATCAGGTGGTCCGGGTTCACCCCTCCACGGACTTTCAAGATTAACCTAATGTTCTAAACAAATGTGTGTAACTACCTAAGTCTCAATGGTATCATCCGGGAACCCTGGTACCACTGAGCTGTAGCCTCTCGAAGAAGAATAAACCACCGACAACGAATAGTCGGGGGCCTCCGGGACTGGCTAGCACTTAGAAACCCGGCTAGTGACAGGCTTGTCGCACGGTACGATAGCCGCGAGCCAGGACGGTACATGCAGCCCCCCCCCGAAGAGAACAGTACTAGGTTGTTTGAATTTCTAAATAATACCAGCTGTAGCTGAGAACAAAAACAAAAATATTTGACCAATCAGACGTCTCAAGATAAACTAACGTAGGCAATTTACAGAGGGGTGGGGCGAGCTTAAACTTGATGTTTGGTGAACGGTTCCTGATGTTACTTGTTAAATTAGTCCCTTATAGCTCGTAGAAGCCTATCGATGCGGTCGTTTCGGTAGAATCCATCTAAATTGACATGTTTTGGATAAGTAGCAGCTATAACCGGTCAGCGCATAACTTTCCAGCGAAGTACATATCACGTTTTAACATCCGGATCGTGACAAACTACATGTCGTCGATTCCACTGGCATCCGCATTACAACCACATCAGTATCAACGATCTACTAAAATATCCCTTAGAAACGTAGCCTTTCATTAATGTAGATTGCGATTCTTAATAGCTCAAGGCATTCGACCTTCTGACGGCTAACAGATAATCCCACTTCGATTTTTACACAAATGCAAATTCATGCGCACCGAGCGCCAAGCTTCTTGAGTGCATTCGACTATGATATGCCGGTCGACTTCCTGCCACCAGTAAGTACGTCAACGCCGTCGCCTTGCGATGCTAGAATGAAATGGGGTATGCAGGCCTAGTACTAGCGCTCTTCCATCAATATCCTGTCGTATTATGAAAGTTAGGTGAAGGAAAGGTGTCCAGCCTTGATTGTCAAGTGCCTATCCTACAGCAATCAGAGTTATAATACTGGCAAAAGAGGTCAAATTATGTACGATATCGTCAACCCTTGAATATATATATTGCGGGCCCGGAGTGTGGTCCGAGCCCATGGCTGCACTGTAACGGGGCACCCTTTGTTTGGGGTGCCGCGAAACTTCACGTACACTAGTACGTGCAGAGGAAGCTAATCTACTTGAACGACTCGTTCAAGTAAAGGTAAAAAGATAACTGTATTGAGTATAGTGAAGCTATCAATATAACTTCAGTCTTTATCTAGCTATATTAAACTACGTCGTCGTATCACGACAACCTGCTCACCACTCATTACGCGCGTCTAGCAGCAATTGGTGGTAATCTATGGTTGGTATGTCTTATATCAACCAATCTAGGAGCAGCACATGACTCTAATCCTAAACGGGATATAATCCTTTCGATAATATCCACCTCGGATAATAATGGTAAAATGTTGTCATGCTAGACAATCTCCCTATTGACACCGTTTGGTGTCAAAATCATGTAACGGGCTACCTCGTTACATGCATCGACTACCGCCTACCGCTATTCAAGGGGAGACCTTCGTCACAGAAGAACTATTTGATGAGAGGACCTTTTGTATCAGAGATCATTAAAATACGGCACTTCCGTAGCAACAACTCGTGTACTTCCGACATGTTTTCGATTATCCTGATGAAGAAACGGTCATGCATCGTTCAGACGTGGACAAGTTGTGGCGAGCACTCCCCATATGGGCTTAACACGCAGTGTGGTAAATAAGTGTGGCGCCTCTTCCACTTCTGGCTGCAGAGGCTCCGCGGATAACACAGATAATGCCTGCTCACTACTGAATGGAGCAGGTAGATGCAAAACACAACATTGGGCAACACCATTTACGACAGGTCATACCGTGGACAGCTCGTCTCAATGAGTACTACCATCATCATCATCGTCATCTCCAGCTTTCGTACCGAAGCATGTAAAAAGCTCATAGCACGCAGTCGGTCCAACTTCTATCAGCGAGAAACGTGGCTTCATTGTCATTCAATTGTTATCCAGGCAGTGCGAACAAACGCTACACCGACAATTATGAGAATAAAGCCACACGCAGACACACCCACCGCAAGACGCACTGCATGCACTGGACTTCGTCGCGCGCCCTCGCGTTTAATCCTATTTTTTGTACGTTTTGATTTCTACCCGTGCACGCTCCCTCCTCTTCCGCTTGTAAATGGACGACAGATGACGTCCTATCCAGGCTTTTACTTACACCTTGTTCATCGAGGCCACATCCACCGACTGCACGTAGTCCTCGAAGCTCTGAATGGCGTCCGTAATGTCATCCAGGAGCACCATGTCATCAATGATGATGCACTGCACCAGTAGCTTCTTGATGCCAAAAGCCACGGGCACCAACTTGTGACCCTCCCCCCACGTCAGGCCTTCCACAGGGAGGGCCTTAATCTTAGCAGCCAGCTCCTCGAGGTCCGTCTCAGCCTCCCACGGCTTCACCTCAATCACGACCTGAGAGCGCTCAATGACCTTCTTCTTCTCCTTCTTGGCACCTTTAGCCGCCTCGGCGCGTTTCGCAGCCAGAGCTTTAGTCGCCTCGTCGTCCTCGTCGTCGTCATCCCCGAACAGATCATCATCCTCATCTTCTTCCTCCACTTCTTTGACCTTCTTGACCGACTTTGCCAAGCCAGCAGATGACGTTTCGTTCTTGATCTTCAGAATAGAGCGCAAGCCCAACTTGGCCGCTGTGTGCACGTACCAGCGGTACACATTAGCAACCTTGGCAGGGTCCGGCACGCTCGAGAACTGCTGGAACAGAGCGGCATCTGCCGAGCTGAATTGGTAGCCTTCAATGTAGCTACGATTGGTGAGGAAGCCGTTGAGCTTCTTCAAGCCAGCGTCCTGGTCCAAGTTGTCAAACGTGAGGCCCATGGTTGGAAGAGAGGGAGAAAGATAGCTTTGATGTATGCGGGGCGTGCCAGGGAATAGATCATTCGCTGGCCAGGAGCGCAGCTGGGAAGAGCTGGTGGATTATACATGTGGAGGTCGGATGCATAGTGAAAGACAGAGTGCGGACATGACGTGGCAGGAGCGTGTAGGTTTCACGACCAGTCGGTGTGTTACGTCGGACAAGTAAGTGTGCACACGAACTTCAACCAGTGCAACATGGGATACCAGCAAAATCAACAGCAGCATTCCTTACATGTCAGCAACTGCATACCTGTAAGCTTCTTCGCCTCCCTGCTGCATTCGCATTCTGCCGCATCATTATCTTCTCTTCCCAATTCGTACCACGTACAACGCCGTCCCAACGATAGCCTGGCACGATCCCAAAGCGGTTGGGTGGAGCTGGTGGACCTGTGTATTTCGGCTTGACCTTGATCGCCTTCTTCGTGCCCATTTTGCTTTTCTTTGCTTTTGCAGCTGTATGCGTATTCAACGAGTTTTCCTGGAAAATCTTACTGTGCATGGGATCAAAAGCACGCACCCGTTCCCGGCGCTTGCGCTCAAGCTCTTCATCGTCTTCATGGCGGGCGAACGGAGTCTTTTTCATCTGCTCGACCAGCTCCTGCTTCGACTTCCGCTCTCGCTTCTGAACTTCACCCGTGCCCCACTCATACTCTTCGCGCTCCTCACGCTTGCGTTTGCCATCCAAGACTTCCTGTTGCCGGACGATCTCGTTCAGCATGTCCAGTTTGCGACCGCGCTTGTCACGGTACACCGTCTCGGCGTTGGCACCCATCTCGGAGGCATCAGCAGCATGCAGACTGTCCTTCAGTTTTGCAGCAATCTCACGTTGACGATCGAATTCAGCAGCAGTGAACAGACCCGCTCGCTTCACTTCCTTTTCATTGAGCGACTCGACTTGAGATTCCTTCTTTTCGTTCGAGTGGCTAGTAACTTTGCGCGATGCGCTCTTGGCACCATCAGGAGTAGGTGATGTGATATTACCCGTACGCGAACCTGTACGACCATTGTGCTCGTCCGACAACTTCTTTTCCCTTGCGGCTACTGACACATGCTGTGTCGATCGTTGCTTCGATCCTCGCGATCGCGAATGAGAGCGATCCATAGATTGCGAGTGATGTCTCCCATTTCGTCCATGCGAGTCCAGCCTCTTTACTCTTTCAGGTGAGCGTGCAACGCGTACCGATGGGGAGCGACTGTCACGATGATGACGCGCACGTGGCAATCGACTACGGCTTCGAGACTTTCTCCTTGGACGAGAAGTGTGTGCACTCTGGTCCCGGTCACTATCACGTTTACGATAATGGTCACTGACACGGCCTCGATTTTGGCTTCTGCTTCGTCTGTTAGTAGTGTTGTTCTTGTGACACTTGCTGGAAGCGTCATTATCCCTGGAGATCGAATCACGGTCACTGCGAGGAGGGATGTCTCGGCCAAGTGAATCTACACGACGCTGCCGATCAGGCGCACTAGGCGACGAAGATGGCAAATGTCGGCGCTTTTGTTCATCCCGCTTCAATCCTTCATCAATATGGTGCGACTCTTTCGGAAGTAAGGCATTTTTTGTCGTCTTCTCGACGCTAGAATTCCGGGTTCTCGAAGACTCAGCTTTGCTCTCTCCGTCGTCATCTCGGTTGTAATGTTTTCTGCCTTGTTCTTCCTCATCATCGTCGCGACTGCGCCGCAGCAGCGTACTGGATCTTCTTCTACGACGTGGTGGTGAAGCATCATCATCCCGCTTCACCCGCGTAGACCGCCGTGGCGGTGAGGCATCTTCTACCTCTTCTTTGCTTTTCGAACTCTGCTTAGACCTCGCTTTCGTTCGAAGCGATACGTTCTCTACACTCTCGTCACGAAAAGCTCCTCTCTCTAGTTCAGACGTCACAAAGTCATCACCAGAGCGATATCTTGGCGAAGCACCGTCCTTCTTCTTTGATTTTCTGACTGGCGGTATCTCATCGTCGCTCTCGTCATTTCTCCGACGTCCTTCGCCTCCTTTTTTACGAGGTGGCGACAAATCACCGTCATCCACCTGCTTCTCAGCCTTCTTCTTCCCCTGATAGTCGTCCAAGTACTTGCCCGAATCCACGTAAACCGGCAGATCCTGAGCATCCACGGGATCCTCGTCTCCGACCAAAGCTACAACCAGCGGCAGCTCATCTTCGACAGCATCGAGTTCCCACTTCCTCTCAATCTTGTCTCGATGAGGAGCCGATGATTCCCACGCGTCATCAGCATCCACCACGTGCGTGCCCCTCGTCGCATCCTTTGAATGTCTGACCTTCTTCCTCTTCTTCTTTTTCTTCTCTCCATCCACAGCGTCTACATGGACATACGAAAAGGCACAGAAACGGTAGGTAAGTGTCTTGGTAACATGTTAGAGCAGCGGAAAAGTGCGGGGGACGCATACCGCTGCTAGCGCTGGACAGATAGCGCCGCAAGTATTCGACCTTAGACGTCATTACTCGATGGGACGTCTAAAGTCACAAGGAAAAGGTTTGGTCCATTCTAAAAAAGAGTTGCGGAGTAATCCTTGATAAGCATATATTCTTTGAGGGGGGATTATGGCTTCAACATGGCACGAAGCACGAACGACATGAGCGAGCCAGCCGTGAGTCCAATGGACAGCATGAAAAAGATGATACTTCCTCCTAGTTCCTTCTCAGCGTTCTTGCGGAAAAGACGGGGATACTCCATGAACGCCAGAGTACAGAGCAGTCCGTTCGTGTAGGCGCATCCAGCAATAAAAAGCATGGCCAGCACGTCGCTCCGGAAGAGAACCGTCGTGATGACTTCATTCGACTTGTTCTGCAGGTTGCAGAGCATCAAGAGCGGCAAGAAGATTGCTCGGGCGATGCTGGCAAGCAAAAGCTTCTTCTGGCCAAACTCCGAATACCACGAGGCAGATAGACGCGCCACAAAGTCCGACGTGTTGAACAGAATCAGCGTGAACGGCGTGAACAACTTGTTGAAGAAGAGACCGTCCTCAGGCTGCACCGACTTGATGGCTGATGTAACGCCGGGGAACACACCAAGTGTCACGATGAAGATAAAGAACGTCGCGGCCCCGTAGAAGCGCATTTTGTAGGCAATCTGCAGCATGTCCACGTTGAACCTGGTTTCTTCTTCGCCCAGCAGCAGTTCCCGAGGAGACGCCTCCACTGTATCAACCGTATCGGCTTCACTTGGTGCATCCTCCAGGTACTTCTTTAGATCTCGAGTCGGATGATCAACTCTCTGGTAGTGACGGAACAAGTGCATCCGCGTGAGCACTGCAAACGACAATAGACAGAGGACTAGCGTGACAAACACGAGCACGAAGTACGTGAACGCGCACAGGTCGGCAGCAGCTTGCAAGTTATAGCCGAAAAAAGCGGCATCACTGTTGTCCCCTCCGGCCCACAAAATGACGAAATTTGACAGCGAGACCGCCAGTCCAGCGAAACTCTGGCCGCTCACGACTGCCTGTGTGTATCTTGACGGGAACGTTGCCACAATGCGAAGGAGTCCTTCTTGCATGAGCGTCGAAGCGCAGGCGACAAGCAGAATACTGATCATGGTCGTATGGAAAAAGGAGTACCCTACATTGGCATAGACGGACTTAATCAAATTAGAGGGTTATCAGATAAGGACCGTCCAAAACAACTCAGGTTCTAGACCTTGGAATTCCGGCATGCGCGTCCAGGCACAGTGCATCGACATGACGCCCATAATGACCACAAGAGAGAAAAAGACCGTATGCACGGCACTCGTCATGCGCTCGGCAATGACAGCCGTGCGGATGAGCATCGTCATGAGCGTGCTCACGTTGAAAGCCATGCTGAACCAGTTCAGGAACGAGTCTTCGTACGTGGTGCCAGATAGCCGATGCTGGAAGTAAGTCTGAGCAGTGATGAACACGTTCCATGGCAGTGACGAGCCGATGCCGATGAAGAAGAAGATGCTCAATACAACGATCGAAAAGCGCTCGCGCATGCTGCTCGTTGGATCGGATCGGCCGGATCAGGCCAAGTAGCAGTAGAGGCTTGAGATATTTCGGACGGCTTTATCCAGAACAGGGATGAATAAAAACTGGGAGATGCGGCCGTAGTGTTGAGAAAAGCGAATTAAATTAGAGGATGTTTGCCGGCTTATTTTGTAACTAGTTTTAATGACTGTGGATTGGACAGAATAGAAACGATCTTTTATTTGTCAAGTCATGTGGCGTTGATGACGCGAGTTCCCGTTACAGAACAATTCGGCTCTTCAACGTGAAGTGCTGCTTTTATTCGCTCAGTACGGTACAGACGAAGGAACACAAAGCCTTAATGTTATTGAATGTCAAGGTGACTTGTAGTGCTGTACACCTGCGTCTTGAGGTAGGTGATTCTAAGAGTTCAAGTCAGCAACTCATTCGTGCTGGATTTCTCCTGCTACTACAAATAATCTCGATCTTACGGTCGGTTAACAGACCTGTGCGGTGTTGCTGGAAATTGCGATGTACACACGGGCAGTGTTGTACAAGCATATCTTAGCGCAATTTGCAGGCGAATTTACGCATTAACATGTTGCGACATAAGCAGTTCAGCCATTTACGATAGCATCTTTATCATTTGCTCAGCATGTACGCTGGCTGACTACTTCAGCACATGATCGCATATTACAAAGTGGTCTTGGTTCAAGGTTGACTGGCAGCTTCTTCTCCTGTTTCTGCCACATTCGGCCATTCTACACGAACACGTTGTTGCGCTTCTGTGGGGGGATTGATTGGAATCAGTACCATTTTCCTTTGTTTATTTGGTAGTCTTGGCCTATTCTCCAATTCAAAAAAAGCTAAGAACTGCCAACCGTACAAAGTACACAATCGTTGTGCGCTTTCACGCCATCGTTCGACTATCAGGTGCCGATAGCAGAAATATGATAGAGAAGACTTGAAACGTGGATGTTTTCACATCACAACGTATCGAACAGCTGCAAGGTGATTTCTGCTCGGTATGGTGGGGTCAAAGCGTCGGGCCGTAAGCTGGTGGTACACGATTTACGGTAGTTGGCTGCTCACATTTGGGCGCTTCTCATGGGCCCAAAAGAACAATCGTCATGTATGTAGATCTTCGCTTACTTCATTGCTGTCGTCATATTTATCGAACGTCGCGTCCATTTGATCACTTGTCACCTCTTGATTACCAGGTGTCACCCTTTCACCACTAACACCTTACTTGGGTTCCCATTTTTAGTGAACTGACGTCACTGCTTGTACTTCGTCAAGTATGTGCCCAGACTCCTTTACTGTAATTCTTTTCGAGAATGACACATAGCTTGAAATAGAGAAGTGTGAAGACAACTTAGGTAGTGTATGACGTCTGACTGAGGACGCTGTCGCTGTCGCTGCAGCTAAAATGTGCATGTAAGATATATTGCTCGAGAGCTTATGCAAAAAGAGCGAAGGTCGCATGGCAACAGTGCCCTTCACTAGCCTTGACCCGATGTGCCCTTCCAAATAGCATCTCGATGTGTAGGTCACATGTCTAGGTTTTCCAACAATGCTACTGAGCTCAAAGCGTCTCTAGTGAGGCCGACATTATAACAAAATCAAAGACTCGAGAACAAAATAAGTAGACATGAACTGAGCTAGTGATTATGGAACGAAGTCTATCGAGAAGGGTGAGACAAGACTTGTTGTACAACTCTCCACGGTGATGCATTTGCCTAGGCTGGACGTAGTGGTAAACGTGATGGCACGTCGTGAACAGTAGTTTAGTGAGCAGTACGAAGACATTAGTTTACCCAGCAGCTTTACACGGATCGTACGAGCGTTCAGCTTAGGCGAATACAGAGTGTATGCAAGTCAACTTGCCTGTCGTTCCACGAATCTTGATGGTGCGACTCTCATCTACCAGGATCGGGCACAACTGTGTCGCTCTATGTCAATTTAGCGCATCAGCACAAAACGTTTTGGCTCATACATGGCTTATCAGCGCTTGCTATCACAATGAGCGATAGTTTCACATAGCATTTTCTGTCAGACAAAAGACTTACCATATCAACGGCAGGCAGAAAATCGGTGCTCTAAGCAACTGCAGCATAAGAGGAGATGACTCCGCATAATCAAATGCGCAGCACTGAGATGCGCATTTATTGGTGGTTGAGGTTGAGGTCGCAGCTGCCAACATAACATTCAAGACCTCATGTGCTAGCGTGGGTAAGTTTACTCCGACCTAGGAACACGACAGTGCAGTAGCCTCATATTGCTAAGATTGACCAAGTCTAGCAGAGGACGATTACCTACTGCTCTTGAAGCAATCACTGGGAAACGTGTCCATATAAAATGTAGCAGCGAGCTGCGGCAAGAAGTTTTGCAGACCATCTACTCGTCTGCTGCTGATATCGACGAGTTTTACGGCATTAACGGATTCTGATCTACCCTTCGTTAGAAAAACCAATATGCTTCTAACATGGTGCCTGCGTCCTGTCACCTAGATGTTGCCGTACCAGTGGAATAGTCGGTTTGCCGTAGCATGCTCAGCATGGATGCCACAGATTCGATAGCTTCGTACACTAAGCAACATCCTGCATTTGTGAAGCCAAGTATGCTATCACAAAGGTCGACCCGCAGATACCGGGTCTCCTCAACCATGTTGTGGCATAAATAAAAGGTTCGACTCCTTGGCATTTACAAAGGAATTAGGTGACACGTGCGATGTTGTCCTCCTCAATGTGACAGTTCATGTTTATTGCGAAGTCGCTACTTCAAACAGACAAAATGCAATTATCGACTCTGACAGTATCAATTGCGTATGGTCAAATAACATTTTTAGGTGTAGCCCAATAACCACCAGTGTCCAAGCATTCAAAAAAGTGCCAAATGACCGACGCCGCGGCCGATAACCAGCTGACAACTACCGACTTTGTCGTTGATAAGCAGCAAAGCAACTGCTTGAAGCTCACGATGAGTCGTCAGGTCAAGGACAAGACGATTGCAGAGTCCAAGCTCGTGCCGTTTTTGCTCCAGCTGCTGCAATCCACCGAGGCCCCAACCTCTGACTCAACAATCCAATCATTAGATGCACGTTCAATCGTAAAAAGAGCTTTGTATGGCAGTGGCTCGCGTCGCATTGTACTACTGGAGCTAAAAGACGTCGAAGTCGCGATAAAGTTACGTCTTCTGCTCCATGAAAAGCCTTGTGAGCTGCTGGGACAACGCCCGATCTATGCTGAGTTTGCTATGCTCAGGAAGGAGCAGGAAGCTCGTGATCGACTCGAGCGAGTGCAGAACGTGCACCGCAATGATGATCATCCTGGTCTACGGGTTCCAGGACTGCGGCTTGAGGTCGAGTTTCTCACAAAATTGGAGGAAGCTGCCTGCATAAATTATTTCGATCGAGATGGCGGCGTGCACTGGGCGAAGACCATTCGATCAAGACAGGTGCAGCATTTTGGTTACGAGTTCAATTATGATACGAGGAGATGTGATCCAGACAAGCCCATAACAGAACCGATACCGGAAGTGCTGCAGTCAATCGTGGAGAAAATAGCCACGTGCGGTATCATGGACGGTGATACGCCCGACCAAATCACGGTAAACGAGTATTTACCGGGACAAGGAATTGCTTTTCATACGGACACCCACTCAGCATTTACGACAACTATTGCAACGCTGAGTATCTCGAGTCAAGTAGTTATGGATTTTCGGTACCCTGATAGCCATCAGAATGAAGGTGTGCTCTTGCCGGCACGGTCGATTGCCGTTATGAGTGAATCCAGTCGTTACGAATGGGAACATGCCATTGTGCCACGACTGTTTGATGTGATTGATGACAAGCAGGTGGCCCGTCAGCGGAGACTGAGCATCACGTTTCGTAAGATTCGATCAGGACCCTGTGAATGTCCGTTCCCAAAGTATTGTGATACTTCGAGAAATGAACTGCAGGGCCAAGAGGAGCAAAAGACTGTAATAAGGAGTACTGCTAGCTTGGCACCTACCGCGCTGGAGCAGCAGTACGTTCATGATTTTTATGAGACAGTAGCAGCACACTTCAGCAGTACCCGACACAGTCCGTGGCCGAAAGTTGGTCAGTTCGTGGCATCGCTGCCAAGTGGGTCCATCATTGCTGATGTTGGTTGTGGAAACGGGAAGTACATGAAGTGCGTCGATTCATCGCAGAGTTTTGTTGTAGGTGGCGATCGCAGTTCGCGTCTCGTGGATATTTGTCGCGGACGAGGTCTTGACACGATGGTATGTGACGCACTAGCTGTTCCGCTGCGCTCCAACTCGTGCGATGCTGCGCTGTCAATTGCGGTACTCCACCACCTTAGCACGCTTGACCATCGACTAGCGGCGGTGAAAGAGCTGCTCCGTATCATCCGGGTAGGTGGACAGGTAATTGTGTACGCATGGGCACATGAGCAGATGAAGGGTTCTCGTCGCCGTTTTGAGGAAGGTCGGCAAGATTTTATGGTGCCTTGGAATCTTGACAAGCGTTTTGTAGATGTTCCTCGAGAAGATCCTGATGCCGCAAACACTGCTGAAGCAATCGAGCCAAGTGAGAAAGCAAATGATATCCAGACACATCGGAGCAAGGGTGGAGGAGTGATCAATGGCAGGGACGCTGAGGAAAACGTCGTTGCCAAATCAGAAGACTGCGTGGTTCAGCGTTATTGTCACATGTTCAAGCAAGGTGAATTAGAAAGCCTAGTAGAACTTGCGGGCAACGCAAAAGTGGAGTCGAGCTACTACGACGAGTCGAACTGGGCTGTCGTTTTCCGACGTGTCAGCTAGCTCATCGATGGATCCACCGTCGTGAACAAAGCACTTGAGGAAGCATGGATTGTAAACCCATTTACTTAAGTTCTAACATCATGTCAGCCCTTAGCAGATGACATTCACATCTCCATTAAAATAACTCGACCTGCTATATCCTGTCGTTGCTTCGTCCGCTCTTGCACCTGCCAACAGGCAGCATTCAGCGCTGCAGTTACTTCCGTCCCATCGCAGAGTAGCGATGCACACCGCATCGCCAGGACATTCGCGTTGGCTAGACTCACGTAATTTGAGTTTGGTCTTTCGACTCATGCAAGTTTTTCAGCGCACTATCTTTAACCACGCGCTGTAGGACTCGCTTCAGCATCTTGACGTCGCAAATGCGGACGACAACGAAAATGTAGTGTCGACACAGGAACCAATCGTCTGCTGCATTGTAATGACCACGTAACATTTCGGTACCAGCTCTTTCACCATTAAAAAGCTTCATTTCACATCTTCAACCGTGTGTGTTCGCATGTCAAGCCAGCCAGGCAGAACGACAAGGCTTGTCATCATTTGTAACGGGGTGAGCCTGTTAAATGTAATTAACCTCTGGTACTTGTCAATTAGAATATCATCATAAAGGTTAATAATGTCTTAGTAGTTACCGTTAGGGATAATATTCAGAAACACTCACCGATTGGCTTACATGGGTCATCATATCAGCCAGCTCTGGTGGTCGAATCAACGATGAACGCGCGCAATGATTGGTGAGCAAGACTTAAGCATTCATTTTTGTAGATAAATAGAAAAAAGCTAGGACTATAAACATAAGTTTACGTTTGCGACTTAGTTATATTTTATCCAGTTTTACTTTTACCAGCAACTCGCCAGTTTCTAGTTGCGTTCCCTTCCTCTGCATACTTAACAGAGGTAGCGAGGCACCACTTACGCTGCTATCGGTGATAGTAGCTCCACACTGGTTGTCCAGTGTGATGCTCCAGTGTCCCGTTGCATTCATGCCCTACGTCTCTTACCGCCCAACATTGCATTGAATTCCTTCAGCTTTCTCAGTTATACGTAGGTACTATGAAAACGGCAGCTCTGGATTTCCGCATATCGACGGTCATGCGTGTATCGACGCTACCAGCAATTCATCGCTGCTTGTCCTTAGCATGGGAATGACACAACCCACCCATGTGCACAAACTTGACGCAACTTACCACGTGGCACACGAATTCTCTGCCATCTTGCAAGACAAAACTCTTTTGTGCGTACATTTGTTGAATCCATCAACGTCGCGCCGCGTCTGGCCGCCATACATTCCGCACTTGTTCCGAGCTTATTGTCTTCGAGCACACCTGTAGTAGAGCTATCCGAACTCCTTTGTCAGAGGAAGACCTTTAGAGTCGTAGAGGTTCTTAGCACGCACGTGGTGGAGCCAGCAGCACGCACAAGTCCTGGGGCCAATACCCGGATTTTATGTTTAACCCCGCACGCAGTGTACAGTACGGCGGACATCGCTACGTTACAGGAGCACTGTCTAAAACCGGAGGCGGCACCGAGTGGGCGCCAGCTCCTGGCTGCCACTCCAGAGAAATGGAAGATAATCAGCGGTCTGGCGGAGGGAAGAATAGTCGGCCGGCGAATGCCGAATTTCTTAAAGGTGTCTTGGATCCCAAAAAGCGGCTGCAACTTTACCGGACTATTCAGGCGCAATTGGAGGGAGAAATGGTGCTACAACTTCGTAGTGGGACAATGTTCGCGTGTACAGGCAAAACACAAGCGCGATCAAGGAAGACATACTGTTAGCGGCCGAAGGGTTGCCAATAAAATGATCAGAGCTCCGAAGCCTACTCAATGTGTCCAAGATCATCATTTTTGATCCTGTTCACCGCCGGATTCACTTCTACTTTTTGACCAAGCTACTGCGTGCAAGTGCGAGTTGGCTACTGTACCTTTAAAAGGGATGGTGTACTGTGTCAGCAATATGCATCAGCTGCACCAGGGCTCAGTCTAGGCGCGCCACTTAAGGAATTTTGGAACTCGGATAGCCATTCAACGGGTATACACGGTAGAGATACACAACGTCACCCGATTTACGGATATCGGTCGTCTAATGGCAAACTTGCAAGTACGTATCGCAGCTGAGTAAGCGCTAGATGATCTAGATATCTGTACACCCGACTCGAGGAAGTCTTACGTTTGGAGACTCACAGTGAAATTGCGGGATGCCCGAATTTCTTCGGGGAATAGTCCGCATCACCTGGTATGGACAAACATTCGTTCTCAAGCATTAATATGTTGGTAGGCGCCTTCAGTGTTTTCAAAGTGGAAAGTTAGGACACACTTTGGCTAGATGTTAGTATTCTACGCCGCAGTTGGGCGGGCCGGGCAGCAGGGTAGCCGCAGATCAAGAGGTAGCCGGGCTTGAAGATTTGGCAACTCCATTTTCCAGCATGGAAAAGGTCCACAAAATGGCGTACTTACGTCTCCGTATGCAGGCCGAGCAAGACAAGAAGACGCAGGAAGCCGTAGATTCCCCGCGGACAGCAACGGCGCCGGTGGTTTTGTCCGATGATCATCAAACACCAACCGATACTCCCCCAGCCACAATCTTCTGATAAACCCAATAGGCCGATCCCTAAAAAACCGTCGGTTACGGTACCCATTCGTCGACGGCGGCGTATCCAGTCTCGGCATCAGTCACCAGCTACAAAAACTTCCACCTCAGCTTCTTGCTTTGCACATCTCGCGGACGGGTCTGACGAAGATAACAATGACGCCGAAGGCTCTACAGAAGCCTTAACGCCCACTACTACGGCTCCTAGGTAATGTCTGTACCACACCACGATGAACATGGTTCGCCCAAGATCACTACCTCTCAAAAGGCGCGATTACACCTTTATTCAGGGATAACAACGAAACTGCCAGCGACACCGCAACTAGTCACTCTACAGCAACGGGAACGTGCGGCTTTGGCTGCAGTGGTAAATGATAAACTCCTACGTCTAGGAATACCACTTACTCTAGCTGGCTGTGGTGAAGGTCAAAAACCAACTCTATCTGTATTAGAAGAGGCGTTGGGCATTCGACCAGTAACCACGGCTTCATCCGGTAATTGCCTATCCATTGCTTTGGCACAGGAAATAGCTGACCACGATATGGTAACCTTGGACGAAAACCTCGAAACCATTAAAGCATGCATCAAGCGAGGCATCCATCGAATGGGACAGCTCATTTTTAAGGAGCAGTTTGACCACTACGTTCGAAGTTCAACATAAATCAACGTGCTCCGCGGGGGGTACAGCATGGATCCAATAGAATTAAAAAAAAACAATTTAAATGGTATCTGGTAGAATATGCTGCCACAACGTCCACCCGACATGCAGTCGTCGAACGCTTCAACTGGGGCTGTAGCGCAATTTTTTTGACTGCAGACAATTTTCTACAGCGCATGAACTCTATCCTAGCGCAGCCAGAGGGTATCCAGCACGAATGGAAATGCTCTCCTTACCGCTCAAGTACGACCAAGCGAGGTAACAAAATCTAAGAGACTGGTCAACAAGTGCCAACGGAAATCGGCGAGTGTATTAAGTCAATACAACTGGCTAAAATACACGACACAGACCGGCCGCTAATTTTCAGGAGCTGATAGAAATATTACTCCGCTTACGTGCACACTCTACCACCAGCTGAATTAAACCTGAATAGACCGAGGAAAAAACATCTGGCTCCAGCCGTTTAATCAAGCCGATCGAGCTAGGCGGTGGAATGCGGCTGCAATCTGGAACCGAGCGAATCCCCAGCAGGGTACCAGAGTGCAGCAACAGTGTCAGCTTGCCAAATTGTGCTTGGAATTTCCGATAATGATCATGATGCTAGCAGCATGCGCAACGCGCACGCACCCCATATCGCGCTTATTTCAACCGCTCGACCAGAACAGGAACAATCGTCAGCTCAGAGACGCGCGCACTCGACCACTCCTGCTGAGAGAACACAAATTTGGTGGATCTTGCGAACGCATCTGGATCCACATCACCACGAAAGAGAGGCAGAGATTTAGGATGCTGCTGATCCGGTCTCGCACACCGGCAGCTATGACACGAGAGATTCCTGGATCGAGCTCTGGCGTCAGCATGGCGAGTCTTGGCCGGATTCGTCTACCGCTAAATTTCCTATCGTACACAGCAGCGTAGAATTCTGGATGACAGCAGTAACATTTGATTCGAAGAAGCTTTTATATGCTGCAGGTAAACCCTTACCCCGAGGAATTTATTAGCTGCGTAAGCGGGTAATTCTTGGAGTACTGGACTGCAGCTTGGCAAAAGGGGTGCTTACAAGCGCGGCTAGCTTCATATCGCATCAGGACATCGGACAAATCAGCACAAAAGTGGTTAGATGACTAAAAGTCTAAGTTCTCGAGGCCATCCCCTCACAATATACCAGCACTGATCGACAGCAGGGATGACTGTTTGCGTCTTAGACCCAACGCTTACGGGGAAGATTCCATATTGAAACTGTGTGATGTGGCCAAAAACAACGCTTTGCGCATCACACAATTTGCGCAAGTCTTTACGAAAAGGAGATCCGAGTGCATTTAGGTCAAGACGACAATGAAGACAACGAGGTGCTTCCACGTCCCGTCAGGAACCTGGATGCACTCAAACTGGCCACCAGGTATCGGGATGCATTTACAGCTCTTCTACCGACACGAGATGGTTGACTATCGCGAGCTTCTTTCAGAGGCTCTTGAGCACGGAAGGTCAGAGTCCACCATTACTTACTAAGCAAACCTTTAATGTAACGGGGCACCCTGAAGCTTGTACTAATGACAGTACAAGCTACTTATTCTGACGACAGAATAAGGCGGTGCCTCGGTACTTCACGTACACTCGTACGTGCAGAGGAAGACGGTAAGAAGAAGCGATTACTTGACTAAAGTTCAAAGTAGAACTGTATTTATCATAGTTAATGTCTGTTAATAAACCACTATTTATCCTCATCTAGCTATGTCTGAATACAAATGTGTATATCAACTATCTGCTCACCACTCATTGCGTGCGTCTGTCGTGGCGCGTCTTCGTTGGTTGATATAATGGCCTATACCAACCAATTAGGAACTACTCGTAAGTGCTACAGAATATTTGTCCTTATGACAATATTCTGAGAATATAACTCTTATAGTTATATTCTATTAACCATTTCTTATAAATTGTTATGTAACGGTTCACCCCGTTACATCACCCCCCCTTAACCATCAGTCACTTTAGTGACTGATTGACTAAATGGATACTCGTCCCAAATCATTTGGGACAGGGTTTGTACTTGTTGGTCCGAGTCCACAGTCCATCAGTTTCATCGCATGGTGATCAAGTCCATGCGGTACGCGAACAAGGGCGCCGAGAGCGCTTCCGCACGTCTCTGTGCGGACGCCGAAGCAGAAACCACAGCAACTGATGTCTCATCGGTTGCTGAAGCGACTCAGCCTGTGTCACCTGGTGATGCAGGCGCTCGTCATGAAGACACTCATGTCTTCACAGAGTATGAGCTCGGTGTCTCATACGCTCCTGATACGGAAGACGGATCCGTATCGACGGCGGTTGAAACCAAGCCGCCTGCCAAGCGTGGCATGGATGATGCTACTCGTCGTAGCATCTTTGGTTCATCTGATGAATCAGATGAACCATCGCCGAAGCGAAGGCGCTCGAGGTCGCAAGACTCGGGCGCTCACAGTGGTGTCGGTTCTCCTATGGACACCACTTCGCAACGAGGTGCGCGTACTTCTGTCGGCACGTCGCAGGAAGAGCGGGACCGCAATGTGTTGCGTCTCGCTCCTGAGAAGAAGGCATGGATGCCTCCCAAATCAGTCATGGATCACTTGTCGGCGACGACGAGTGATCGTTATCGAACACGGTTGTTCGATTCGTCAAGGATCCATCACCTTGACCCCAGCGCGAAAAACTATCGCGCTGAACATGAATTCTTCATCGATGCTTTCTTCAGACATCGATGGTACAGTGGGAATCACAAACGTGATGGTCCCTCACTACTTCAGGCGTGGAACGCCTACATCCATAACCTTGAGGATGTAGGTCGTGACGCTTGGAACGACAAACTTATCAAAGCTCGTGATAAGTTTGAAAAGCGAACCCCGACAGGTGCACGCTACAAGCTGCATCGTCTGTCAAGGGAGAAAGGATTACCCTGCCTCTCTTGGGGAGACTCGTGCCCATGTTGTGTGAACAACTCTGCACGAGCACCTAAGGAGGCTTACCTCCTTACCAGCCCGTGGTGGCGCGTACGTGTCTCTACTGAGATGTACGAAGGGATTGACAGCCTGAAATCCCTTTACGACCGTGCCGGGAAGACTTTCTCCGGCGGTCCTTCTGCGGCACAGGATGTGCCGCGTCGTACTGCTTAACCAGACCCAGTACGTCGATCATCAGTTGGGAGCGGGGCTCCTAAGAATCCCAGGACGGGGGATAGCCGCGCCACCGGACGAGATAACTCGTCCGACGTCCGTTCACGTCGCGGTGGTTCAACAGCTGCTCAACTAGATAGCGCTGGCCACCGCGAGAGTCCTCTAATGGAGGTGGGGAGGAGGAAAGACGCTCTCCACACGATCATGTGGATCGGTGTGTTCCCGAGAGCTTCTTTGATCGCGTAACGCAAGGGTTACGTGACGATCTCGAACATGAGCGGAATAGGCGTCTCCAAATGGCGGACACTGCCTCGAAGCATCGAGCTGAGTTTGCCTTTGCTCAGCTTGAGAACGAGAGATCTCTGACATCTCTTCGTGACGAGCTAAGGGTAGCTCGTGGGATTGCTGATCGGTCTCGGGATGAGATAGCTGCTCTTCAGACCCTTGTTGATGCCCACCATCGGGAGCACAAGGCTCTCTGCGAGATGCTTGAGCGCAAGGGCGTTCTTCATCGGAAGAAGCAGCGTACTGATGGTACGGCTTAAGCCGACCAACGTAAAACGTGGGATGCGTTCGCATCTTACGTGGTAACTCGATCGTGTATGCATTGCCTAGGCGGTGCAATACACGAAATGGGCCGATGTACTTGGGTAGTAGTTTACTGCTACCCAAGTTAGTCACTACATGCTTTGGTAGATTAACCGTAGACAGTAGGACTAAGTCACCTTGATTAAATAAAGGAGTGGTTGCCCTCCCATTCTTGTCTGCGTTTTGCTTTTGCTTATCCACCGCTTCGGCGATGTAGTCTTGCACAAAACGGACTACCGTTTTACGAGCCAGTATGAACTCATCTGATGACTCGTTAGCTTCAGTGTGCTGTGAGCGCACTGCAGCAACATCAACCTTTCCTTCAGTGAGGGCTTCCGCACTCTCACTGGCATCATCTTCTTCGATATCGATGTTATCGATATCGGCATCAAACGCAATGACCTCTTCGTCAGAGCGTGATGAGCGTGAGCCAAATCGGTTTTTGCTCGCGCGAGTCCCTCCCCCCCCCTAAACCAGAGTTACACTCGAGAGGGGTGGGTACCCGCGGATGGCGCAAGCCATTCACGTAAAACGGTGTATGTGTCGTGGACGCATGCACCAAGTTGTTGATGGCAAACTCTACCATTGGCAAAAACTCACTCCAACTCTTAAAGGAGTGTACGTATCCTCGAAGTATCTCTTTGAGGACACGATTGGCTCGCTCCGTCTGACCATCTGACTCTGGATGATCAGATGTAGACATCTTCAAGCGCGTTTCGAGTGATTTGAACACGGAACGCCAGAAATCAGCAGTGAAGCGTGGATCTCTGTCTGATACGAGTCCACGGGGCAACCCATGAAGTCGAAAGATGGTGTCAATAAAGACACAAGCACAGCCACTTGCTGTGATAAACTCTGGTACAGCCACAAGGTGTACCATTTTGCTGAATCTGTCAACAAATACGAGAATACCCGTATTCCCGCGTGCGTCTTTGGGTAACCCGAAGACGAAATCTATCGAGATGGATTCCCAGCACTCAGCCGGAACCGGTAGAGGCTGTAAAGGTGCACGCAGTGAAGGACTTGACTTCACTCGTTGATAGATTTCGCATGCGCGAGCATACTTTTGCACAAACTGGTTCTGGCGGGACCAGTAAAAGTCTCGACTCACCGTGAGATATGCTTTCTCCCGGCGACAATGTTCTCCTACAGGAGCATCGTGATACTCGGACATGATCCGCAAACGCAGATCAGTATCATCTGGAATGACAACACGTGGTGTGTCACCAGAAGCGGCTGTATAATACAGTAAACCGTTGCGAGTAGTGTATCGATCTGATGCAGATCGATACGCAGACGACAATCGTTTCAACGATTCTCGAGATGGCTGGGAGAGATGTGTCAACAACTTCACTATCTCACCATCTTGGGCGTATGCCCGCCTCACATCATCATACAACGTTGTAGATGGTATTGTGGACGTCATAACCGCAACAGTGACTGTCTCACTGTTGGGTTTCGCGACTGGTTCAAAGTTGGGACGACGTGAGAGTGCATCAGCGACGACATTAAGTCGTCCTGGTTTGTATTCTACCGTAAAGTTGTATTCTGCAAAGAGTGACAACCACCGCGCCATTCGTTGTGAAAGGTGCGGGCTGTTTACTGCCGTGCGTAATGACGCATGGTCAGTGTAAACAATGTAGGGTCTATCTCCTAATAGATAGACTCTGAACTTCGCGAGTGCATACTTCATGGCAAGGCGTTCCTTGTCATGCACTGGATAGTTCCGCTCAGCTGGTTGCAGCTGACGCGACTGATAGCAGACGACGCGTTCAACGCCTTCAAGATCGTACTGCATTAATGCACAGCCGATTGCGAAATCGCTGGCATCACAGACCACATGAAATGGCCTGTCCTGATCGGCTATTGCTAGGACTGGGGATTGTATCAAGCTCTGCTCGATACCATCAAAGGAGCGCTGACATTCAGCGTTCCATAACCACCTCTCGTTCTTTTTCAACAAACGAGAGAGGTGCACATTCATCTCGTCGTAATTGCGTGAATACTTATGCAAATACGCCGCTAGCCCAAGGAATTTTCGAAGACCTTTGACATCAACCGGCACAGGCCAGTCGGTGATCGCCTTGATCTTTTCGGGATCAGGACGTACACCGTTCTTACCAACGATGCACCCAAGAAGTGGTATTCCGCTTGCTGCAAACATACACTTCTTGAGGTTTGCATACAATTGATGCTTTCGCATGATTGTAAGAACCTGTCGGACGTGGTACCTGTGAACCTCAACGTCCGACTTTCCATCCATAGCTCGACTATGGATGAATACGTCATCGAAATAGCTCGGCGCGAACTCTCGTACTGGTCTCAACAGATGTGATACACATCTGTTGAACGTGGCAGGGGCATTACTGAGCCCTTGTGGCATTACTAGCCATTCCCAGAGCATGCCGCTAGGCGTGCTAACTGCGGTATAGGACATGTCCTGTTCCCGCATAAGGATTTGATAGAAGCCATCCATCAAATCCATGGACGAAAAGATGGTACTCTTTGACATACCATCAATGATTACGTCCTTCCTCGGTAGCGGCGTCTGAGCCGGTACCGTTGCAGCATTCAATTTGTTGAACGCGTGCACTATCCGCCACCCTCCTGTTGCTTTTCGCACACAGAAGGTCGGAGAGCTATGTGGGGAAGTTGATTCCCTCACATGGCCCGCAGCTAAACGATCGGCAAAGAACTTGTCGATCGCAAGTACTTGTTCACGAGGCAGTGGCCACTGCTTCATGACACAGTACTTCGAGCCTGGTTTAAGCTCGACCTCGTGTCGAATACCTTTATCCTTCGGTAATTCGCACGGAACGGTTTCGGGGAATACATCCTTGAATACAACCAAATCTTCATAGAGAGGATTTGTCTTGAGCGATTCCCACGATTGGGAGTCATATCGCTCAATTCGTGTCTTTTCATCTAGGACACTCTCGTCCATAGATGAACTACTGAGAACTCTTTCGTTCTCAGTAAACACTGTTGCTGACCTTATGTCGGCTACACACTCGTCGTCAGCGACGAGTATGCAGATCTGCTTGACTTTGCCACTACGCAGATCACGCAAGGACCTTTTATGTTCGAGCGTTGGCAACTGAGTGATCTCCGAAGTCAACTTCGGAGGCACAATCAGATCAAGTGTATAAGCGCCTACGCTTGATCCATCATTGACTATGACATTCAATGTCTCTGTCATTTCCTGGGGACTTATTCCCTCAGGCTTCGAAGGACTTATTCCTTCGTCTTCCCGGGGCCTTATTCCCGCGGGTTTCGGGGAACTTATTTCCGCCGTATTTGTAATATTGGGACTTATTCCCTTTACTTCCTCTAGCTGGGGTTGCGCAACCACAGCGAGATCCTCTACGAAAGACTCTCCAGTCGATCTAGGATTATCGTTTCGCTTAACCTGAGCGATCGATTGTTTCTCTTCTAGATGTTCCCCGCTAGGGATACATCTTTGTCCCAGTCCACCCGACTTATTCGAGTGGTGGACCTTCAGCGCAGCCTGTGTGTCCTCACAGCTGCCGGAATTTTGCTCCGAAGTGTAACTGTTTGTTACACTAAGGTTTCTTGCAATCGTGCTAACGACCGTACCACAAGTAAGGCCATCGCACTCACTCGTAGTACATCCACACGCTTGTGGACGCTCCAAAACGTTCATCAGATGGCCATCTGATGAACAAGCGGCAGGCATCGTTACTGTTCGATGCTGCCAGTTTACCCGTGGTTCGTACCTTCTGAGCCACGGTATTCCAAGGATGACATCAAATTTGTCATCCAAATCCAATACGATAAAGTCATCGTCATATTGGGTATCTTCTAGCGTATAGTGAATCTTCACTATACGCTTCATGACGGTTACGGATGCGCCTGTCGCAAGACGTACCGTCATCCTCGTAGGAGGTGTGTCACATTCCTGAACTTAAAGTGACCATCTTCTAGCGATTGGCGTCGCACAAAATTGCTGGACGCCCCACAATCGACTAGAGCTCGAAGGGACAACTTGTTCATCACTTCGAGTTTCAGGGTAATGAGTGAGACCTCATTACCTAGAGCAGCAACGCACAACGTTTGTGCGTTGGGAGCAACCTTCATCAAGAGGCCTACAAATTCTCTTGACGTTGCTAGACCAGTAGGGTGCTCCGCACCTACTGATCCTGTCCGTTTTTTCACGGTCCAACCCGTTGATGCGTCTTTGCACCAACTGCGGACCCTCGTCCCTGCCCCTTTCTCATGGGTGGACGGTCACTACGCCCAGTGTCGCGAGACACTGGACGAGGGGCACTACACTCGTAAGCGTAGTGTCCTGTCTTTTGACATCTGTTGCATCTCTGCAACTTCTTGTAGCCTGTAGAGCGAGCCTTCTCGCTCTCTACATAACAGAGTTCCATCGGCTCTGGACCTCCGTTGTCATATCGTCTCGGTTGACGATATGATGTCGAGCTGGCGCGAGCCTGTCTCAGACTGAAGTCTTCCTGTTCCGCAATGGAAATGGCTTGTTCTAGTGAATCTAGTTCAAGTCGGAACAGGTGAGTCTTGACGGGACCATCCGCAAGACCCTGCATGAACACCGAAACCAACGTGTGTTCATCAACCAGGTTGGAACTTATACAACTCGTGAGATGTCGTTAATGTTGTGCGTAACCGTGCACATCACGCTTGCCCTGTTTGAGCTTCAAGAGTTCGGTTCGAGCTCTGAACTCAGCTCTAGGCGGTTCAAACGTTTGTCTGAGCCGCGACTTGAAGACTTCCAACGACCCAAACGCATATGGGTCGTGCAACTTGAGCCCCAGTGCCCAAGTCTTGGCACGTCCTGCCAGATTTGATTGGGCAAATGCAACATGCATATCCCCGTCGTCGATGCGACGCGCCCTTATGGCATCGTCTAATTCGACGAACCATCTCAAGAGGAAGTCCTCTTCGACCCCCCTATACTTGGAGATGCCAATCTTCAAGGTCTCGGGTCGACGCGAGTGCATCGACCCACCAGCAGCAGCCTGCTGCTGTCTCAACAGCTCAAACTGTTGAGCACCCTGTTCTCTCAACAACTCTGCTTGTTGAGAACCTTGTTGGTGAAGCAAGGCTACTTTCTCGCGTTCTGCGTCAAGTTCATTTTGAATGAACTTGGCGATAGTAGCATGTTGGGCATCTCTATTGAGAGCCTCTAGCATGACGCTAACAGCATGGATGCCCATGGTCGAACCCATTCGTTCAACCGCATCCCATTCGACATCGCTCAAATGGGAGTAGCCGTCACGCGTAGCGTAAAAGCTTTGGTCATCTACATCAACTAACATGTTCATGTTAGATGTGAACGTGGTCCTTGGACGGAAAACAAAGTGCTACCAGGTGTGACGGGGCACCCTGAAGCTTGTACTGATGACAGTACAAGCTACTTATTCTGACGACAGAATAAGGCGGTGCCTCGGTACTTCACGTGCACTCGTACGTGCAGAGGAAGACGGTAAAAAGAAGCGATTACTTGATTAAAGTTCAAAGTAGAACTGTATTTATCATAGTTAATGTCTGTTAATAAACCACTATTTATCCTCATCTAGCTATGTCTGAATACAAATGTGTATATCAGCTATCTGCTCACCACTCACTGCGTGCGTCTGTCGTGGCGCGTCTTCGTTGGTTGATATAATGGCCTATACCAACCAATTAGGAACTACTCGTAAGCGCTACAGAATATTTGTCCTTATGACAATATTCTGAGAATATAACTCTTATAGTTATATTCTATTAACAATTTCTTATAAATTGTTATGTAAAGATTCACCCCGTTACATCTAAGTTTCGAACCTTAGTCACCGACCCATTAGGAGACGGTGGGATGACAGACGCGTATGGGTGTCACACATGCATAATAAGTCGCACCTCTTACCGACGGAAAGAGGAAGCACCAAGGGAGATGGCAGGCTCAAGCGCATTGAAACAAAAAAAGGGCGAGGGTTTACAGCCAAAAAAAGGTCACAATGGCTCGAAGCATGGAGGCTGACACCAACGACGGAAAAATCGATGGCCTGGATAATTCAAAAAATTCATGCTAGTTCCCGTGGAGAAACTGCTGAACTGCAGGCGATGTGGGCCTCGATTGCGGGGGCGGTCACATCATCACTTGGGTTCAACACTGTCTCTCTGGAGTGTAGATACGGGCAAAACCGGAAAAGTTTCCATTTCATAAGGCCCAACAGTGGCTGGATTGACGCACCCGTGGCTATTTAAGCTATGGACAAATCGCGTCATTGCTGTAGAGCTTGGCGCTTTCCGATAAGTAAAGAAATACACACCAAACGACCACGCGGACCGAAGTAGTTTCTTTACGCACTTGCAGCAATGGCCCTGGAAGCAGACGGACACCGTCACTGTCGGAAATTTTAAATTGTGTACAAAGCCCGGCTCACGACAGGCTCAAAGGGACAAGGTCGGGGCGACTAGAGATCGCTGCGTTGCATACTCTACTCTTCCAGCTCAATATGGAGGACGCGTTAACTCTCTGGGCCAGTGTAAAGGATGATGACGAGGAACTTGACCTGACTGAATCTTTTACGCATTTGAGGCAGGGACGCGACCAGTCGTATCGACCGTTTTTACATCCCAAATTCCTGGTCCTTCGTTGTACAATGGGTTTCAGTCGAGGAACCGCAAGTCGATTCATATCATCAACGTGTGCGGTTACACCTTTAAAATGCTAGCACTGTAGGAATCTCGCGACAGAAAAGGCATCCGGTCACTTACACTCCGCGGCAGGTAACATCGTACACCTGTCCTTTTATCCACTGCTCAGTCCGTTTTACGAATTAGCGGGTGCTATTTAGATATGTGGTGTATTTTATAGATAGAAACACCCCATGTGTGTTAACGATTGCGATTTCGCAAGCGTAAGGGGCCTCACATACAAATGACTGGTTTTGCCACTGAGACATGTAAAATCGTATAAAATGGTATACAAATTTTAAGTATAAAAGAACAACTGAAGACTAACTGTATTCAATTGTGGGTGTTATTGCCCTTCTTCTCGATGACATTAATGCATCGTCGCGGCATCGATCGAATAAGCGACACAAGTGTGGCATCCGGAATTGCCTTCCAAGCTGCGATTAGCGCAGCCTTTAGCTCAGACACGCGCTCGAACTGTGTTATATTGACGTACACTTGCCTGCTAACGATAGACCACAAATTCTCGATGGGGTTAAATTAAATGACTTTGATGGCCAGTCAAGCACCTGAATACCTTCTTTACTAAAGAATTCGCGGCTACAATGTGAAAAATGTATGCTTGCGTTGTCCTGTTGGAAAAATAATCTGTACAGTAGTTCAGATGCGCAAATGGTAGAAGGTAATCAGACAATGTATAAACATAGTCATCCGAAACTGCCTCCCCGTCAACACAACAATTGGAGACTTGCCACGGGCGCTAAAAGCGGCCCAAACCATGATGGACTTACCTCCAGCTTGACGTCGCTTCGTCTGGCGGACGGACTGGCGCACATCTCTCCAGTAGTGCTGAAAGCCGTCGGGCCCGTCAAGATTCATTTTTTGTCGTCCCAAAAAAAATGGAGTCCCAGACGGACCCGGCATCCTCATGCAACAGCATGTGCTTGGCCCAGGATTTGCGCGCACCCATGTTCGCGACCGTAAGCGGCATCGTGTTTTCCATCTTGGCGTACACAAGCCAATCGACATCGTCCAAAATGCGCTGCATGGTGCGGACGGACACCGGCAGGCGTAGCGACCTAGATCTGGGCGGCGGAAAGGTTTCCCTGATAAGAAGTGCGCAAGAGAAGTCGCAAGCTGCGCTTCGAGAGAAGCGGAGCAGGTCCTCGGCATTTCATCTGTAGAGGAGAGGTAGGGGATTTTACTCGACGTAAAGTGTCAAGGCTCCTTGAGGTGACAATCTTGATGGCACGCAAACTCAGTCCAGCCTCTCGAAGTCCCTCTATCATTCCCCGCTCGTGGTCGGTAAGTCTTGGCTTCTTGTAGCCATTCCCGTCGATATAAGCCGCTAACAGCTTGTCACCAAATGCTTGTGCCGCTAATATCAACCCAGTAATACAACTATACTGATACATTATGCTTAAAATTAGTATGCCATTTTATACGATTTTACATGTCTCAGTGGCAAAACCAGTCATTTGCATGTGAGGCCTCTAACGCTTTGCGAAATCGCAATCGTTAACTTACATAAGGGGTTTCTATTAATGTAATACAACACATATCTAAATTGCACCCGCGAATCTGTAAAACTGACTGAGCAGTAGATAAAAGTACAGGTGTACGAAATTACCTGGCGCGGAGTGTAGCCTATTCTATCGGCTCAGCCCAGTCGGGTCATCGAAGATATATTGGATAATCTAAATGCAGCACAGGTGGGTCAAGCCGTAATCGGACAGATGGGCCCCCGAACTATGCAGCAGTGCGTAAAGTGTATTCAGCGCGTCCGGACCCGAGTGAATCGCAGTCGGAATATGGCAATTCGCCGAATTCAAGCGCAGAGTAGAGCCCACATTTTGACTCGAATGGGGCTCTTAGCAGTTAATGTGGTCGAGGCTATGGAGGAGCACTTAGTCCGACAAGGACAACATTTGGAATGAACGAAGGAGCAACTGCGGTGGAAATTTAGGCGGGTGTCTTATTTTGAAAGGGATCAAACCATATCGAGGATACGTCAGCTTAATGGAGCTGTTTTCAGACGCGAAAATAACGATTGCAGACAAATCATCGTTGGATTGGCAGCCTATTATAGGTGTTATTTATAATTAAGCGTCGTCCGCGCATCTCAGGACCAATTTCGACTTATTTGTGCAGATACCTGACGCCAGACGTTTGGAGAGCACTCAAAATGAGCAAATAATGCGCGCTAAAAATATAGACGAGGTTGTTTCAGCGATATCAGCACTTAACCGGCACGAGGCTGCCGGATCGGATGGTCTCAATCATGTAGTTTTTTAAGACACCCAAGCTGTCATGTAACCAGCCATAGTGGCTCTCGGCAATGAGCTTCTCCGGGGAGGCAAGCCTCCCCCGTCCTTTTTAACATTTTAGTTATGTTACTGCGCAAGCGCGGTGACTCGGATGTTGCGATGGACTACCGACTTATTCCTCTCTAGCAGACTAAATTCAAGATATTCCCTAAATTCATTGCTGCCAGAACGCAAAAAAGGCTTAGGGACATTAATAGGAGCCTCACAACAGAGATTCGTCCATGGTCGAAAGATGCAAAAGACCGTGATGATGAAGCTCGCAGTATTGTCGTCGTCAAGCGCGGATCCAGACGTTACGGCCCCGATTAGCCGGGTTATCCTATAACTAGATTTTCGCAAGGCACACGATACGTGATTTCCTTTTCTTGGTGCTCCAGCGCTTTGATTATTTAACCGAGTTTGTCACCATGACAAAGAATATTCACGACGGTGTATCTGTTCAATTTGTGGTGAGTAGAGAACTATCCGATCCGCACGCGGTAATTTCGGGCATCAGGCAAGGGTGCCCACTTGCCCCGCTACTTTTTCTTGTTGCGGCGGAAGTCCTTGCTTTGGCTATCCATTAGGATGCCAGGATCAGGGGACTACGTTACCCGGGAGGAGCCGGTGAAAGACACAAATTCTCAGCGTTTGTTGACGACTCAACGTTATATCTACAGAAAATTTTCAGGACCCGAGCGCGGGACATTCCTCGGGTGCTGCGAATCGTCAAGGATTTCGAGCGATTATTTGGCTTGGATTTGCAACCAGACAAAAGCAAATTGATTTTCCATAACACGACTGTACAATACAAGAATTCTTGGGCTTACCGGCACTCCTACCAGGGGCCACGACTAGATACTTAGGGTACGCAGTGGAGACGGGGGGGCTGACTGATGTGAATTGGGATGCCCGTATTCGCAACGTCCAACGACGCCTAGCAACGACGACCCAGCTCGCAAGCAGCGTTGAACACCGCGTATTGCTGCTCAACGTAATTACTTTTTCGTCGATGTTATTCACTGCAGCGGTGTTCTAACCCCCACCATGGGCAGAACAACAGCTCAGAAACATACAGAATCATGTTTATGGAGACACTCCACAAGTGCGGATGCTTCTCGTTACAAGATTAATCCTGTGCTGTTACATACGCTGCTACAAGCGGGCGGGGTAAGATTAGCTTCCTTTATGGTAGCTTTCAAGATGAAAAGGGTCAAACAAGCCATCCTATAGCTTTTCTAACGCTAGGGCATCTATCTTTCTGCTTGGAAGACATGGGCATTTAGTGGCGGAACACTAGATGGGTCAGTAGGGCTGTCACCCTACTGTAATATGTTCTCAGCTTGAAGCCGTTGGAACGTCTTAAATATGTTCACCGTCCGTCGGTTGAAACAAGGGATAAAGGAGACTACGGATATCAGAATGGGACGAGTCGACAGAAGAAGGTAACGGTTAGCAGGTTAGCTGCAACCGCGTGCAGGAATAGCTCAGTCAAATAAGTGCAAAGTGCCAGGCAAGTCGTCTTTAGCCAGAATGAGCTAAGCTAAGTAATACGTATCATTGTGTGTCAAGGTGCATACGTCTGGTCTAATCAGGAACACAGAACTATCTAAAAGCTCAGCGCTAGAGAGATTGCAACAGGTTTATAAGCCCAAGTCTGAACGAGACTTAAGTGTCACCAAGAAACTGTTACACATTTGCAAGCAACGACTGTGAGTGTGTGTGCTAAGAAAGACTCCGTTTGTCTGTGTGCACGAACGTTAAAACGTTGAGTCGGCCTGTGACAGAAGTCAAAAGGCGGGAAATCTACCTGAGTTTTGTGATAGGCAACATGTCCAACAAGGTGGAGCTGAAAAAATATGGACGACCTGTGGGTTGGCATGGCCAGTTCTAAGTGTACTATAAGGGTATGATGAAACTGAATTTTGAGGAGAAAAACGTGTTGAAATATGCTACCGGGTACAAGGTTCTCGCAGTCAACGCAAATTTAAATGAAGTGACAGCATATCGAGAAGCTCAAGTAACGATTAAGCAAATAGTTTTTGCTTCTCTTTCGATGGAGATGGGCCAGCGAGTGATGGCAAAAGCAACTGGGACCGAAATGTGGAAATACTTGGAGGACTTTAACGAGGGAAAGACCAATGAGGCAACGAAAAAAAAGCAACAGAGTATACTCTACAACAAGCCAAACGCAATGAAGTGCAAACCTAATTGGGATGTCGTGCAGCACGTGGAAAACATGTTTATGATTAATGATCAATTGACCGCTGTGAACGCAAGTGTACGGGACCCTATTTTCACACAGATGTTAATTCGGTCATTACCGGCGAATGCGCGTTTCGGTCGACTGAGAGGCATGATTGAGAGCGGCGACAACAAGGTTGACACTCCAGAAAATTTAAAAGATCAGATATTGCGAATGCATAGTTTTAACAAGTGTGATCGGGAGCTTGGCACTCATGGTGTCATTGGTAATGTCCAGAACTATGAAGGCAGTCAATCGTCAAAGGAAGGGCATGCTTTAAGCAGTGCACGATCACAAGTCGGTGGCAAAGGACTAAGCTCGACCAATTAAATCATCCAGAGGACTTTTGTAAAGACAGATAAGCAGAATGAAACCTGCTTCATATGTCACAAGCCCGGACACCTCATGAGATACTGTCCAGTGACAAGAAAACCAGGAGCAAGTGATTAGAAGGTAGCGTTCGTAAAGCATCCAAAGATTGAGTCTCGTGACGGGCATCAAGAGAAGATGGATGCCGTGACGTCAGGTATCGAGCAACCGCCAGGATCCGATGCTTCCGTAAGTAACAAGCATTATCAGTGACTGTGCACACCGACAATGGTGTCTTGACAATGCGTCAAGTGTGCACGTGGCTTCCGATTTGCAATTTTTCTTTGATAATGCAGCATTTGACCACAATACACAAGTCCAAAGTGTGCAAGGATTTCAAAAACAATTTACGACCAAGCTGATAGGCCAAGGAGCTGTTCAGATACTTGTATAAAATGGGTCAAATATCAGCGAAATAACGCTGCATGACGTGTTATATGTTCCTGACAGTATGAATTTGATCTCGCATACGCAAGCCGAGGGCCAAGGGATCACAGTGACTTATTGCAGCCGATGGGGTACAAAGGGGATTTGAAATTTGGCAAAAAATATTTAAGTTTCTGAAGATTAACTGAGACGAATGTGGTCTCTTTACCTTTCAAGCAATTAGCAGTTTTCACCCAACGATGAGTGCCGGGATTGAGGCGCTACGCCAATATAAGGGCCTCCTACATCAAGTGAATCATACGAGTGCAGAAGGGCACGCTGATATTCAGCGTTGGCACAAAAGGCTTGGTCATCTAAACCCTCAGTACGTGAAGATCATGGCAGATCGCAAGCTAGTGGACGGAATGTCACTAAGCACAAAAAATTGATGACTGTGAAGCATGCCACATTGGAAAAAACAGACAGAAGACGCGTCTGAAGAATTTGGAGCATGAGATCACGAAGAAGAATCAGGTAATATTCGTGAATTTACTTTTATTAAAGTACTGCTCAAGTCCAAGAGAACACAAAGCGGTACTTGTTATATTGGATGGATATTCACATAATACCACAGTTTACCCTCTCCACTCGAATAATGCATCGGAAGTCAACGAAGCAATTAAGCGGTACATCTCTTGGACAGAGCAAATATTTTTCGACTGAAAAGTCAAGAAAGTGATATCCGACGACGGCGGGGAATTT